ATTCACCTCCCAGGCCTGGATTTCCTATTTCAATGTGGGTTAAATTTCATTTTTCTGCTTTTTGTGAGGGAAACATTCTGCAATGGGTCATAACTCAAGTCATAGCTTTTGCATGTAAAAGGTCTAAGGTTCAGTCTCTGATAACTCTAGATAGGGCTAGGAAAGACTCCTCTCTGGGACCCTGGAGAGACATACCAGACAGTATTGACAGTACTAAGCTAGATGGAGCAACTAGCTGACTCGATATGAGGCAGCTTTGCATGGGCACATTAGGGAAGATGCTCCCAGTGGTCTTACCCACATACATAGACAAGCCTTCTCTCTCCCCACTGTCACAATGGAGACTGTAAGCTCCTTGAAGGAGTAGCCTATCCTTTTGGTTTGTGATGTTCTGTCATGTTCTGCACCGGTAGCATTTTATGAATGATAACACTGGCTGTTAAGAGGACTTATCAACAGCTCAACAACCGTGGTGCTTTGACTGTGGGTAGCTTCGCTCTTCTCTGCTCTTGATTGTATCTGCCACACAACTGCCATTGACCGTTATTTTCTGATAAAATTGGACAGTGTCACCTAGCAACTTGAGAGTTTGATGATGATGATGATGATGATGATGATGATTTTTCATATTTATGTCCCACTCTTTATCCCAATAAATTCAGGGCAGTGTACATAGTAGTCTCCTCCTCCCCTGATCCTCACAACAACCTTGGGCAGTGGGCTAGGATGAGTAAGTCTTACATTCACAGAGTTATTACCGAGTGAACTTCATGGCTGAGTGGGGATTCAAACTTAAGTCTCTCAGGTCCGAACATGTCACCATCCTGGAGTTAATACACAATTTTTCTCTCACAGTTGCACAGGGCTTCAATGACACTCAGCAGTGGTTAAAAATAAAATGTTTGCCATTTTGTTGTTGTTTAATTGCTTGAGCTCTTCAGTTGCTCGAAAGATTCCATCAACTGTGTCTCTGAAAATTTTTACACATAATAATAATAATAAAATTATTTATATCCCGCCCTCCCCAGCCGAAGCCGGGCTCAGAGCGGCTAACAACAGTAAAGTAATACAGAATTCTAAAATCAATTCATTATAAAATCAGTTCAAATCAAATTAATGGCAACCATTGGGCTAGGGTTCTGTGGAGAATTACCAAAGAAGGGGGTCAGGCTGTCCCTTGGCCAAAGCCCTGGTGGAACATTACTTGGGAATACAGGCAAACTAATACCAGTGTACTGGAGGAAGCAAAGATCACCAGTGTTGAAGCAATGATTCTTCAACATCAACTTCGTTGGATTGGTCATGTTGTGCGGATGCCTGGTGATTGTCTTCCAAAGCAACTACTCTATTCCGAACTTAAAAATGGAAAGCGTAATGCTGGTGGTCAACAAAAGAGGTTTAAAGACTCTCTCAAGGGAAATCTTTAAAAAATGTAGTATAAACACCAGCAATTGGGAAGCACTTGCCTACAGTAGCTCCAGTTGGAGAACAGCCTTTACCAAAGGTATCATGGGCTTTGAAGACACTCGAACTCAGGACGCAAGGGAGAAATGTGCTTAGAGGAAGATATGCTTGGCAAACCCACACCATGATCAACTCCTGCCCGGAAACCAATGTCCCCACTGTGGAAGGATGTATGCATCCAGAACTGGCCTCCACAGTCACTTATGGACTCATTCTTAAAACCGTGTTTATGGAAGACAATCTTACTCGGCTACGGGAGATCACCAAAGAAGAAGAAGCTTGAGCTCTTCAGCTGCTGGTCACGCACAGACAGAGGAAGACAGTATGCCCATATTTCTGTTTCTTGATGTAACTTTGCAAATGACACCCATGCTTAACCTGCTCAGAAAACAAACTTTGCAAAAAAAGAAATAACAATACACTGTTCAGCTCATGTTCACTTTTATGTTTAACCACAGTTGCAAGATGTTTGCAGGTTAATTTTTTTATTTATTGAATTTATATACCGCTCTATACCTGCAGGTCTCAGGGTGGTTCACAGAATAAAATAAAAATAAAAAACCACAAAATGCATATTCAAAATAAAAACAACAACAACCCAATAACCCACTCCCCCCAAAAAACACCCCACATTTTAAAAGGGCACAAGATGTCAATCAAATCAACCAAAGGGCTGGTTAAAAAGGAGAGTTTAGAAGGTTGCCTTCTAAAAAATACTAAAGCAAATTTATTAAACTAAACAGATTTTTTGGAGAAGGAGTGTGAGAAAAAAATTGTTATAAGAGATAGTTGAAGAATTGTGTTTCTATAGTGATGTTTACAAGGATGGAAATTTAGTTAGAAGGAACATCTTATATTTTGAGGAACTGCTGTTATTATTACTCCTGCTTCTGCTTGAGATTCAGGCTTTGTGTATGTCAGTAAATATAATTTCTTAATTTGCAGTCCCTGGACGATATCATTTATAAGCTCTGCTTCCTCAAGTGTTAAAGACAGCAAATACCTGGCAAAACTCCAGAGAAATGGGAAAACAAGCTATTTTAGGAAATGCCTACGAAGAAAAGAGAGAGAGAAGCAATCTCAATCCATGCAAATCGTCCACAGGATGCAGCCCAGTCCGATACCTTCACATTGGAAGCATCATTATGGCAATAAATCTCTTGGGTGCGTTTGGATTAGGAGAACAGATGGAACTGTGGAGAGGATGCCTGGACTACAGGCTTCATGAGAGAGATGTTCAAATCCACACTTACAATATTGGCGGTGTATCCAGTTAGAAGAAGTGGGACTAGCTTGTGCTTTCTGTGCTCATGCAGTGCCTAAGTCACTCCTTGCTTTTGATAAGATAGAAAGTGAACTTCATGTAAACCGTTTGAGCTGTCTAGGGATGAGCTTATTCCTTGCGAATGCCTCCTTCAATAACCCACACAGGACATGGTCCTGCTGAAGTTAAGCATTTCAAAGTCCATTAGTTTCAACGGGAGAGTTAAGTAATTCCTTTGGGACTTTAAAGTGCTTAACTAGGATTGGATGTGTCCATATTATTGTTTGGTTTTTAGCCAAGAATGAATAAGGATATGTCTTTTTCTTGGAATTACTTCTGCATACCTTTAAATCAGGGGTGTCTAAGTTTGGCAGCCTTAGGATGAGATCTGTCCCAAAGCCTTTTTTTCCGGTCCAACCCAATTTGATTCAGGGAACTTTTTATCAGCTGGGTTCTACATTTTATCATTCACACGTGAGTCTGGAATGCTTTGGTGTGGGATACTCCAACTAACAGTTATTGAGAGACTCAATGTAGTAAGAGTCTGTTGCTGCAAGGGAGGGCCATCTGAGTGGCAAAATCCACTTCCTTGACCACTGTCTGGAGCAGGGGTCTGCAACCCGCAGCTCCAGAGCCACATGTGGCTCTTTTACACCTTTGCCGCGGCTCCGGGGCGGATACTAGCGAGGGGAGGAGCCGCATTGTGCGCCCCGACACTCCCCACTGTGGCGAGCGCTGTACTGGCTGTGACGTCGCATGGGGGCGGTGCATGCGTTAGTCATGCACCATCCCGACGTCACCTTCCCGCCCGCTGTCAGATCGCGGCTCCGGAGATTTATTTGTTTTAAATGTCGCAATGGTTTTGCAGCTCCCAGTTTTTTTCCCTTCGGAAACGGGTCCAAGTGGCTCTTTTTGTCTTAAAGGTTGCAGACCCCTGGTCTGGAGCAATGGCCTTCAACCCTAGCTCTTCCATGTGCAAAACAGTGAAGTCCTTGTGCCTCAAACAAGATCCTAGGCCTGAGGGCAACATGGTGCTCCCCCAGTGTTGCTGGACTGCTCCTCCCATCAGCTCTAGCCAGCATGGCCAATGGGCAAGGATGATGGGAGCTGGAGTCCATCAATATAGGGAGGGCCTTGTGTTGGCTTCTGCTGCCCTATGGCATTGTCAAAGGTGCTTCCCAGCCAAAGGAAAAAACACAACAGATAGTTAATTGTCGAAGATTACACAGGTGCTTCTGCTGCTCTGCACCCCAATCTAGCGTAGAGGCTGCACACATGCAACCGGAGACTGCGCCTGCATGGCAACTTCCTCTGCTCATCCCTTTTCAGTCCCCTGCTGGTTCTGGGAGACAGTGGGGCAGGCAAGGGTGGGGAAGCACCTGGACCTTCACTTGCCTAATCTGCCTCTTCCTCTTCTTCTGACCCATCCTGTGCTCCACTCTCCAACTCTGAAGTTTCACAGGTCTCCACAAAGCGCTGACCCTCCCCCCCAAATCAGACTCTGGACTCACTCCCCCCCCCCCCCCACTCCAGCACCTTGCCAGTCCCTGACAGGTATGTTGTAGGAATAGTAAGTAGTAAATTCAGGAGACCCACTGGGTAGGATGGATTGCTTTTAATCCCTCTAGATTTGACCAGCGAATAAATTGCTGATCTAAAAACCAAGCTTTCCACCTTTTAATACATCTATTTTGTGAATAAGCATGCACAGTAATTGGTTCCTATAAACAACTGAAGCCATATTGACTCAGAGCCTTTTTGCTACGTAGTAGCATTATCGGACACATTATCTAAGATTAGGATGGACTGGAAAGCACAAAGGGACAACTGCTGCTCATTTTGCGAGTACATGTTTCCCACTAGATTGGCAAACCAGCCTTAATCCTGGGCGTGGGTACCCGAAAGTAATCCCCGCATCTTATTTACTTTCAAGAAAATATGCGTAGGATTGGAGCGCCCCCCTCCCCAGCAACCTACGCACGTCTGTTCAGAATTAACGAGGAGGGCTGCACGGGATTGCAATCTGGGCGTCACGTGTGAACACGCTTGACAAGCCCTCCTCGCCTCCTCCGCTCGCCGCCCAATCTCTCTCCGGCTTGGCCACTGATGCACCAGCTCCTCGGCCGCTGCAGCTTTAAGACACCTCCCTCCTGCTTTCCTTTGTCCCTCCTCTTTCTCTCTGGGATCCGACCTCCATCTCTCATCTCCCTCGCTCTCTGCAGCCGGGCTCCGTGTGATTTCCCTCCTCGGCAGGATCCCTGCACCAGCCACCATGGCCGACATGAAAACAAGCGGCGTCTTTGCGAAAAATGTCCAGAAGAGACTCAGCAGAGCGCAGGAAAAGGTAAGCCGGTGAAAGGACCGAAGGGGATGCAGGTGGCGAGGAAAGGAGGCGACTGCCCGCCTGGGGGACCTTCTGCATCCACCGGGCTGCGGAGATAACTGGAAGGCTGTGGGGGCAACGGGGGGCGGGTGGGGAGAAGGTCCTTGCGGCAGTTTCTGTGGCGGTGCAGAGAAGCCTCCTCCGGGGAGGGGAAAGCGCCCCGCGGCGCCCGCTTGGAGCAGGGGCTCGGAACGCGCCTTTGCGCGCAGCTGCTTTGCATCCTGTGCAAAGGGCCTACGAGAGGCAAACCACCTCCTCCCCCCGGGTCCACTGTTCGGTTTCTCGATGGATCTTGGAGACAGCGATCTGGCGGGGCGCTGGCATGTGGGCAGTGATGCTGAATTACACACACACACCTGAGGCCCCCGCCCCGCCGCCGCCTTAAAGGTGCGCGGGGAAAAAATATCTCTGGAGCAGCTCCTCGCTGCTGTTCCATATCTGCCTGGGCTGCTAACGGAGGGACCAAGGCACGTCCTTCCCCCGGAAGGTCAGGGGAATCCGAGGGCATCGGCTGCAAGGCAAGAAACAAGGGCTTTCTGACAAGAGAGATGGAGAGAGCTGCGCTATTCTGGTGACACGGGGGGAGGCGAGCAGCAGCTCCCAGCGTTTGGCTTTCTGGCTAGTCTCGTGTGCCGTTTGCGGATTTGGGCCTGTTTGAAATGCGCCCTTTGAGGCACGTCCGCAACTGGCGAGTGGATTGTTGATCGGGGCTCTCCAATGCGCGTTTGGCTAATAAATACCCAATAATGTTGGTGGTGGATCTCCCCCCTTCTCAGCTGGCAAGCTGCCAGTATCAGTGATGTTATGTAATATCCCTTGTCCCATTTAGTCATTATTCTCTTGAATGAAGTGATCCGAGGTGGACTGATGCAATGGCACAACTTGTTTTCAGCCCAGTCAGTGCTGTTCTGTCGCTAAGGGATGAACCATGTATTGTTGGCACCCAGGCTGGGACCCCACATAATGGCCGAGGCTGCACCGATCTACCTGGGACATTACTGGAGACGGTTCTGAGTTTCCTTCTTGGGCCAGTCCTTAGTTTGGCACAGGTGCTTGCATCATGCATGTGTGCCAAGCTGCTCTGATAGGTAGTGCCGGCTTGAGAAATTTGAGGTCCCTTGGGCAAAGTGCCTTCAGTGGACCCTCAGAAAGAAGGAGATGTGGACTGGGTGCTCCTCCACTCTGCCTCTGAGCTTCTGGTGGGATCCATGCCAAGCACAGATGTCTGTGCTGTAGGAGCAGTCGTGCCTTTGGCACTCTTGAGACCTCGAGCAGATGCCCGACTTGGCCACTCTCTGGAGACAGACCTGCTGATGGTGGCTGGTGCAGAGGACAATATCACCTTGCACATTTTCATAAAGGTGCTGCCTGGGTGAAGTCGGTTTGCAGTTACTGAGAGGGTATTGTGGTCCTTCCTTTACTCCCTTCCCATCTCTGTGAGAACATTCAGGGCATCAAGCTAGATTTTCTGAGCCCCCGTAAAATTTTTGGTTAGGAGAAGAAAATTCTTGGGGCACATTGATGGGAGCCTCTACGGTGGGTTTGCTTGTCCCACCTGCTTGTTTGTGGCCTTGATAAAACCACAGGGAGAATAAGTCCCTTGGTAGCCTGCAGTGTAGAAGGAGGATTGCATCTGCAGAGCGGATCTATTCACAGACCGAAAGATTTGGCTGTTCCTCGGCCCCACCTCCATGCTTGCACACTTTCCATACTGTAAGAGGATTGTGTTTCTTTTAATAACCACCCAAGCTCATCGTGAACTAATGTGATCTTCCTTGCTGCGCTCACTTGGAGAGCGGGGCAATCAATTGCTAAGAAGGCTGTCTCTAAATCACCTCTGTGGGCATTGCCAAAGGCCACCTTGCCCGTGTCACTGGACTTTATCAGAGTCTCCTGCCAGCTCTTCGGTGAGCAACACCTAAGCATTCAGAGACACACCTGCATTTCCAACTGATTGAAGATATTCCTCTGGGCACTGATGGTCTGTATTGTCCTGTTTCCTGATGGTCTAGACGTAAGGCTTCTTAATGTTCAAGTAAATGCTGGCAGGGACAAGCAAGAGATGGTTTGACTCAAAATGGAAGGATCTAGGCTTCCATTTTGGATCTAGAAGACCATCTTCTAGCCAAGTGGTGAGCAAAACACTTAGTTACATGTAGTTTCATGTGCAGAGTGAGTATCAGCCAACCTACCTGCAATATCTTCCTGTGCAAGTCTTGGATAAGAGTGCAGAGAGGGAAGATATCACAGTAGGTTTTGTCTTAAATTCCATTTAATAAATGGCACATGTATAGCATGTGTTTGTTTGAATTTGTTGCATTTCCCCTCTAGGAGTGAGCAACACTCACCTAAGTATAGAAGACAAGCGAGACCTGTAACAAAATGTTGCTGTGTGGTGTACTCTTGTCCTGTGTTCTGGCCAGCCAGTCATGCCCTTTCCCAGGATACTCTATTGAAGCATTGTCCTCTCCACTCCACAACACAGCCAACATTCCACGGCTACTGAGCATGCTCAGTCGTCATCAGGCTGCTTTGGTCTTCTCCCTCCTTAGAATTTCCTGGCCTGGCCTACATGTGTAGCAGAGAAAGAGATGGCGGAATGAACTGGGCACTAGAGGTGGTATTTCGGGAAGTCACATTTTGAATGCTCTCTTGTGTTTATTAGCTCCCTGAAAATGGAAAGCCTTCTAGAACAGGGTGGGGAACTTCAAGCCCATGGGCCAAATGTGTCCAAACCTCTCTGTCCAGCCCTCAGGACACTTCTCAGACCATGCAGCCTTTGTCAGCCCTGCTCTGTGCGATCCTAACGTTTTTGCCTGGCTGAAACGCCTCCTTGACCTGTGATAATGCCTCTTGCTTGCCTTAATGGAGGGTGTGTGTGTAGAAACCGCTGACTGTTGCATGGCTGGACTGCAGCCTGCAGTACAGTGGTAATACTCAGGGCTGGCGTATCCATGAGGCCAGGTGAGAAGATCACCTCAGGCAGAAGGATCCACAGGAACAGCAGATCTGGCCTCCAGGAGCCTGCTGCTGCTGTTGTGGTGGCAGTGACAGCTGTGGCACTCTCCTTGGAGGCCAGATCTGCCGTCTCCTCAGCAACACACACACACCCCCCGCTGCTTCTACAGTGGCCTCTTGGCCAATAGGAGGCATTGCTGGTCTCTTCCCACCCTTGTTCCAGATGTCAATCTTCACTTACCCCTTCTTCCTTGGTGGGGTGGGGTGGATGCCATTTTGTGGTTCGCCTCAGGTGCTAAAAAGGCTTAGTCTGGCCCTGGTAACAGTTTCCCACCTCTGATACAGAACCTCTCCCTGTCTGCTTATTTCCTGTTTCCTGGGGTTTTGTCTTTTAAACAATGCAGGGCAGGGGTGAGGGATTTTTTCACCCCAGCAGGCCAGCTGTTGTCCCTCACCCCTTGCAGGCCACATTTGACAGAAGGGTGGGTGCCCACTTCAGCCGACCATCTTTGCCCCACAGCAGAGCCCCTTTCAAAGCACTGTTTTGTGCAGTGCCTTGAAAGGGACTGTTGGAGATCTGGCTGTCGGCTGGTGTCAGACATGATGTCAGCTGGAGGCCAGGGGGCTGTGGCTTAACTGAAATGGACTTGTGGGCCCAATGGGAGAGGTCTGGAGGGCCTAATTAGGCTGGTAGGCTGAAAGTTCCCCACCCCTCCAATGTAGAAGTTGTAATCTCACACCGGCAGTCTGAATTCAGTCTATTCTACTTCCTCATTCTGCTGTATGTGTAGACCTGTGTGCTAGGACAGGGAAATTGGGGGAGGCCCATAGCTCAGTGGGAGAACCCCTGCACAAGGTCCCAGCTTCAATCCCTGAAATCTTCAGACAGGGCTGAGAAAGACCTTGGCCTGAGACCCTGAAGAGCCAGATGGACCAATGGTGTGGCTTGGAATAAGTTCGCTTGCTATGTTCCTTATTTATACCCTGCCCATCTGGCTGGGCTTCCCTAGCCACTCTGGGCGGCTTCCAACAAAATATTAAAGTACAGTAGTTCAACAAAAGCTTCTCTAAACAGGGCTGCCTTCAGAAAAAGTCATCTAAAAGTCTGGTAGTTGTTGTTCTCTTTGACATCTGGTAGGAGGGCGTTCCACAGGGCGGGTGCCACTACCGAGAAGGCCCTCTGCCTGGTTCCCTGTAACTTGGCTTCTCGCAGTGAGGGAACCGCCAGAAGGCCCTCGGCACTGGACCTCAGTGTCCAGGTAGAATGATGGGGGTTCCCAGGTACCTTGTAGCTTAGAAATTGCATACCAGGCCTTGGGAATATGGACATTTCATTTGGTTTTGTGCTTGGCCGGTGCCTAAAATCTAGTGCTGGATCCTAAACAAATGAAAGCTGGAAATTCTGAAATCCTTTCCAGGCCCCATTGACCCCTCAGAGAAGTTGAGGTTATTCCCCAGTTGAGCACTTTGAGTCATCAATAGTTGGTTACACAGGTTACCCTCCCCCCCCCACCAGACTATTAGTAAATCTCTTAAGGCAGCCCATCCCATTTTGTATCTAGCATTCCTTGGACTGAAGTGCACCAAGGCTGTGGTTCAGAGTAATCATTGAAAGCCCAATAATCATCTGTGCTTCATCATGCGGATGAATGGGCTGCTTTGCACACAGAAGGTCCCATATTCAGTCCCTGGCATCTCTAGGACTGAAACACAGAAGAGCTCTGACCAATGATGAGCCAAATAGGCAGGTGGCCTGACAGAGGACACAGAAACCTCTCAGGAAGACACTCAGGCATTCTTCACCTGTGACATTTTGTGCGTCTTGTGTGTTTATATTTTGTTCATTTATTTACAAGATGGCTTTTCCATCAGCATAAGTCTTCGAAGTGGCACACAGCATGAAAAACAATAAAACCCAAACAACCACAACAATAAAGAAAGGTTTTTAAAAAAAACATCCTAGTGCACAAACCAGCAGAATATTTCAATAACTACAATATAGCCATGAATTGAGATCCAGGGTGGGAGAAAATCACTGTGGGATAGCTTTTTCCAACGTTTATTTTTTTGGGGGGGATGCAGGGGTACGCATACCCCTAAACATTTTGTGAATCTACGTTTGGCCTCATTGAGGGGCAGTATTTCAATATGAGTAGGAAAATGAGAGCATCCCTAAACATGTTTTAATGGGGGGGAAGCACTGGCTTTTTCTCCACAAGAGGATACAGTGTACCTCTAGTTGAGGACACGATCTGTTCTGGGGTGCCGTTTGACCCCCTGAAAAGTCCACAACTAGAGCGGTGCTTCTGCGCCAGTGCAGAGCACGATAGGGTGCTTCTGTGCATGTGCAAGTGTGCAGAACTCTTCAAAACCCAGAAGTATACACTTCTGGGTTTGCCACGTTCGCAAGCCGAAAAGACACAACGTGAACCTAACACAAGAGGTATGACTGTATGTAATAAAATGATGCACAAAGGTGTTTCCCTTGTCTGCCATTGTTCTTTGGAACATTTATTAACGTCTTCCTTCTTTGCACCATTAATGCAATGCTTCAACCTTTTCCTTATGGCTGTTTCACAAGTGTCAAATGCCAAGGGCGATATTTTTTTTTGGGGGGGGCTTTCATATTTCCATAGACTTGCAAATGATTAATACTGTGTGAATCCAAATAGCCATAGGTAGAAAGTACACCCCCTTGGGGTTGTAGCGGGAAAGCTCAGTGAAGATGGCAACCCAGGATGTGGCAGCTGTGAAAAGGTGAATGCCACGCTAGGGAATATCGGGAATTGGATTGAAGCTAAAACAGCCAGTGCCATATTGCCACGATACAAATCTGTGGTGTGACTACATGTGGAATACTTTGTGCAGTTCTGTTCACTTCTTTCACCTCAGAAAGGATATTATAGTGTTGAAGAAGACGAAGAAAAGGGCAACCAAAATTATCAAAGAGATGGAGCAACTTGCTATGAGGAAAGATTGGAACATTTGGGGCTTTTTAATACAGAAAAATGGCAAGTAAGGAGACACACAATAAAGATGTATAAAATAAAGTGTGGTGTTGAGAACCCAACCAAAATGACGAATCATTCTTTGAGGATTAGAAACCTTTTGTAGGCTAGCTAAAGAACTATTATAGTTGCATGAAAACGCAAGCAGGGTTTGAAATACGAGAAGCAGTAGAAAGACGTTAAGCCTAATAACTCAGGACATACATGGTGTGTTAAAATATGCAGCATTAAAGGAAAAACAGAACATCACGGGGTGGGGGGAGTCAATGGATAAATTAAAGTGTGGATGGTAAAGTATTGTGGATGGTATGTATGTAAACTTTTGAAAACTAAATAAAATTTAAAAGAGAAAGTGGACACGAGAGACAATTCTTCCTCTTTTCATGATATTAGAATATTTAATGAAGTGGAATATCGAAAGATTTAGGACAGGCAGAAGAAAGTGCAGCACATAGTTAAACTATGGAATTCACTCACAGAAGATGCAGTGATAGCTTGATTCGTCAGATATCTTTCAAAGCCATCAGTGATGACAGGCCGCGATGGGTATGGCCTACCTCCACTGCTGGAGACAGTGGGCCTCTGATGACCATTTCTTGGGAACTGCAAGCAGCAAGAATGATGTCGTCTTCAAGTTCTGCTTGCAGACTTCCTTCCTGTAGACCTCTGGCTGGCCAGGATGAGGACAGGATTCTAGACTAGGTAGGCCTTTGATCTGATCCAGGAGGACTCTTTTTATGCGGGCGCTCTACAAGTGGGGTGCCACCACAGAGAAGGCCGCCTCTCATGCCACCACTGCCCTCAACAGTGGGATGCAGAAAAGAGCCGCCTCTGAAGATCTTGGGGCCATCTGTTTGAATTTAAGGCCATATGTTCATTACTTACTTAACGAGGCACTGTAATGAACTGCTGTTCATTATCCACTTAATTTCTCCATTTCCACATCACATTTATATGTGGACATACATGGATCGAACAACATCTAAGTATCAGTTAATTGACTTTGATAGCAGGTATTAAGATACTTGTAGTGCAATTCTGTACATGTCTACTCAATAGTAAGCCTGGTTGTTTTCAGTGGGGCTTAATCCCAGCTAAGTATGTATAGGATTACAGTTTTAACTTCTTGTTTTGTGAGTTTATGTAAGGGGGAGGGCTTTGTGTTTCTCCGTTTTGGTTATTAATTATTATTTGTGGGCCACTTTCCCCTAAACTTGTACCTAAAACAGCTAACAATGCTCAGAAAGTAAAACACAACAACACACATCAAAACATGGGTTGGAGGTGATGGCAACTGAATTAGTTACCATCACCTCCAGCAGCCACATGACTGGGTCTTGCCTGGGAATGGGTCTTCCTAACCTGCCTGAAATTTTCAGTTGTCCCATTTGCTCTCTCTGCTGTCCAGGCACTCATTGCAGCAAAGGGATAACAAGAGCACAAGAGCTATCAAGCTCAGTTGGCATGCTGTTTATTAGATGAGAATCCAATATCCTCATCACACCACCTGCCACCCTGCCTGCTGCTCTCCTGCAGCAAATGAAGAGGGCTCCTGTTCCTTCATCTCCAGACGTGACTCCCCAGAGCACCCTTGGCTGCTACCCTTGACTGCACATCTGCAGTGTGTGCCAAAAGGACCATCTATGGCTGTGCTATTATAGTTGCAGGGTGGTATCTGCACTGAACAGGGCCAGTAGAATGGTCCTCATGAGGAATTTCCCTGCAATATTAGAGAGCAATGTGAGAGTCGGTCTATATTTTGTGCATGGCACTGGTGAGTTTTCCTCCCCAGCCTCCTGCTGTGTTGTTGAGTACAACTTGTGAGTTTTGGTATCCTTGATGATTGGCAACTGTGGGAGGGAACTTTGTAGGGTAAAGTATAGGGAAAGGTTCAGGTGGGGTCTGGGAAACTTGCCACAGGGACAGTGGCACCATCTTCTGAAGAACGTTGAGGGGGCCTGACGCCACGTCCTGATGTTACATGTGCGATGTTGCATGATGTCCTGACATTGTTCTGAAGCCAGCTCCATGTTTTGCCTCAACAATGGGGGTCCCCGGCCCCTCAAACAAACACTGAGGGGCCCCAAAGTGCCTCAGCCCCCAGGAGCCAGCGCCTGTGTGCAGGGATGTTAGCCTCCATGCTGAAAGTATTGTGCAGACTAGCTCTCAAGATAAAACAGGGTCTACCTCAAGCTATACAGAGAATCTAGGATGGTTAGAGTCCAAAAATGTAAAACCTGAAATTTAAGGAAGAAGAGGAGTCATATGTGTGTGTGGGGGGGGGTTATTAATGATTGAAAATGTTGATTTGTTTCAATTTAATGCTGTTGGCTGTTCAATGCCCAGTTCATCGCTGGAGCCATGTTTCAGAAATGGCTGGCTCATGGGACAGTAGGTCATTTGCTTAATTACAAGTACTGATTTTTAAATAGTAAAATTTTCTCTAAAGATCTCTCATCCATATATATATATATATATATATATATATATATATATTTGCATTTTCAAAAACAAGAACAGAGAGAACATTTAACCCCCTCCCCTCCGCCTGTCCCACTTACAACTTCGTACCAAATACAGCATGTATACACATACCCTATGACTTCCCTTCCACCCTTTTCCTGGTTCCTTTGCTTTCCTATTACTCCACGTAATGCACATCTTTTTAATCATCAGATTTGTTATCTATTAAATACTCTTATCTATTTCAACTGCTGGTTTTACACGAGACCTGCTAAGCCATGTATTTCTCCATACTGGTTCTTGAAATAGTCAATAAACATTATCCGTTCCTCCTTATATTCCTTATCTTCGTTTTCTCTTATCCTGTTTGTCAGACCAGCCAGTTCAACATATTCAAACATTTTACACTGCCATTCTTCCTTAGTGGGTGCTAGACTTGTTCTCCACCTTTGTGCCAACAAGGTTCTCAAAGATCTCTTACGCTGATGTTCTCTGGGCTCACAGAGCAGCATCTTTGTTTTCAGCCAGAGCAAAGGCAGATTCCTTTGGGCAGGAGTTGATGTGGTTGCGCACTTGAAATCAATAGGTGTGCTTGGGGTTGTTGTTGTTCATTGGTGACAGGTGTTTGGTATTTCTCAAAGAAAGAAATTATTCTGTCTTTTTGTGACTTGCCCTGATTATTCTTTTAACTTCTCTACGCTCTATGTTTCTTAGGGGAAGCTGCGTGCTAGAGTGGGAAAGATGAGGTGATTCTTTTGTTGTTTATCGAATAAGTGCTTGTGGAAACGAAACAGACAAAAGCACTACAGAATTTGCAACGAGAATTGCACCACGGAAGCAACTTTTAAATGTTACAAAATTAGGATGAGCAAGGTCACTTCTAGGTTAGAAGATTAGAAGGTTAGAAGATTCGATGCCATAACTTAAAACAGCTACTGCAAACCAGTGTCCTTTGACAAGGACCCGGGACAGACAGGATGCTTTGAAAACACCTGCCGCCCCTATAGGCATGTACCAGTTGCTGGGGCAGCTCTGTAAATCATGCCTGTCTGGGGGCAGGGCTGCCCGCAGCAAGGCCACCACCAAAAGGGGGGGGGGCAACCAATGGAAATAGTCCCTCTGGGGCTCCACTTCAGGGGCGGAACGAGGGTGTGGGCCAGCCCACTTGTGCTAAAATTATTGTTTTAATGAGGATGGCGTTTTCACTGCAGTGGCTGTTGTTTATTTGGTTGTGAGGTTGTTTTAAATGATCCTCAAGTGTCATATTGGGGACGCAGGTGGCGCTGTGGTCTAAACCACTGAGCCTCTTGGGCTTGCCGATCAGAAGGTCGGCGGTTCAAATCCCTGCGACAGGGTGAGCTCCCGTTGCTCGGTCCCTGCTCCTGCCAACCTAGCAGTTTGAAAGCACGTCAAAGTGCAAGTAGATAAATAGATACCGCTCCGGTGGGAAGGTAAACGGCATTTCCGTGCGCTGCTCTGGTTTTGGTGTTCCATTGCGCCAGAAGTGGCTTCGTCATGCTGGCCACATGACCCAGAAGCTGTACGCCAGCTCCCTCAGCCATTAAAGCGAGATGAGCGCCGCTACCCCACAGTCGTCTGCAACTGGACTTAACTGTCAGGGGTCCTTTACCTTTACCTTTAAGCGTTATATGTTTGTTTGTATTTTGTATTTGTATTTTTTTGGTTTTATAAGGTTGTCTAATATTTTACAACCTTTTAAATATGTTAATGTTTCATTCTTTTTGTTTTAACTATTTACCTTGTATTTTTATTCTGTGAAACAACAACAACATCAGGAAGCCTTTCTTTGTGTGCCTCCTCCATGAAAGGTCTGGAGGGCAGCAACACAAAACAGGGCCTTTTCTGCTGTGGCTCCCCATTTGTGGCATGCTTTCCCCAGGGAAGCTCGCCTGGTGCCTTGGTTACATATCTTTAGGCACCAGGTGAAACTGTTCCTCTTCTGCCAGGCCTTTAGCTAATTAAACAATCTATGGCCTTTCAAATTGTACGTGTCACCTATTGTACGTGTGTTGCTACTGCTTTATTTGTTATTGTGGTATGTAACTTCGTGTTTTTAAATGGTAAAACTCCCTGTGGTCCTCAGATGAAGGGTGGTATATAAAGTAAAGGTCTTTTTTAAGGGGAAGGGGGAAGAAGCGCCTCAGTGCTGCCATGGGGAGAAGGTAAGAGACTTTCTCTTTTACGTTAGATTACCCACAGCTTTGCATGTTGCCAAATCTGATGGACTGCAGCTAATCTTCACAATTGTTTGCTGAAACAAGCCAAATTCAAACTGTAGTTTATGAAGCTGGTTTGTTTCAACAAACCATTGTTAAGATTAGCCATGGGTTAGGATTGTTTAATCTCACAAAAACTGGGGTGAATGGAAATTGGAAGAGAAAGCTTTCTAATCCCTTGAAGTTGTGCAGGCAGAGCTCATCTTCACTGCAGCTCATCTTCGCAATGCCAAACCATGGTTCAGCTCTGTGTGTGAAGTGGCTCACGAAAAGATCTCACAATATGGAATAGTTCCATGTGTTTACCTTGATTAAACTTCCTTCTAAATCGTGTTTGGAGCCCCATAGAGCCTTATTTACCACGTCTCTTTATTTGCTCATTAACATTATTGTGAGAAACTTCACTTTTCTTCAGTAGTAACCAGTTGCGTTCCCAAAGAGCATAATGCTCGCTTTTTAAATGATATTGTGCAATTATCCACGAGAAGCAGTAGTTACAGATTCTTTACTTTTGTGTTAAACTACATGAGTCTTGGAGAGATTAATGATCCCTTCTGTGCTTGGTATAGAGAGAGACTCTTATAATTACCTGCCTACCAAATATAAAAACCATGTTAATTTTGACAAAAACGAAGGAGTGTGTTTTACAAGCAGTTGGATATGTCAGTTGGATATTTAGTAAGCACTACAAGATTCCAAGTGAAAATTCTATGGTATGTCAATCTGATTTTTCAGAGTGTGTTATCTAGCTTGCTTTACATGCTTCTCTATTATTATTTTACCCGTATTTATCACATTTGTATCCTGTCACTTCCACCAGGAAGATCTCAGGGTAGTGTATATGGGCGCATCTAACTCTTTCCTCAGTATGATCCCGTGGATTAGGTGAGGCAGCGTAAGGGTGTCTTGCATAAAGCAACTTAATAAGATTTCTGGATAAGCGGAGGCACAGATCCAGGTCCGTGTCAGCATAGATCACACTCCAGTGTCAACACAGAGGCCTGGTTTCATGTCCCACTAAGCCAAACCATTGGTTATTGTGAATGTGGGAGCATGCAGCCTCCCTGAAGGGGATCGCGGTTGCTTTTCTCCTCCCTGATCGTTTTACTACTGCACCATGCTGAGCTAAGCCATGGTTTGGTTTAACACGTTTTCTAAATCTGGACTCATGGCTTAGCTCTCTCTAGACTAACATTGAGCTGAAACAAGGGACTCAGCTACACAGCTGCAAATGAAACGTTTTAAATGTGTTGTAAAGTGCAATGTATAAATGTGGCTCTAGATGGTGACAGTGAGCTATGCAAAATTCAATGTATTTTTCAAAACTGTTTTTAAAAAGCATTTTCACAGCGTTTTTTATATGTGTGTAGATTCCATTAAAGTTTGCCCTATAGTGTCAAGTGCACGGTTTGTCCAGGAGAGCTAAACCGTGAGCCTGTGTTCTCCTTTCCTGGAGCCTCTGCACACACACATTTGCACTAAGTCGTGATCTGGCTTAGCATGCAGGTGACCAATCTCAGACCCTGGCGCCAAATTTGGCCCATGAGACTCTACCTAGGCAATGCCTTTCCCATACCACAGCCAATGGGCCCCATATTAAGGAATTAGTTTTTCTCACTTTGCAGGATTGATGCTGATTATTAAATTTTATATTCTGGCCTTCATCAAAGGGTGCTTCACAGAATAAAATACAAGATAAAACACAAGTAAGTAATTAAACTAAAACAACAAAACAATAACACCCCGCCCCCAGACACATTTAAAAGGCTGTAGGATAGGCATAGGCAAACTTGGCCCTCCAGATGTTTTGGGACTACAGTTCCCATCATCCCTAGCTAACAGGACCAGTGGTCAGGGATGATGGGAGTTGTAGTCCCAAAACATCTGGAGGGCCAAGTTTGCCTATGCCTGCTGTAGGATGTTAATCAGTCAAAGGCCTGGTTGAAGAGGAACGTATTTGCCTGGCACCTAAAAATATATAATGAAGGCACCAGGTGAACCTCCCTGAGGAGAGCACTCCACAAACAGGGAGCCACCACAGAAAAGGCCCATTCTCGTGTTGCCACCCTCCAGACCTCACGTGGAGGAGGCACATGAAGAAGGGTCTCAGGTGATGAAAGCAGAGTCTAGGACGGTTTGTATGGGCAGAGGCTGTCCTTGAGGTATTGCAGCCCTGAGCTGTTAAAGGCTTTATAGGTCAACACCAGCGCTTTGAGCTGGGCCTGAAAGCTAATTGGCAGCCTGTGTAGTTGGGCCAGGATCAACGTAATATGCTCAGACTGTCTGGCCCCAGTGAGCAATGATTCAGCAGCTACTAAGCTGTAATAAAGCTTCCTTTTCTGTATCAACATCAACTGTGAGCCTGTGACTTATAGCACTGCAGGGTGCAGTGACTCAGCCTGTGCTAAGGGTAGTACTTCTTTTGCATATGAATATGTGTAGCAAAAAACCCTTCAACATAGCTTATAAACATTTATGTGCTGCACAGTGCCGAAAACTTTCATTAGTTGACTTTGGTCCCAGAAATGAGGCCAATGGGGACAGGACTGGTATTTGGCATGAGTAAATCAATGTTGACTATTTCACTATTGACAGTGTTGGATTGGACTAATGGCACCCATATTTCTGAATGGCTTTCAGATGTGTTACCAAGATGGTCACCCTTCTGCCATTTTCTGCTTCTCACTAATGCACCAGAAGCTGGGCCTTGCAAACCCCTTTTCTTCTACATAGATGACCTCCCATGGTAAACCTGAGGTCCTGGGAGCTGGGGCTGGGGGAAAGCAGAAATGACTGCACTTGCTTTAATTTTCTATTATGCCATGGCCTCACAGCACTTTCTCAAAATTCAAAATGTGCTTGCTGGTCCAAAAAGTCTAGCAACCCCTGATGTAACAGTCCAAATATTTTGGAAATAATTTCTTAGCAGACATGTTTCTCTGGTGATGGAAATGGAAATGGTTTGTGATCAGAGTTAGTAATATGAATGAAGTTTGATAAGGATACTGTAAAATGTGATTAATAAAATCTCAATGCATTTACATCTCTTCCGGATGAATACTTCATAGTAAAGGGGGATAAAACTGGAGAGTGCCACAAAGATCAAAGTCTCCTCCCTTTGGGTTGGTGCAATTTGGTGCGTGGCAGTCAGATGGCTAAACAGTCGTCTGGCCTAGTAAGACGTTAATGACGTATGTGCTGGAGATTATTGTTTCCAAACATGCAGTTTTTCATTGTATAGAATATAGAATGGTTGGACAGAATGGTTTTCTTGTAGCAGAAAACCATTATAGATAAAGATTAGGCAAGGCTTTTTGGAACCCACTTTGTTGAAGGCCACAACAGGGAGGGCTTGTGCTCTCTGATGGGAGATACCAATGTTCACCTGCACACAGAAAATGTAAGGACCTTGGATAACTAAAAATCTTTCCCTGCCATGGCTGAAGATTTTTTTAAAAAATTACTATGGTGGGGTGTTTTAGCTATGAGTATTATCTGGGGTGTTTCCTGCCCAATTTATATCCTGATATGCTTTCTCTAAATAAACTTTTGTTCTTCAAGATCACTCATCGCACTGGGTTATTGTAAGTCTCTAATCCACCCGTGAGCTGTATCCTTGCTTGGGACCACACCACTTGACCATTGTATTCAGAAAGAGGGAATCTGGTTGTCCTTGCCCCTAAATGGTCCTTGCCATCCCTCTCCTCTCTAGGCAAGCTCCACTGTTACACCCACCAACCCAAGGGTTGGGAAAAAGTAAAGGAGGGTACCAATTAGGACTTCACTGAGTTCTGTGTGAGACCTATCCTGGGTTCTGCTTCTTGGTCACACACGAGTGTGACAGAAAGTTATGAAATGGTTTTTCAACATCCAATAAAATTATTCAATATTTAAGCTTCATATATGATATATGCACAATCCTCTGCTCTAATGGGGAACATAGAAAACTGTTTTATACCAGATCAAACCCAGTATTGTCTATTCTGACATAATTTTCCAGGGCCTCAGGTAGAGATTGTTTCCATCTCCTGGGTATTTTTAACTGGTGATGCCACACTGAGCCAGGGGCTTCCTGTAAGCAAAGCATGTGACCTAACACTAATTCGGGGTCTGTCTCAATGTTTTGCACATTGAGATCACACAAGGTGTCAATTTAATGACAAAACGTCATTTGAACTTTGAGGCTTAGTTAATGCGTTGAATGCTTGTGGTGGAAGGACTTTAACAAAGTCCTCCCTTTGCTGAAAAGAGACGAAATCAAAAGAAGAAAAGGAGCAGTCGAACACCATGCGGACTGCAGGCAGCAAGTGAGGGGAGGAGGCGAATGAGCCAGATTAAATGCAGCAGACAGCCTGAAACGGATGTCTTAAGTCCTCTGGATGTGTGCGTGGGTGTCTGCTTGGGGAAGAGCAAGCCGCGGGATGAGGCGAGTGGATCTGCATGCAGTCCTTGTAAATATTTTAGCAGAAAGCCTGGCATGGGCATTTCCCCGCAATGGTTTTGCAGTGAAGGGACAGCTATTTTGGCACAGAGGCAGTCCGTTGAGTACCTTGTGGCCTCAGCAAAATGTACGTCTGTTGATCAGCAAAATGTGCAGCATCAGCCATTGCCATTCCTAAATTAATGGGAAAAGCAAAGGTCGCAGAGGATCTTTGTAGCCAGGGGGTGTTTTCCTACAGCTGCTGTAAATCAGAGAGCACCGTGCAGGACCACAGGCACTTCTTACAAACCCACTTTGAACAACTGGCTTTTTATTGTTGTCAGTAGCCAGGAAAGCCTGATGTTCATTTGAGGGAACAAAGCCTTTAGTCTTTATGGACACAGAGGTTCAATTAGAAAGTATGGTGGCAAGAACTTGGGAAAGGAGAAGGAAAATTAAAAGTGGTCAAAGCCTGTATTATTGTACCAATATGTTTTGAGGAGGATGCTTGAGGATTTGCGTATGAAGGATTCCTAAGAACATACTTATCAGCTATGGCCTGGCATCTCCTATGTAAATCATGACGTTACTAGAATTCAAAAGTTATCAAGGACCCTTTACTCTGAGCTGGTGTTTGTCATCTGGAAAACACTTGACCGTTTGCCAGTCCAGACACAGTTGCTTTGCCCTCTCTCTTGGATGTTGACGGGTTGACCCTAGTCTCTTATTAGACATTCTTGGTCCTCTTGTTTTGGTTCACTTCTTGAATAGCTCTTTGTGTCTTCCTTTGGATATTTACCGTCTCAAGTTTTCTGGCTGTTACTTAAGTTAGATACAGTAGCTCCTTAGTGGTCTGGATGAGGCCTGATGAAGAGATTTGGTCCTACATTCTTCTTCATAGGGAACAGATGTCTTTACTGTGCCTGCTTGCTTAGTCTCTTTTGTGGGACAAATCTCTCCCTCTTTCATCATACCTTGGCAGACATTTTCTTCCTCTGAGTCCTGGAAACATCAGCATGACCCCACCAAGATCAAGTAGCTGTACTCTGGGGCATGAAACAGAGACAGGCTGCAGCAACTACTCCCAGAAATCCCAGCTGAGTGTCTTTCTGCATCAGGGATGGGGCTGAGACTACCAGTTCCAGAATCCCTGGACAGAAAACTTTGCTATTTGCATTATTCCCACCAGGGAGAATACAGTGGTGCCTCGCAAGACGAATGCCTCGCAAGATGAAAAACGCGCAAGACGAAAGAGTTTTCCGTTTTTTGAGTCGTTCCGCAAGACGAATTTCCCTATAGGCTTGCTTCGCAAGACGAAACGTCTTGCGAGTTCTTGCGAGTTTGTTTCCTTTTCTTAAAGCCGCTAAGCCGTTAATAGCCGCTAAGCCGCTAATAGCTGTGCTTCGCAAGACGAAAAAACCGCAAGACGAAGAGACTCGCGGAACGGATTAATTTCGTCTTGCGAGGCACCACTGTATTATCAAAGGGCCTCCCTGCACCCATGCAGGAATAATGCAAATAGTTTTTTTTACCCCACTGGGGATTCTGGGACAGGTAGTCCCAGTCCCATCCCAGTCAGGGAAAGATATCCTGCTGGGACGACCTGTCTCCGTGTTACCCAGCTTTGAGGGTTGAAGAAGGGACAATGTTGCTTCGTTGGCAAAATCTGCCTTCCGTCTCTGACACTCTGTAGTCTGGTCCTCATTGACCGGAAATTTGCTGAGCTCATTACTCTGCAAGTCGTATGCAAGCAGCTCCTCCACACATAACTTGCCTGTGTTAGGCATTTGGCTACTCCGAAAAATAATGGCACTTTTGCCTCTTGGTTAGTGCATCCTCTAGGCAGGACTGGCTAATCTGTGGTCCGTCAGATGTTGTTGGGCTACAACTCACCACAGCCCTGGCCATTGATTTTGTTGGCTGGGGCTGCTGGAATTGGAGTCTAATAATATCTGAAGGGCTGTATATTAACCACCCCTGCTGTAGCCCTAGGAAGTTATTCCCTCAAGCATCTTTGCTGTCTGAAGGAATGCTTCTCTGCCTTTGCTAAACCCAGAGCAGAAGGAGAGGGATGGAGGCTTTTTCTTAGCAGACTGTACAGGTGAAACTCGGAAAATTAGAATATTGTGGAAAAGTTCATTTATTTCAGTAATTCAACTTAAAAGGTGAAACTAATATATGAGATCGACTCATGACATGCAAAGCAATGTCAAGCCTTTATTTGTTATAATTGTGATGATCATGGCGTACAGCTGATGAAAACCCCAATTTAACAATCTCCAAAAATTAGAATATTAAATGAAATCAGAAGAAGAAGAAGAGTTTGGATTTGATATCCCGCCTTTCACTCCCCTTCCGGAGTGTCAAAGCGGCTAACATTCTCCTTTCCCTTCCTCCCCCACAACAAACACTCTGTGAGGTGAGTGGGGCTGAGAGACTTCAAAGAAGTGTGACTGGCCCAAGGTCGCCCAGCAGCTGCATGTGGACGAGCGGAGACGCGAACCCGGTTCCCCAGATTACAAGACTACCGCTCTTAACCACTACACCACACTGGCTCTCAGCAAAACAAGGACTGCAAATAGAGCAATATTGGACCTCTGAGAAGAAGCAGCATGCATATGTACTCAGTACTTGGTTTGGGCCCCTTTTGCCTCAATTCCTGCCTCAATGCGGCGTGGCATGGATGCTATCAGCCTGTGGCACTGCTGAGGTGTTATGGAAGACCAGGAAGCTTCAATAGCAGCCTTCAGCTCTTCTGCATTGCTTGGTCTCATGTCTCTCATCTGTCTCTTGGCAATGCCCCATAGATTCTCTATGGGGTTCAGGTCAGGCGAGTTTGCTGGCCAATCAAGCACAGTAATCCCATGGGCACTGAACATTTCCACGATATTCTAATTTTCTGAGTTTCACCTGTACATTTACCAGGAAAAACATCAACTTCCTCACCACTATTGCTCCACTCAAAGTAGTCATCTGGGCTGGGCATGGCTGGTGACAAGAGACTATGACCCACCAGGCTATTGTGATAGGTTCTTTCTTGAGACTGCAATGTGTAAGCTAGGGGAGAAGGGGAAGCAAGTTCTGAACTTTATCACACAACTTGTATTCTGAATTGCAGTCTCTGTCTGGGACACTGACTAGGATGCTTTTGCCGTAGCTGGTTCCCTTCAGCAAAGCTCCAGAATCATCCTCCTATAGGTGTGTTTCCAGTTCAAACACTTGTTTCCTTGGGGAGCGTCTCAACATAGAAGCAGCATGGCCTTGTTCTCCAAGCCAACAGAAGGCAATGATAGCAACTGCGGCCATTGGGGCATGGAGCACCATCACTGACACTAGGCTTGCCATACGTCAGGAAAATTCCTGACATGTCCTGGTTTCTGGGTGTAAAAATGGCGTTGGGGGGAATTTTGCAGAATTGGTGAAATGTCAGCGATGTATGGCAACATGATGGGAGAAGCAGTGGAAACAGCTCAAAAAAGTACTCTTTTGGGGATAGGTTTCCCCCAAAAATTTACTTTTTGAAATACGGCAACCCTACTCACCCAATCCCTTCACTCCCCTGCAACGTCTTCACTGGCCAGTCTTTATGTAAGGTCTTATATAATAGGAGATCATTGCTGCAAAAAAGGTGAAGGAAAGGAAAAACCCCTGTATTGAAAACTGCATTGCCATATTTTTAAGGCAAATATTTGATTTACAGTGGATTAATGTACTCAGATGGACTGTCTAATCCAGAAAGGTCAGGTTGGACCAGACAAAATGACCTACGTCACCCAACACTGTACTCTTCTTGACAGTGGACTAAAATATTTTAGCTATATTTTCTTTTAATCAGGAGGCCAGCTAAGGAGCAAATATCTTAACACAGCTATTTGTGCATGATAGTAGTGTATATATAGCAACAATCAGCTTGAATTATCTACTCCAGTTAATGGTCTTTGAAACATTCCAGTTCTTGCTTGCAGCTGACTTCCTTTCCGAGTTCTTTGTTCCAAAATCTTCCTCCAAAAAATGATGATCTCTGCTTCTTGGAGGATTAAATGCTGGCACCATTTCCTGTGGTTTATGATATTTGGGGTGCTTTTCTTAAACCACTGTATTTCAGTTTAATCAAAAGCAGGTAATTCAAATCAAAATACCCAAAGATTACAAAATAAGATCCGCTACTGGTTGATGGGACTTCAGATAAAATAAATGAGAATTTCTTAGCCTCCACCCAGTTTTCTGGGGTGAAAAACATGCTCCATGTGCACTTTTCATTGTGCAATTTACACATAAGTGTACATGGTAGTCCTTCTATGACATCTGTAAAGTGTCTCCAAATTTCAGACAGTAGGGACTTACCATTTTCCTTCTGGAAACAAAAAACCGTCTGGGGCATAAAATACCCCAGAAATGCATTGAGTTTTGCCATTAGGGTGTGTTTATTACTGTAGACTATGCTGGAAGATTAGGATACCCCATCATTTTTCCATAGGAAAATGGTCTGAGAAACGTCAGGAAACCATGGGTGTGTGTCAGCAGGTTGGCACAAAGCACATGATGTTGTCTGGGGACCAAGCATAGTTGTCTTGCAGGTTTCTGAATGGGGTGACAAACATACCTCAAAAAACTGTTATTGTTAGTTTTCAGCTGAAAGGCATTTCTTAAGATTTTATGATATTTTCAATATTTTCACCTTCAAAGATAGTTTTCGTTGCTTGTTAAAAGGGCAAATTGTGTTGCTTATTCCATGTGCAGGGGCTACTGGTTGCTGCACAGAACAGTTCTACCATCTCTGAGTGTTTTCTAGTTCTGGGTGCTTTGGTTTTGTCCAGGACGCTTATTATTATTACAATTTGTTAAATGTGCACATCCTCTCACACCACAGATGTGAATTATTTTCTGGGGTCTAAAATCTCCAACATCCATTGGAAATCTCACGGCAGTAGTAAAAACATCCTCAAAACCTTTAGTCTGATTTTCTTTTTGTCTTTTTTAATACACCGCAAAGAGGAAATGAAACCATCAAATTGAGGATAAGGGACTGAGCTGCTCCCTTTTCATACTTCTGTGCAGCCAGCACTAGAAGGTCGTTAGTTCTCCTCTAGGGAGGAAGACACTGCAGAAAGCAGTCAACCAGCATCAATCCAAATAAGCGAATTGTACTACCAGAAGTAATGTCACTGCCCTGGAATGCCTATGGGAAATTATCTTCTAGTTCTGTTTCAGCAAGCTTGTGATTTTTAAAACACAGCAGTCCTCTAGATCTGTAGTCTTCAGTTTGAAGGAGCTGGGAATATGAAAGCTGCACCTGGAACTGCACTCTTAAGAGTTGTGTCAAAGAGGAAATTCCAGCAGGTATTATTTGTCATGCAAGTCAGCATCCAATACAAAATAATAATAGTTGGCACTTTTATGCTGGGAATATTTCTGGACGTTGAAGGAAAGAAGGTACTGGGAGTGGTTTGGAAAATTTTCTTGAATTTAGGGTAGATCCCAAGGGAGATGAATCAGGAGAGCAGTACCAGTAGCTAACTGGGAGGTCTCCCACCAGTGGAGAGCTCAGCTCCAGTTCACTGCAAACTAGAGAACTTTTCAGTTAATAGAATTGGCTGCCAAAGAGGAAGCAGCTTACCAGAGCTTGGCTATAGAGGAAATTGGATATTATTGACATGTGTAGGGAGCATTTGGAAATCATCATGCCAGAAGAAAATGCTTTTACCAAGGTTGGCGCTAAGGGCTGGCACAAATGGGCCCACATCTCAGCAGGAAGCCCCCTGACAAGAGCCCCTGGTCATGTTCTTCTACCATTTGCAACCTGCTTGTTTACGGACCTTTCTCTTCTAGCCCAGACAGAGCAGTAGGCCAAGGGGGGTTAGTGGATGTTGCTGTCTGCTTCCTCATCAGCTCTTTGGTACTACTGGCTCACCAGACAGTGATGAAGGAGAGAAAAATGGCGGTGAGGAACATGATTTGTTTCAAGAGGGGGAGCTGTGAAGGGTGCCTTGCCCAAGGACCCTCCAAAATCTGGACATGGCACTGGCACCTGAAGGTGTTTCAGCCTGATCCTGTAACCCCTGGGACTGAAGACTGGCTGCACCTCACTTTCCAGCTCTTGAAAAAGGACTCCTTCGGCAACTGACACCTTCTGCATCAATGGCTGCCTTGTGCTCTTCTTAGTAAATTAGATATTTATTACAGAATTGTGGCCTTTTGCACAGTGATGCTGTGGAAGATTGGGTTGCCATACGTCCGGGAAAACCTGGACATGTCCTCTTTTGGGGGGCCAACATTCATTTTTTTGTTTTTTTGTTTAATAATTTTTATTAATTTTCCATTAAAAATATCCAGTCAATAACAAATCAAATCAAATCATAATCCAATTCAAAAAAAGAAGAAGAAGACCAAATTACAATCCAAATTATTAATTACTAAATTTCAAACAGAATTCCCATATTCTGGGCCTCTGAAGAATCATCTCACACAATTATATACTTCTGCTTTCTTCTTGTTGTGCTCATATTTTCCACATTCCGATCTTAAACTCAAAAGTCCTCAGTCCCTGGTTGATCGATTCTCCTCATGTTAAACAGCCATGCGTCCTTTCATCTGCTAAGTACAGTTTGGTGTGTGTATCCAGGCAGATTTTTACATTTTAAAGGAAATGTCTGGGTTTTTCGGGCTCAGGCTGTTTTGCTCACCATGCATGCCTCTTTCGCTGGCTCGGGCTGCCCTCTTTTTTGCTCTTCATGATACGGTTCTTCATGCTTTGCTGTGAACCACTTTGAATGTAGTATATATTGAATGACTGAAATCACTGAAGAAGAGGCTTGGTCCCTCTATACCAGTGGTTTTCCAAGGGTGTGGTGTCTCACATTAGTGTGAGAGGTGAGGATGGCAAGTGTGGCAGAAAAAGATTCAAGGACAATCAAAGAAACATTTAAACATTTCAGTGTAGTGTAGTATCAAAATGCGTGGTCCTCTTTTTGTAGAATACAGACAGATATCTTTTCCAAATGAGAGCAAGAACATCAATTGATACTAAGGACAATCCTAGATGTGATCCAGAATCACTGTTCAAACATTTATAATTATATTTTGGGACTATTCATCTTCTTACGTAGCTGCATTGTTTTATGCTTTTTGGGTGTCCTATGATCATAAAATAAAGTAGTTGTGTTCTAGGTTTTAAATCAAGCACTGCTAGGTGCAGTTTCTTTTTGTTTTCCTTTTTTCATAATATTTTATTGAGCTTTCCAAATTAATAATCCAATAAGAACCACATTATATTCTGAATTACAATACAATAAAAAGGGCCGAATATATTGCCAAATTATATATCTTTGGGTGACTTCCCATGCTCTGAATTTCACGGAGTGCTAATCTGTTTCCTTTTGTTTTCCAACGTATTTCTTCTCAATTTAAAAAAAATGGTGTGGTGCGAACAAATCTTCATTCTGAAAGTATGACCCAGAGAAAAAAGTTTGAGAACCACTACTCCGTACTGAAACCGGCTGTATAGACCAGCAGAGCCAACACTGTACTGTCTGGATATAGTTGGGCTCCCAGCTTCCATCACCCCCAGCCAGAATGGCCCAGGGTCAAGGATGCTATGTTTGCTGGAACATGGCTGTTACTATTAAATAGCCACTTAAGTACATCAGAACCACGCAAGATTTCTTTTTTAAAATTAATAATAATACTCCATCTGCTGGGAAGCATTCTAAGGACTGTACTGCAAAGGGTGAACATGAGATGTGTGTGATATTGATAGACTTTCTTCCAAGGTTGAACCTTAGTATAATGAGAATCTGATCTGCTGATAAGATAGTAGCATGAGCTAGATTCCTGCACAGGTAGGGATATCATTTTATTCCTGCAAAGCTTCTAGTGACCAAGATAGACAGGTGATACCAGAAACATTTGCTGTTTATAGATCCTGTCCTTTTGTGACTCTTGATAAGTTTATCTATCCAAAATGCATACCTGAGTGTTGTTGAATTCAAAGCTGACACGGCATGAAATCGCTTTTAGTACTTTGCCCAAGCCAAGCTTGGCAGCGCAGGATCTTGCAGAATCCTCATCCTTGTGAAACTCTTTCTACATTTTTCTCCTCAAGCCCAAAGTTCCTTGAAAGCCATCATGGTAGGAAAGTGAGTTTTCAGGGTGAAGGGTGGGCTGAAAGGACTAGGAGGACTATGTTGGAACCAGGCTTACTGACCCATGCAGTACGCTTCCTGAATTGCTCAAACACTATATTCCCTCATGTGTGTCTATATTATGTGAGAGCCTTTTCCAGAGGAAGTCACACGTGAAACTTGAATGTGAGGTCTGCATGCCAGATTTGAGCTGCCCCATAGATTTGGCCCAGGGTTCCTTAGGCAGATTTGGTCAACGTCTTTGACTGGGTCTGTGGGCTATTCTCTGATGAATGCCATCTCCTATGGCTGGCTGGGCATGTAGGAAGCCACTCTGTGGAGTATGTAATGTAGTTTTGGATTTTGGCAACTTTCTCTGCTTTGGCCATGATGGTCCCTGACTAGGCATTCAAAAAATGATCGAAGCCTCGTTCCTGTCATGGCCTGTGTTGTTGTTGTTTAGTCGTTTAGTCGTTTAGTCTTTTAGTGGTGTCTGACTCTTCGTGACCCCCTGGACCAGAGCACGCCAGGCACTCCTGTCTTCCACTGCCTCCCACAGCTTGGTCAAACTCATGCTGATAGCTTTGAGAACACTGTCCAAACATCTCATCCTCTGTCGTCCCCTTCTCCTTGTGCCCTCCATCTTTCCCAACATCGGGGTCTTTTCCAGGGAGGCTTCTCTTCTCATGAGGTGGCCAAAGTATTGGAGCCTCAGCTTCAGGATCTGTCCTTCCAGTGAGCACTCAGGGCTGATTTCATGCAGAATAGATAGGTTTGATCTTCTTGCATTCCATGGACTCTCAAGAGTCTTCTCCAGCACCATAATTCAAAAGCATCCATTCTTCGGCAATTAGCCTTCTTTATGGTCCAGCTCTCTCCCAGTCATGGCCTGTAGTGGGGTTTAAACTGGCCTCCTGCTTCCTACACACCTGTTACACAGCGAAGTAATAGAAAGTGCACCTGTAAGAGATGGTGTTGTGGCTTCTTCCTTTGTCGGCTCTCCCTGTTCTTCCTTTCCATACCTGGAAAAAGCCTCCTTTGATCTTGGTAAGTTCATGGCTGCGGTACCTTTATTTAGGTACCATACGGGGTCATAGCCACATCAAAAATGGATCGCAATAACAGCACACTCAAATGGATGGTGAAAATTTAAGAAAGGTGTTCCCCAATGCATGTTAGAGTTAAAGCTGGATCTGAGGTTGGAAATGGGTGACATAAAGGGAATCAAACAATGTTTGTGGGGATTTCTGGAGACTTGTGTTTGTGGGCTCCTTCTCCTTGTAGCTCATGCAGTTGGGCCTCACTGAAGATAGTGGCCTTGCTTCTGTGTAAATAGGCATAGGATTGTGCTGCTTGCCAATGCATGTTGGACTGTTTAAATAATCCTTCACCAACCACCAAGGGGAACAGTTCCTACAGCATTCCCGTGTGGTTGTTATTGATATATTTGACTATAAATTAAAATTCAGGGGTGGGGGGGGTGAAATGTATTTCAGTATAAAGGATAGACTTGAGTTATTATTTTTTTAAGGCCAAGGCTCTAGAGTGCCTTTACGACAAATAACTAGAATATTTTTTTAATAACTCTCAAATAGTGCAACCATTTGTATTGCTATATAATTGCATTATACTCAAACTCAACAGAGTTTTAAACTAATGAGCTGGGAATAGTTTCTGCTGCTGATGTTGCTTCCAGCTAAATAGAAAACTGTCTATTACATATAATGAAAACAGGCTTGAAGCTCTTCTAATGTGTAAACGACAAGTGCAAACTGTCAAACTAGTACCTGCATTTGGGAGGGGAACAAAGATATTTTCGAGAATCACTTGCCTCTAATTCATGTAATATGAACTATTTTGGCAAAGATGGAAAATATTTATTTTTTCCCCGTAGGATTGTTGGGTTTTCTGTTATGGGTGGGATTCAGTGCTGCGCTACAATGAACGATTCTTCTGCACAAACACTGCAGCTTGCCAGGGGAACAATTGCCTCCTCTCCCCCCATGTGATGTTCTTGGGGGTTCTCCTTACACACACACTCCAAGCCTATTGTGAAGAAGTATCTGAAGAAGTGTGCATGCACACGAAAGCTTATACCCAGAACAAACTTAGTTGGTCTCTAAGGTGCTACTGGATAATTTTTATTTATTTATTTATTTATTTATTTATTCCCAAGCCAATTGTGAGGAGACGGGGGCACAAAGAGGGGAGTGGAGTGGGGAAAACCCCCATTGTGAAGTTTTTGTGGAGGGGCTTCCACTTATAGGACTTGCTAGCTGAATTCCACCTCATGTCTTTGAGGAACCACCCTGCAGGAAACAAAACAAGCTCTGATAGAAGCAATACTTCAGTACAACAGCTTTCTGAATGCCGACTTGTTCGCCGTGGGCAAACCTTTTATGAATGAAAAGGTTAATCTGAGTGAATGTGAACTGAATGAGTTCATTTTGCAAAAGGACAAAGTTGAACTGGTCCCTGATTGGATAGAATGAACTAGAACTAGTTTATTTCAAAATGAAATTTCCAAACACCAACTGTTCTTCCGTAAGGTCAGCTTCTGGATATTCCTAAAGAGTTGTCAGGAACAAGATAAGGAAGCTTGATGGGTCCTTAACCCTCACCTTTAATTTTTATTGTTTAAAAACTATACAGCGTAAATTAGAACAATAGAATGCCTAAAGATTTTTAGACTATATCTAAATTTATAACATCAAAAACAAAGTGGGAAGTTTGCATTTTTAAACAAACTGTGCAACATGTACTGAAACATAGATTGCAAGACTGCACATTTATACTAATATTAAAACACTGAGAAAGTTGCTCATTAGGATATAGTTGATGGGCCCTTAACACAAGTCAGCTGTGCACAAAAGGCTAACTTATGTGTCTTCAGAACAAAGGCAAAGGCCGTTGCTCTGTGAATCTTTGTGCTGTATCATTAGTAGTGATTAATAATCACAGGCTATGGAAGGAATGCATGCAGTCTTACCTGTGAAAGCATATATTTGCCTGTGTGCTATAAAAAGAATCGGAGGCTTGGAAACTTATCTATACTTCCAGGCACACACCCAGCTTCAAAAGTAAAAAGATCATCAAAATGTTATGGATCAGATTCCACCTTTCAAAGCCAAACATCAAAGGCACACAGCCAGCCACGTAGAAGGCAAAAGGAACTCTTTGACCAGAGAAAAGAAAATATCTAGTTTTTCCCCATGGAGAGGACAGTGTTTTGGGTTTTGGGTGTTAAGCTGGGTGCCAGACCCCTCTAATCCTTGGATCCAGCAAATGTTAGAATTTTATCAAGGCTTCTAATTCTTGGAATAACCTCCTGGTGAGGTGGTAGAAGGTGATGAGCCATTAAGGGGGGGGGGGTTAAGGGGCTCAGTTAGTGATGTATGGAAGTGAAAGCTGGACCATAAAGAAGGCTGATCGCTGAAGAATTGATGCTTTTGAATTCTGGTGCTGGAGGAGACTCTTGAGAGTCCCATGGACTGCAAGAAGATCAAACCTATCCATTCTTAAGGAAATCAGCCCTGAGTGCTCACTGGAAGGACAGGTCCTGAAACTGAGGCTCCAATACTTTGACCACCTCATGAGAAGAGAAGACTCCCTGGAAAAGACCCTGATGTTGGGAAAGATGGAGGGCACAAGGAGAAGGGGACGACAGAGGATGAGATGGTTGGACAGTGTTCTCGAAGCTACCACAGCATGAGTTTGACCAAACTGCGGGAGGCAGTGGAAGACAGGAGTGCCTGGCATGCTCTGATCCATGGGGTCACGAAGAGCCAGACATGACTAAACGACTAAACAACAACAAGGGGCTCAGTGTGAGACAGCAAATGGGTGGAGCCCTCTCCCTCAACAGAAAAAGCCAGAGTTCAGAGATGTGAGGAGCAGTGATGTGACATAGGAAGGAAAGCAGCAAGCTGGAGAGAGAAAGGCAGAGCAATGTCTGAGAGCAATGTCTGATTTCTGTTTGATTCCCAAGCTGTTACTATGGGTGAAACCGCTTTTGGGGTGTGAATGCTGTGAACCTCTCCACTGTAGGCTCAGGTTGCATATAAAGTCTTCACAGTCTCTGCTGTGCCTCATTCCCAAAAGGAAACATGAACCCCGAGTAAGTACATGGAACCCCTCGCAGCGCTCCGAGATTGGGGTGGCCTGCAACTGGGTCTCTTTTCGTCCGCAGCCAGAGCTCACCAGAGCTCAGCTCCGGCACCTCTCAAGTGGGTGCCTTTGCCATTCCAAGAGAACAAGGGAGAAGTTCATGGTGAGCCCTGGCACCCTTTTTTTCTAGAAAAATAGCACTGTGTCCAACAATATGTATGGTGCCAAGTCTTCTTGCTTTCATGAGACACACACTTTGCAATATTTCTGAGAGCAGCAGTTCAGATGATGGCCTGGGGTGGTATTTTTATTGTTGGTTAAGTAGGCATGTTAATCGTTTCTTTACCTCATTCAGACAACACTATCCTTCACCTCACTTTTCCTCTGCTACTGCTATTGGCGTGTTAGTTGTATAATGTTTGGGGATCTGGAAGCAAAGTCACTGAGTGCTCTAATTCCTGGGACTTCCAGAGCCTTTTCCCCCCTTACTATTTTATTTTTGAACAGCAGACATGTTATCTCACAATCCCTTTTTGATAATCCACTCAGTTTCAAATGAGAGATACAGTTCCAAAGCTAGCTACACAGTACATCCCAGACAATACATTAAAAACCTGTCCATTTTATTATTTGATACACAGTGCATACACAGACACTGATGTAGCTACCAGGTGTTACATTGCTGAGTTTTGCAAATGCTGAGTTAAATATTTAAAAATCTGTGAAGCAGCGTGGTAGTTTTATTTTGAACACAGGTGCTGTTGAATGCTTGGAACCTAAAGTGTATGTAGTAAAACCAGTCAGTATATGTTCTTAGGATTGTGGCACAAGCTTCAGAGCTGTTAGAACAGAGGTGGCTACCCTTTGGCTCTTGATATGTTGGACTTGAGCTCTCATCAGCTCTGGTCCACATGGCCACAGGTTGGCTCCCACCTCTCAAGTTGGAATATAAGAAGTTGCCTTCTTCTGAGTCACACTCTTGGTCCATGTAGCTCAGTACAGTGATACCTTGGTTTACGAACAGCCCTGTTAACAAACTATTCAGTTTACGAACTCTGCAAAACTGGAAGTAGAGTCCCGGTTTGCGAACTTTACCTCAGTCTGAGAATGGAAGCCAAACGGTGGAGGGCACTGGTGGCGGGAGGCCTCATTAGGGAAAGAGCACCTCGGTTTAAGAATGGTTTCAGTTTAAGAATGGACTTCTGGAACGGATTAAGTTCATAAACCAAGGTACTACTATACTGTCAACAAAGCAGCTCTGCAGTTTCAGACAGGTATCCTTCCCAGCCATACCTGGACTTGCCCAGCTCATCAGCTAGAGAGACAGAGATGGATGTTGACCCAGGTAGAATGAGCAACTGCAGTTGCTTTTTTTTAATAAAAAAAACCATTGAAAATAAATAAAGATACAATTAGCATGATTTATTTGGATTAGTTGAGGTCTGGAGTATTAATAGGTTTGAAACTGAGTGGAAATTTTTGAAATGTCCAGTAATATTATGCACCTGCTCTTTTGTGTGTTTCTCTTTTGTGTTTGGATTGCATAGTTTATTTATATCGATATTTTATAAAAATCTGAAGTATATTTTAAAAATCAGCTCAATAATAAAACAACAACAACTGCAGCCGTTTGGCACAGATGGAATGTGACACTTGCTCGTGGAATTTAATGCACATTATCCTCTGCTTGTGTGTGTGGTTAAATAATCAATTTCTGCTTGACCTGGATAAGGTTTGGAGAGGAAATCCATAAGCAAATATTGCCTTGTGGGCTAACGGAGCTAACAGCACGTAAATGCTTTACCAGAGCTTCTACAGCAATGATAAATCACCAGTCCCTTAATTTTTCTTTAAAAAGCAACAACGTGTTCTGTACTCAGCAAACTCACAGAATAAAACAGACACACACTTGAATGTCCCTATCTTCATCCGAGAAATGTTGGAGGGTATTTTAATGTCAGGATTCAAACTGTGGGCTCAGGTGTTGCTTTGTTATAGTGGAGGCTGACAACTGCTTCCCTTCCCCAAGTGTTTGAGGCAGTAGTAGTAGTAGTAGAAGTAGTAGTAGTAGTAGTAGTAAGCATGCTGTTAGCTTTTGAAGGTGCTCATTATTAGTAGGATGTTGATATTGTGCATCAGCCTTCACTAACTTGGTGCCCTCCATATGTTTTGGACTACAGCCCCTGCGTCATGCTGGTGATACGAAGGGCACCATATTGGAAAAGGCTGGTGTACATCTGCAAATGTTTCTATTTTATCTAAGCTACTTTATTGGATCACCTATCAACTGTTGAGGCCATTATTAAATGCAGTAATATCCAGCTTACACCTGACTGTGAGTTCTTTACAGTACTAGTACAGTGGTACCTCGGGTTAAATACTTAATTCATTCCGGAGGTCCGTTCTTAACCTGAAACTGTTCTTAACCTGAAGCACCACTTTAGCTAATGGGGCCTCCTGCTGCCACTGTGCTACCGGAGCATGATTTCTGTTCTCATCCTGAAGCAAAGTTCTTAACCTGAGGTACTATTTCTGGATTAGCAGAGTCTGTAACCTGAAGCGTCTGTAACCTGAAGCGTATGTAACCCGAGGTACCACTGTATCTCAAGAGCTGCTAGAGCTGCGATAGCATGCGCAGAGCTATTGGTTCTCATTGACTCAAACACCGTAAGCAGAGCTACTGATTCACACATGCATGTTCTCTTTCAATTACTGCAGTAAAAAGTGGCAGCTTTGTGTGTTTGTCTGTGTGTATGAACGAGCCATCAGAGGGAAAATGCCGCAGGCAGAATTTTGGAATGAGATGCTTTCCTGTGGAGTCAGATTACACATTCAGCTGCCAGGCAGCAAAATGTAGGTGTGTATTAGAAATGGCTTCCAATCTGTCATGTTACCAAAAAGAGTGTTATGGAGAAGAACTGGAAGGAGGGAAATTGTGCAAATTGATGGTGATTTGGCTGTATGCTTATTTTGGGTGGCATCTAATGCTCTTCTTGGGAAGCCAGTAAGTTCAGTGTAACCTCTCCCCTCATGTAAACCTGCTTGATCACCACAAATTAAAAGATTTAACCTGTGCTTAATAGGATTTCACCCCTCAGGTTGCTGAGTTTCCCTGTCTCTGACTGCAGAATAATTCCTGCTTCATTTTTATATTATTCAAGCGGGCCATTTTTGAAGGAATACAGGTAGCAACGTTCCCTCAGGCTTTTGGCAGTGTGCATTTGAATTTCATGGAGTAGTAATGCAGCAGATCTTGGCAGACCTCCCAGCCTTTGGTTCAGGCGTGACTGCAGTAACAATTAAAAGCAGAGGTGTGAGGAGGGGCAGAACCAGAATCCTGATTCCAAAGGGCCGTTTGTTCTTTGCAGCTAGGAAAGGAGTGGAAACTGCAGGTCACAGCTAAAATTCTACCCCCAAACAAACAGAACTTCAAACAGCTGAAATCTCCCCATACAATATTGGGGATTGCTTCACTTCAGTGGGAAGAGAATTGGATATAGTTGTGCAAGAGGAGCCAGTAGATATTTGGGAGTAAAAATAACAAGTAAAATAGGAGACCTGAACAAAAATAATTGCAGAATCTCTGTGCCATGAATTTAGTAATTTGCTCCTGTAATGGGAAAACTACTTTTGTCTTTGCTAAACAGGGTGTCCACAGTTGAAATAGCGTTGTACATCTTTCCCTGGTCACTTATATCTGTGGATAAAGATCTGCTGATGGTGCCACACCTCTCTGCAGTGCAACATGCAGTGGCTCATACGTATACTAGAGTAACCAGCTCTGGCACTTTGTGGTACTTTGTTGTTTAGTCGTGTCCGACTCTTGGTGACGCCCTGGACCAGAGCACGCCAGGCACTCCTGTCTTCCACTGCCTCCCGCAGTTTGGTCAAACTCATGCTGTGGTAGCTTCGAGAACACTGTCCAACCATCTCATCCTCTGTTGTCCCCTTCTCCTTGTGCCCTCCATCTTTCCCACCATCAGGGTCTTTTCCAGGGAGTCTTCTCTTCTCATGAGGTGGCCAAAGTATTGGAGCCTCAGCTTCATGATCTGTCCTTCCAGTGAGCACTCAGGGCTGATTTCCTTCAGAATGGATAGGTTTGATCTTCTTGAAGTCCATGGGACTCTCAAGAGTCTCCTCCAGCACCACAATTCAAAAGCATCAATTATTTGGCGATCAGCCTTCTTTATGGTCCAGCTCTCACTTCCATACATCACTACTGGAAAAACCATGGCTTTAACTATACGGACCTTTGTTGGCAAGGTGATGTCTCTGCTTTTTAAGATGCTGTCTAGGTTTGTCATCGCCTTTCTCCCAAGAAGCAGGCGTCTTTTAATTTTGTGACTGCTGTCACCATCTGCTGTGATCATGGAGCCCAAGAAAGTAAAATCTCTCACTGCCTCCATTTCTTCCCCTTCTATTTGCCAGGAGGTGATGGGACCAGTGGCCATGGTCTTCGTTTTTTTGATGTTGAGCTTCAGACCATATTTTGCGCTCTCCTCTTTCACCCTCATTAAAAGGTTATTTAATTCCTCCTCACTTTCTGCCATCAAGGTTGTGTCATCTACATATCCAAGGTTGTTGATATTTCTTCTGGCAATCTTAATTCCAGCTTGGGATTCATCCAGCCCAGCCTTTCGCATGATGAATTCTGCATATAAGTTGGCACTAGTTCTCTGCAATTTTATCATTTTTCCTGATGTTTTCCCTCTTACTCATCTTTATCCAGCTAATAGACTCTGTTGTTATTAATTCCAGTTCAGGTAGGAACTACACTGGTTTTTTTAGCATCTGGACAATGCCACCCATATACAAGCTTATGTTTTCAATATTTTTACAGATGTTTTGCTCCATTTTCTCCTATTCCTTTTCCTTTTTAATTTCCTTTTTATTCAGTTTCATTTTCACTTATTGTTTCATTTTCTTTTTTCTTTTTTTCCTTTTTCCTTTTCTGCTTTTCTTTTAATTTGCCAGGCATTCTAAATCTAAAATAAATAACAAAACTAACAAACCAACTTCATCTACCTTTTGGTAGGTCAGTAATTTTAAAGAAATTATTGCTTTTGTCTATAGACCATTAAGAAATTAAAAGGTTCAAGTGTTTCAAAATAGAAAAGAAAAGAAAGGCCATTCAAAAATTTCAAAGGCTTTTTCTTTATCTATAATGTCAGCAAGATGTCCTTTAAAGTTTTGGACTTATAATCTCTGATGGTATGTTATATTTTCCTATGTTGTTGCTCATTTTTCTCTTCCATTAAAACACTGTTTGATCTTAATGTGTATATTTATATCCAATACTATTTAACATCCTTGCTAAGATACTGGTAAATATTTTTAGTCATCCTTTAAAAGTGATAGACTTGTATAATAAGATAGTAATACCAGATCTTTACCTTTTTTAAAGGAAACACTGCAGTTATGCTTCTTGCCTTGATTATGCCAACCTATTTTTCATCAGGATATTGCTTTTCAATGGGGGGGTTTGAATAGGTTTTATTTATAGTAAGTTTGAAAGGGTTTTATTATACTATTATATTTACCACTCAGGACCTGGGGCTTTGTTCTCCTCTTAAAGACTTAATGGATTCCAATATGTATTTATTTCAAATGGGTTTATCCAGTAATTACAATCTGAAGAAGCAAAAAAATTATACCAACCAATTTACTTCAGTAAACACAAGATCTTTCAATGAGGGAATAAGCAGAGGAATTGCAGATCATTTGAAGAAAAAACAACAGATGGAACAAATTCTCCCAATAACGAGGGGAAATGATACAGCTAAATCTCTTTATATCAGCACATTTAAATAATATAGTACTCTAAGTTATAGAAGTCAAACAACCCAGATAAAGAAGAAATAGTGAAGTTTATATGTGAAATAAATAACAGGAATATTTGAATTCTTGCAATGCTGAAAAATGGATTTGCCAAGTCTCTTTTGGACTATCAAATGTTTTTTAAAAAGGCATTGGAAAGCGTGATAACATTGGCACCCTGAAGTTTTTAAATACACACACACACACACACACACACACACACACCCTTTCCTGATGATCATTGTGAACTGGAATCTCTGATAGCTATCATTAGAGCAGATTCATAGGCAATTAGTTTGTTAATGAGCTGCTAAAAACATACATATTAAGGTGGACAGCCCAACTGAACATATGGTTTCACTAGAGCAGTATTCTATTTTACTATTTTCCCAAAGGTATGAAAAGAGGTGAGTTTTGTTAGTGGCCCTGTTCTCTTTCTTCCCCCTCTCCCAAATATAGGACAGGATGGACTTGTATTGGATTGTTTTATATTTTGCTGTGGCTTTTTCATTTACATCAAACTCTGGATTTTCTAATTTCAGGTGTTAACTATGGATATTTTCCCTCTGGTACAAAGAAAAAAACCATGTTTGGGTCCATCAAATTTATATTCTAAACAGACTTGTGTGGAAGGATTGCTTGTAGGAAAAAAAATGCAATTAAATTTAGTACATCTCAAAACGACATTGGCAGTGATTTGGATTAAGACTCACAGAACTTTTAGAAGGCCCAGAGAGCAAAAGAATCAATTAATTTAAAGAGAATCTGATTGCATCCAGTGTGAGCAGCCTAATTCAGAGTAACTAGTAGGGCTCTTAAGTCTGTGAGAGGGTATAATATTGTCCAGCGACACAGTGCTATTAACAAGCCAACTTTTGTGCTGGGTGGGTTTCATGCACAACAGCTCTAAGCTTATGGTAGTCAGGAGGGATTCTAAAGGTAAAGGGACCCCTGACCATTAGGTCCAGTCGTGGCCAACTCTGGGGTTGCGGCGCTCATCTCGCTTTATTGGCCGAGGGAGCTGGCGTATAGCTTCCAGGTCATGTGGCCAGCATGACTGAGCCGCTTCTGGCGAACCAGAGCAGCGCACAGAAACGCCATTTACCTTTCCGCCAGAGTGGTACCTATTTATCTACTTGCACTTTGAGGTGCTTTCAAACTGCTAGGTTGGCAGGAGCAGGGACTGAGCAACGGGAGCTCACCCTGTCGTGGGGATTCGAACCGCCAACCTTCTGATCGGCAAGCCCTAGGCTCTGTGGTTTAACCCACAGCGCCACACACGTCCCAGGAGGTATTCTAGTAGGTGCTTAAAGGTTAAAGCAGAAGGCAGCTGCCTGAATCTCTATTGGCAGAGCATCCAATAGGAACCTTCAGACTGGGATGGGATTATGTTCATACTCTTTAATGAAAGCACTTCAAACCTAAAAGGGTGACTTGTTTGCCACCAATTGTCCATTGTTTAGAAACCCCATCCTTTCCAAAATAGACAGCCTAAGAAAGCTGGATCTTAGGGAGCTCTTTTTACTGTCTTGCCTGATAAGTCTTCTCCTATCCTTTAGCCTTTCAGACTCCTCCCTCCGAGTGAATGTTGCCTCTGCTTCCACTTTTTTTTTTGCTTTTAAATTGCTTTATTGAGCTTAAAACAACAACAACACAAAATCAAAGTTATCCATAATAAAAAATGAACAACAAACAAATTATCAATATCTGTTACACTTTATCACAGTCTTCTTTTGATTCCAATGACTTCCTGCCAATTTCATGTAGCTTTAAATATGTATTTATCTAGCGCACTATTCATCTCTATTTTTAATGATTACTTATCAAAGATAATGTACTTTCTTAAACTTATTCAGTGGATTACAGAAGCTATTCAAAGGCTGCCACAGACTTCATACTGTTACAATCTTTAATGTAACTTTTAAATAGATACCATTTATTAAAAAATACTTGATCTGCATGGTCTCTTACTTTTCCTGATAACTTAGCCAGCTCTGCATATTCCATTAATTTTTGTTGCCACTCCGACTTTGATGGTATTTTCCCTCCTTTCCAGTTTGAGGCTATTAAAATTCTTGCGGCCACTTGCGTAGAAAAATAGTTCCCTTGCATTTTTTGGAATGCCAGGACCTAATATTCTGAGAAGGAAGGCTTCTGGGGTTTATATATATATATATTATTTATATATATATATATATAAACACAACCTTAAGCATTTTTTAAAGTTCCATATATATTTCATCCCAGGATTCCTTAAATTTTTTGCATGTCCACCACATATGCAGCATAGATCCCACTGCTTCTCCACATCTCCAACTTTTATTTGATACGTTTTTGTACATTTTGGATAATTTTAAAGGGGTCCTGTACCAACAATACTGCATTTTTTAAAAAAATCTCTCTGTGTGTAGCAAGCAGTGAATCTCATATTAATTTTCCAGAGGTTTCCCCAATCCTTCATTAAGATATTATAACCAAAGTCCTGTGCCCATATTATCATGACAGATTTTACCTCCTTCTCCTTGACTTCCCATTCAAGGAGGAGTCGGTACATTTTAGAAAGCGTCTTTACTTTAGAGTTAATCAGGTCATTCTCTAGTCTAGATGGTTCTGTTGTGAATCCTTTTCTTTTGTCTACTTTGAATGACTCATACAATTGATGATATTGGAGCCATCGCCGCTGCTTCCACTTAATAACCTGAGCCAGTGCTTCCTGGGAATAATACAGACCACTAAGTCAGACCACTGGGTCCATCTAGCTCAGCAGTGTCAACATGGACTAGCAGTGGCTTTTCAGGATTTCAAACACGGAATCTCTCCAGCCCTACCTGGATAGGCTAGGATTGAACAGGGAATCTTCTGCATTCAAGGCAGCAGGTGCTCTTCCAATGAGCTTTGTCCCTTTCCCAGCAGAAAGTGTTTGAATCAGTGCTCCACAAAACTAAACTGTGCATAGGATTGGGAAAGCAATTTGGTCGCCTTTGAAGGTTGGTTTCCTTTAGTACTTGGGTGTTGTGTCCCAACGTGTTCTTTCCTCCAGACCAATATAATGTTCTCACCTATATTCATGCATGCTGCACCCTACTGAATTCTTTTCAGTAACCGCCTGACATTGACGGAATAGCTCAGTCAGTAGAGCATGAGACTCTTCATCTCAGGGTCGTCGGTTTGAGCCCCACATTGGGCAAAAAGGTTCCTCCATTGACAGTCCAACGCTACAATGCTATGAGTCTGTGGCTACCTAGGGAAGAAGCTTGTGCTCTGCTGCATTTATTGTTCTGAGTCCTGTTTCTGTCCAGTGAGTAAGAATCAAAGCATCAGGGGTGCCATCTATGGGGGGCCAAGGGCTCAAAAAAATTCAAGGAGGGGGCCACCCCCAGTATTCTGTGGCCTGCCCGCTGGGACTTCCCACATACACGCAGGCCCTGTTGGGCCTTCCTGCAGCCATGACAAGTCCTGTCTGGCCTCCTTGCTGCTGCAGAGCTACTGCTGGATTTATACAGATTTGAAACTGAAACTCCATGTTGTTGTTTTAAAAAAACACCCTTAACAAAGGGCAAGATCACATGGCTTGGTTGCCATGGGGATCATTGCTCAGTGTTCTGCGTGAACCATGTAGCTAGTAACCCAAATCCACCTTGCTGAGTTTCTGCTGACGCAGGAATTTGGAGGCTGGAGAGCAAAGGGAATGGAATGCTCTCTATGTCCATGTGACCTGGTTTATTTCCAGAGCCATCTTGGGAAACTTCCGCTTGGTTGCAAACTGGGAAAACGAAAAGGCTACTGTATAGGAACATGGTGTTTTTATATTTACCCTTAATGAGGAAAGGCAAAAGCCTGTAATTGGAGACTCACTTGCTTGTGGTGTTTCTGAAGGAAGAACATGTCACATCCCGATTCTGAGTTTATTCCAGATACGCAAAACAAGGATTCCGTTTACTCGGCCTGCCCAGTAGTATGTCAAACCATTCAAAATCAAATAATAATGCTTTTATGTTGCTTCTTGGAGTGAGGCAAAGCCAGATGTTGTAACAGATGCACGGCTGCTATCAAGAGCAGCACCCCATGCCCACCCCAAGCCTGCTTTTTCTCTCTTCTGTAATGCCTAGTAATACAGAAAGCATAACATGACATTGATGGTCTGACTTTTCCCATCTCCGCTCCCACCTTATTGGCAGCTGCTTGTATATGGAGGAGTTAGCTGTGGAAATACATCGCCATTTGCACCCAGCTGCATTCTCCTTTATTCCTGCTCTTGCATCTGTTGCCAAGAGAATGAAGCTTTATTCCCAGACTGCTTGTGATCACATTAGCAGGTTGCTGCCACCCTATCCTTAATCCCATTAGACTTCACAAGGGCATCTGTTTGGCCCATGTAGCTTGACTAGGGATAACCCAGAGTTTGCTGTGGGGAGACTTAAGTGCACTTAGCCCAAACACTGAGAACACATAGAGCCTTCAAGGGCATTCATATTTTACATTGATTTAATGCAGAAATACGCTTAAATGGCATACGTTCTCATCAAATGCTGAACGGCCTTCAGCAACATGTCTAAGGCCACTTAGATATTTAATCTGTAGTCTTCCCCATTTTCAGATTGTGACCTTTTAGGGAGCCACCTTTTAAATGTTCATCTATATCTGGCTATCTCCTTTCTCTCTCCCCCCTCCTCTTCTCCTTCTCTTGAAGACATAAGCAACCCTAAACCAAGAAACAGAAAATAGTGGTAGCACCATTGATGAGGCCTACCATTGGTAGGGGCAAAATGAAGTTGTGAGTCATGACCCACCAGTTGGGGACCAATGATCAAGGGTAGAGAGTCTGCAGTGCTCCAAAAGTTCATTGAATCATAGAACTGTAGAGTTAGAAGGGACAACGAGAGTCCAACCTCCTGCAAGGCAGGAATCTTTTGCCCACTGTGAGGCTCCAACCCACAACCCTGAAATTGAGTCTTGTGCTCTTACTGGCTAAGCTGTTGAACTCCAACTCTCATCTGCTGGCTGGGGATCAAGAATGCTGGGAACTGTAGTCAAGCAATATCTGGAGGGAGAGGTATCTCCAGCCCTGGCTTAAATGGTCCTCTGTTCTGATGGAAACATGGAGCAGATAATTCTGTACCCAAATGAATCCATCATGTAGGAAACTCATGCTTTAATTTTGTGCTGCTTGTGTCTATACATATGTAATGCATCTCCTCAGCGCATTCTCATGAGACCTGCAGAATAATCCATAACCACATCTCTTAACTTTCACAAAAGGTTATCTTATTCATTAGTCTCTTCCTAGGGCAAGATGTCAGTATTTTGTTAAAAGTCCCTCTTGTTCCTTCCTACCTTATTTTTTATTAATAAAGCTTTTTCATAACACTGTTTTATGTCCAATGTTATGTACTGCTAGCTCTAAACTAAGCTGAAGATGATTTCATGCCTCATTAGAAGTCAGACAATTTCAAACATTTCACTTTCTCCATTACTGTGTGTTTAAAATTCCATACAAATTAGAATAATGCTGATCACTGCCGTGTATAATGAACTTTAACATGTAGGGGGAGGCCTAATCAAGTCTGGGTTTTAAGACCATGCGCTGAGACAGAGGTTATTGTTCCGAATCTCTCCCACACTTTGCTGCAATGGAACCTCTGGGATTGATCATCGACAGGAAGATCTATCGCTTCATAAAAGCAGGACAAGACCCTTGCTGGCTCTGAAAATGTTTCTAGCCGCCCACACAGAGGCACAGAAAATGGCTCTGTGGTTTGGAATCTCTACTCCCCCCTTGGGGTTTAGGTTTTCAAACAGCAGACTCAAGGACGTGCATTTGGGATCAGTGTTGCATTGTGGTGTGCAGCAGGCATAAAATATAAGAATAATAAATGTTACGAGCAAATAATGAATGGAGGGGGTTAAAGTAATGTCATTGTTCTGCCGAGATTTTGAGTGCTCTGCTCGAGGTAAGTCTTTGCTACTTCCTTCTCTCTCGTAGGTGCTTCAGAAGCTGGGGAAAGCTGATGAAACAAAAGATGAACAGTTTGAAGAGTATGTTCTGAACTTCAAAAGGCAAGAGGTCAGATTCTTTGATGTTGATGACGGTTGGCTTTTATAAGCTTTTTATGTGTGTTTGCATGTAAAGTTGTAAGGCAGGAGTGGGGAGCCTGTGGCCCTTTGGATAGTTGCTGGGCTGCAACACCCATTGCCCTCGACTGTTGGCCATGCTAGCTGGAGCTGATAAGATTTGTGATCCAGCAACATCTGGAGAGCCAGAGGTTTCCCCATCCCTGTTGTAAGGCAACATGGGAAACCAATGCTGGGGGGAATTGTAGGAGCTAAAGCTTTCAGACTTTGCTCCGTCTGTTTGTCTGTCATAGATGAAGAAGAGTTTGGATTTGATATCCCTCTTTATCACTACCCTAAGGAGTCTCAAAGCGGCTAACAGTCTCCTTTCCCTTCCTCCCCCACAACAAACACTCTATGAGGTGAGTGAGGCTGAGAGACTTCAGAGAAGTGTGAGTAGCCCAAGGTCACCCAGCAGCTGCATGTGGAGGAGCGGGGAAGCGAACCTGGTTCACCAGATTATGAGTCCACCGCTCTTAACCACTACACACTAGATCCTTTACCTATTTGCTATGGAATGCCTACATGTCACCCACAATGCCCTCTAAACTTCATGGGAGATACAGGCCAAGCCTCTTTGACTTCCTTGTGACCCCACATGGACTGTACCCTAAAATACAACACTCCCCTGTAAGGGCTGCTAGGAGTTGTCCTCTTTCAGGGAAGCTTATCCACCTCAGACTCTCAGGGCAAAATTTCCACCACCACCCAGAGACAGGCAGAGGACTGTCGGTTGGTTGCTTTTCCTTGCGGTTGCTGCTTGCCCACTTAGAGAATTAAGTGCATGGTAGCAGTACTGCTAGAAGCAGCAGCTGCTCTCTGTTCTTCGACTCTGAACAGGAACGTGGAAGAGAATATGCCACCATAGGTATCAGTGTGGTGCTGAGGTTCAATATGTTAACCAAAACTCTATGGACAATCGCACTTCTGTGATTTTGCAGTGCAGTTCTGCAAGCTGAATGTGTGCATGCTTTTTTAGTGAAAATAGCAAAAATGCATTGTATTGGGGCACATATTATGAAAAATGCCCACAAAGATATGTACATTTTTTAAAAGAACAAGTTGAGGTGGATAGTGCTCAGGTTCTTTAAGAAATTAGTTTTACCCTCGCATAAAACGCTCCCAAATCAGCAGTTCTCAAGACTGACAAGAGAAGCAATGGTAATAAATCAGGACTGTGTAGCTCAGACTGTCCCCAAGGCTGCCTCTTTTACTAGGAGGCATCAAATTAAAAAATCTGACAGTTCCACTGTTTGTGTTGGATCCACTTGGGGTTCATGGAAGGGAACGGCCCATTGCCCCATAGATATGAAAGCAGAGTTAGGTCCTATCCTGGTAAATTGCAAACTAAATTGTGAATTTTTATTCTTTTATGGTGTGTTGCTGTATGCTAATGTGCCCCATTTATGTGGAATATAAACCTGTTCAACCTTCATAACAGCCTTCTTAATGAACATGTGTCTGATTTCCCAGTTTACAGATGGAAACCCCTCAGTGTGTGTGTGTGTGTGTGTGTGTGTGTGTTTGTGTTTTCTTGTGCTAATGAAGTTTTTTCTTTTCATGCTGATTAAAGAGTATGCTTTTGTAGTGTAGGTAAGATCCCCAGGCAAAATTCTGACTACAATCTGACACCTTTACAGTAGCTTCAAAGGAATAATTTAAAGGTTATCAGGCAGCCAGCAATGGGTCTGTAGGCCTTTCATAATTACACAGTATATTCAGCGTATCATGAAGAAGAGCTTTCTGACTCTAAAGGTCTCCTTAAGGACTTTTGACAAGAGCCTCTTTCTTTTGTTAATACTCCTTTGATAGAGGCAGATGGAATCCATAATAGAAGTAGCTTGCAGCACATAAGAAGTTTCAGTGGATTCCCATCCCTCTCTCTGCTTTTTGCAGAAGTTGCAGTATGCACTCCCACATTTTTTCTGGGTTGCTTTTTGTCAGGGCTGATCTGGGAGCAGCTGCCGGAGTGGAGCTGGGAGCCAGGAACCAGGCGTTGTGTCAGGAGATCAAGGCAGGCACACCAGAGCCAGGGAGACCGTCACTCCCCAGGCAAAGAACCAGGGCAGACAGGAAGCCTTTTGTAGCTCTACCTGCCCAGGAAGCCCTAGTGGCCAGGATGACACACAGATTGCATCCCTTGTGGCTTGTCACATGGAGCAGGCACGTTCTGAGCTGAAATTTAATATTTCTGGCTCTGTGGCTCTGGACACTTCTTCAGATTCCAGTTCCTCAAAGCTTCCCTGAAAATTCAACTCAGTAAGATGTGGGTTGGCGCATTAGAGTCAAGGAGCTGTGAGGCTGGTAGGAGATCAGAAGTTCATCTAGTCCTACAGTGTGTGCTGAAGCAGGATCTTTTGAGCCAGCTTTCCTTTCAGGCAACAACCATGTTATCTGCTGTTTGTTTCAACCGTCTAGAATTCTTTCTTTGCTGTAGACACCAGCTATACTACTCTTTTGCTCAGTAGATACCTTCTGAAATTTTGTTTGTATTTAAAGTGGAAGAACAGCATTGGTGTTTCTTTCTTAGTGTTCTTATTTAAAGAAAATGCTGCATGCAGATAGCTAATTATTTAGAGATATGGGAATGCCCTTCATCTCTCTGATAGATCCACGTTTGTTCCACTGTGTTGCATATGTGATATGACATTGCTTCTTTAATTGCTTTTCAGGCAGAAGGTACCAGACTCCAGAAAGAGCTCCGGGGATATTTAGCTGCCATTAAAGGTAATTGCAGTTAAAATGCATCTTTTAATTTTAATTTTAATTTTCACTGCAAATTTTAAAAGTTCAAATGAATCGTTTGTTTTGTAGATCTTATAATGTACAGTTAGGTTGCTTCTGGATCATGGGTAGGCAGACTAAGACCAAGGGGCCGGATTCTGCCCAATCGCCTTCTCAAGCCGGCCTGCGGACGGTCTGGGAATCAGCGTGTTTTTACATGAGTAGAATGTGTCCTTTTATTTAAAATGCATCTCTGGGTTATTTGTGGGGCCTGACTGGTGTTTTTACATGAATAAAATGTGTGCTTTTATTTAAAATGCATCTCTGGATTATTTTGGGGGCATGGGAATTCGTTCACCCCCCCCCCAAAAAAATAGTCCTGCCCTTCACAAGGTCTGAGGGACAGTGGACTGTCCCCTGCTGAAAAAGGTTGCTGACCCCTGTTCTGGACAGTTGCTTTTTCCAGGTGCCACAGTGTCATGGCAGATGACTAAACGCCAGGGGTTACCCTTCCCATCCTGTTTCACCGCCTGAGGCGAAGTGAAAAGGTCTGCCCCCCCCGATGAAGCCTCACTTACTGGGGTTTCACAGCAGCAGCGCCTTCTTCCAGCGAGTTTATCATGAGATCTTGTGGAATTTTGGCAAGGTCTCGCTGGAAGAAGCCACTGCAGCTGCCACAGCCACACAACCCTGGTAGCAGGGTCAGGTGGGTGGCATTGCCCCTTGGGATTCTACCGCCCGAGGCAGCTGCTTCAGCCAACCTAATGGGCAGGCCGGCCCTGCTAAACTCATTCACTTGGAAGAATGCGGTTTCTAGCCTACATGGGCTGCCATGATCAGCATAATGAGAAACGCCAATCTTGTTACTAAACAGCTGAACATCCATAACTCTTTAGTGTGGTGCTCCCTCCCTGAACATCCGTTGTGTCTCTGCTATCTGACCAAATAAAAACTGGAATCTACTCTAGGTTTAGGATAAGAAGAAATGCACTTCAATCAACCAGGTAGCTGAATTCTACTTTAGACTAGAGTGTGTGCACATGGCAGTCAGATTCTTTTTCAACAAGTAGGCCAAGTATGAACAGCCAAAGTTTCAGGAAGACTTTTTTGATAGGGTAGTGGGGAGAATTAGGGAGTTGTCATCCATACCTTTGCAGGGTAGCATGTTGGCTTCCCCCGAACTACAGTCTGAGGAGCTGGAAGAAGGTTTGCAGTGTCAGCTTCACAAGTGTCCTAGTTTGTTAACTTGCATTTGATAAGTTTTATGTTTGCTTTTGAATGCTAGATGAAGGACAGGTTTATAAATGGATGAAATAAACAGCTCCAATATTTTTAAGGGCAAAGCTCTCCAAAGTATGGCCTTCTTGAGATCCCATCTTTGATGAGGTGATTCCATCCTCTTGTTCACACTCTTTCCCTGTGCAGTTTTGTCAAGAGGAACTAAATGAGGTGTAGAAACTGTTGCAGCCACTAGTTTTGATTTGGGAGAGGTGTGAATATGTAAATATATAATTGGATGTGCCCAAATAACTATTTTTTGGTTGCCTGGCTTTTAATATAGGTTTTGTTTTGTTTGATCTGCTTTTGGAGCAATGCATCCTGGATAATTGCTGCCAGTCTGAGTAATAATTCTGGGCTTAATGAGTCAATGGTCTGACTTGGAGTGAAACAGCTTTATGTTTTTTCTTGCTGCCTTGAGATCTGGCCATAAATATTTCTAGTATCTGCTTATTAAATGGAATGATTCAGCTAACTAGCAGCAAATAATACTGTTTCAGAAATTGGTTCTACATATTAATTGCTTATTCTTTCATGTCTGGTTCTGACTTATCTCTGAACTTGTTTCATTTAATTTATCTACCACTGTGGCAGTAATGGAAAAAAACAACCTCAGAGCAAAGAACCTAATTGAACTAATCTGCTCAAGATTTGATAATGTGTCCCCTCGTCCCAGTGTTGTTCTATATAATATGAGGGCATGCTCTCTGTAAGTTCATTTGCAATATGAGACATATAATTTAATGAGCTCACATTTGATTTTTATCATCTCTGGTTTCTATTTTATTACGAATGCTCTATAATTATATTAATTAACTTGTTGATTTGTATCTTTTCTTCTTGACTGTAAGCTGCTATGATGGCCGTTGAGCACTAGAAGAGTGGTATCTCTGTGTGCTGTTGTTGATGCTGATACCAATAAGGCGGTTTCATACCCACTTAAATTAATGACACTTTTAAAAACACTTGACCTCATCCTGCACTCTTGTTTATACACACACACAAAGCATGGTGGTTTTCTTGACGTGCCTCGAAGTGTCACATGACTGTCTTTAGCCTTAGACCAATAGATGCCGTTCCCCATTCTCTGTAATAAAATTCCTATAATCCACTGATAACTCTCAGATACGCCATTTATGTCCCCCTTCCCCCTTCAGTATTCCCCTTCTGCTATTCATCCACTGTTCCAAGACTTTATGGTAGTGATCCAGGAAATGAGTTTCGTAATAAACTGTAGTGGATTTACAAGGTCTGGTGGTACAGCTGGGGGCCCTGATGCAGTTAGCTCCAGGATTGTGTAGGGACAACAGTCAAGACACGACAAATTGTCTGGGTGTCCTGCACAGCAGCCTGCATAGGCTTTTCCGTACAGCTGACAGGCTGTATGCAGTGCCCTTTGGGAGTGTGTGGGAACTTCAGCCTGGATGAATCATGCCTTCGCATTGAGGATTGAAACGAGGCTCTCAATACATGGTCATCGTAGCTTGGAAAAGGCTGCCATACCTACACAAATCTTAGCAATGATTTGTGCATTCTCCACATTAGAAGCTCCATCCCAGAGACAGAGGCGGATTTAGGGGGGGTGTGATAAGCTGCATGGGATGCTGCAACAGTGAGTTGCCAACAAATTTTAGCGTCGCAGAGGGCGCTGCTGAAATTTTAAAGCCCGAAGTCTGCCACCGCTAGAGACCATTGCATGAGGACCGCCCATATTGTAAACCTATAAAAGTCAATACATTTTCCATTTCATTGTTGTAGATTCATTTTGCACAGGGTTGAAGAGTACTTGCTCAGAATAGGTCAGGATGAACATTGCTTTTGTCATGCGTGTGTGTGTGTGTTTGCTTGTGTGTGTGTTTTAAGCAACTGAAGAGCCCAACTATAGTTCATTTATGCTCAGTCATGCTTTCTCATTTCTGTTTGTGCTACCTGCACTGATTGCAGCAATGTGGAAAATGGATCCTTCCTGGGGAGTAAAGCATGGTGAAAACCACCCTAGTTTGGTGTACTCGGCTGCATTCATTATGGAAGGGGAGAAAGCTCTCTATGTAATTTTGCAATAAATTATCTTTAACTAATTATAACTTCTCTGTGACCATGCACAGATAGTTATTCGTAGACTTGAAAGCAAAATGGTGGAGACATCATTTTTCAGTTTAGTTCTCATTTCTGTTATTTACAAATGGATTTTTTCCTGGAAGCAAATAACACAGACACTAAATTCGCAGAAATCAACAGTTAGGGAAATGTCGAGGAAATGGAACAAACTGCCATGTGAACACAGGTCTGATGTCTGTCACATAAGTTTAATTCCCAGGATCCCTAGGAGACAGGAGCCAATAGTTAATGCCAGTTTATGTTCTGCTTATTCTGTGAGCCCCCAGTCTGTGTTGGGGGGGCAGGTGAGGGCGAACTGAATAAAAAGGACACTCAGCATGGTGGCATTCTAGCCCATCCCCATGCTAAAGTAGTGAAATGTTGTAACTAGTGGGGGCAACTGGGGCATATGCCAAACTTCCTCCTTAAACCTTCATTGAAGTGTACCATGTGAGGATGGAACTATGCATTAACTCAGCAACTACGTGTTCCCAAATCCTTGCATGGGAAAGAATCCTGTGCTTGCCAGTTTTCCCATGCAAATGACTCTGTTCAAGGCCTTTTCTCCCCCAGCTACCTTCTTTCTTGTTTAGAACCTGGATGGGGAACAAACCTATTTTGACATAGCTTCAAGGAGTCTGTGCAAGACCCAGTAAAAAGAAGACAAGGCTTTCTGCACCTTTAGGAGTTGTGTAGGAGAGCAAATATCAGCAGGTGCAGCAGGTCATGCAAGCTAAAGCTGCTGACATTCCCTCTTCTGTTGAATTATGAGAGGTGCCTCTTTTGCATCTCGGCACCAATAGGGAAGGGGAAAGCAGTCCTTTCAAGCTGCTGGTTTCCCCCAGCATGTGCCATCCCCTCCTCAAATTAGCACTAAAAGAGAAACAGTGTTCCCACCTCTGATTCCCAAGTCCAAACCTATATCCCAGGCATAGGCAAACTCAGCCCTCCAGATGTTTTGGGACTACAACTGCCATCATCCCTGACCACTGGTCCTGTTAGCTAGGGATGATGGGAGTTGTAGTCCCAAAACATCTGGAGGGCCGAGTTTGCCTATGCCTGCTATATCCCTTGTAAGATGTAGCTCCACCCTAAGTTCTGTTCTGTGCCAGCCATTATCCCTACAATACCTTATGGCATCTTTTTCCAACCGAGTGCCTCGCAGGTGTTTTGGACTAACAACTCTCATCTGCCAATGCCTAGAGCTGAGGGAAGCTGTCAACCTCTGGAAGACACAAGTTTGGCAAAGGCTGCCCTATGAGGTGAAGTGGGTTGGTTTTGAGATACTTTCTCCAACTATTCCTTTCTAGTTCTCTGTTAAAAGGAGGGCTATTGATGTTACCCTGGTTCCCTATTTCTGCTTCCTGATTATAACCAGGTCTTGAGATCATCTGAAGTCTCCACACTCGTGGCACACAAAACATCAAATTCAGTAAAGTTTCCTGTAAAAATGGGGGAGGGGGATTGTTTAAAAGAAGTGAAATTTTTATCAAAGCTGACTCATTTTTTCTTGAGATATTTTTAAGACAAAACAGATACACTAGAAATGTTAAAGATTAGGCAGGGAACAAACAAGAAACCCACATCAGTTTATTTTTACTAAGCTATTGCTAATTTTAGTAGAAATTTATGTTCAACTGTGATAATGATGATGATTTAAATAAATGAATGATAATCAGAGGTTGATCTTTAACCTTATTCCATATATACAAAATTCACATACTTATTGACTTCAGCAATGGCAGTTGCTAAGCTAGATGAAATCATAGTCCATTTGTGACATCAGCAGTTGTCAACAATGGGTTCTCTGTGCTCATAAATTTCAGGCATGCAAGAGGCTTCAAAGAAACTTACGGAGTCTCTACATGAAGTATATGAGCCTGACTGGTATGGCCGGGAAGATGTAAAAGTGGTTGGAGAGGTAAGAATTTATTTATTTAACCTTATAGCTCCACCGTTCTGTGTAAGGAAAAGCCCCAAGGTGGCTAACAACATAATAAAATACCAGGGAAAATATCCCTAATGATGAATGAAATCAAGATGATGGTTGGTGATCCCATCCATTTCCAAAATAACTGTTTTAACCCAACATCTAGCTAGTTGCAGTAGGGCAAAATCATTTTCATAGAATCATAGAATTGGAAGGGACCCTGAAGGTCATCTAGTCCAATGCCCTACAATGCAGGAATCTCAACTAAAGCATCCATGACAGATGGTCATTCAACCTCTGCTTAAAAACCTCAAATGAGGGAGAGTCCATCACCTTCTGAAGGAGTCCATCCCACAGTAAAACAGTAAAAAGTCCTTCCTGATATTCAGTGAGATGATGAGAAACCATTAGCAAGCACTCTTTGGATTTGGTCAGTCAACCAGGTACAAATCCATGGGGGACTTTGTCAAAAACCTTACTGAAATCAAGATACACTATGTCCACAGCATTCCCCTGATCCACCAAGTTTGTAGCGCTATCAAAAGGAGAAGAAGAAAGAGATTTGTTTGGTGTTTTGGTGTGACTTGTTTTTGAGAGACATATGCTGGGTCTTAGTAATCACAGCATCCTTTTCTAAGTGCTCACAGGCCAACTGTTTAATTAACTCTTCTAAGACCTTTCCTTGTATCAACATCAAGCTGACTGGTTGGTAGTTACCGTACTTCCTTTTTGAAGATGGGGACAACATTTGCCCACCTTCAGTCTGCAGGGACCTAACCTGTTGTTTAAGAATTCTCAAAGATTATAGAGGCTCCATTAGTACCATTGGATACAACTCATCAGACCTTGGAGATTTGAATTCATTTAAAGTAGCTAAATTTTCCCTTACCAGCTCTTTTCGTATCTTGGACTGCAGCTCCCTCCTTGCATCATTTATTCTGTTATCACCAGGTTGGGCATTGCTTTCCTTGGCGTGAAGACAGAGGCAAAGTCAATAGGTCAATTGACTCCCCTTCTCCCTTTTTATGAAGATTACCCGCTCTGGGATCCCATAGCTAATTCTCCCCTGGTTGTCTCGCTGGCCCAAATAGGGCTAATTTAGCCAGCTAGCCCTGGTGATCATCTAAAGTTTGCTGGATAGATTTCCCCCCTAAATTGATTTTTGAATTCTGAATTTATTGTTATTCACGTTTTATACTGTATTTTATGCTGTTTTCTGTTGCATCAAATAAGTGTTTTAAATTTGTTGTTAGCCGCCCTGAGCCAGGTTTTCTGAACCGGGAAGGGCGGGGTATAAATAATTTTTTTTATTATTATTCCCATATTGTAGACATGAGGCTGGAGGGATAGATTAGCTTGGGCCTATGGGCAGCCAAGGAGTTCAAAGTAGAGGCCTGTTTGTGTAATGGTTAAACTATCAGACTAAGTCTGAGGTTGTTATGAGGATAAAACTGGTCAGGGAGAACCATGAATGGCAGAGCTGCTTGTAGTGAAGACAGTATCTAATTGCTATTTATAAAAGAATAAAATGTGAATACAGTGGTACCTCGGGTTACATACGCTTCAGGTTACACACTCCACTAAGCCAGAAATAGTGCTTCAGGTTAAGAACTTTGCTTCAGGATGAGAACAGAAATTAAATGAATGAATGAATGTTGGGAAATCCCTTACAGTGGTACCTCGGGTTAAGAACTTAATTCGTTCTGGAGGTCCGTTCTTAACCTGAAACTGTTCTTAACCTGAAGCACCACTTTAGCTAATGGGGCCTCCTGCTGCTGCCGTGCCAGTGGAGCATTCATTTAATTTGTTACATTTATACTCCTACACCTTCCTTTCCTCCAAGGAGCTCAATGTGCCATACACAGTTCTCACCGTTCCCTCATTTTATCCTCCCAATAACACTGTGAGGTGGGCTAGGCTGAAAGATTGTGACTGTCCCAAGTTCACCCAGTGAGCTTCCTGGATGTGCGGAGATTTGACCCTGGGTCTCCCCTGCCCTAGCCCAACACAAACCACTACACCACACTGGCTCTCATGTTTTTGGCCACTACAGTACACTCACACTAAGGTCTGCAACAAATCTTAATTTCCAAAACCAGCCTATGCAGACAGGGAGAAGGGGGAAAACCACACCTCATTGTGTAAAAGATTAAGAGCCCCTGCAGTACAGCAATGTTGATTTCCCTTCTTCCCTTCTCCGCATTCCTGATGCAAACAGTAACCTTGAAGTCTATTTCCTAGCAACTCTGAGGTGTGGGTTATACTATAAGCAAAGACCATGGTGGATGGCGGATGCCACAGAGTTCAGCTCATTTGGAGCCTGCCTCCTGCTTTAATTGTCAGCCGTGAGTTATTACTACAATCTATTAATCGTTGCTGAGGAAATAAATTCCACTACAGTACAATGTTTAATCACAGTGGTGCTCAGAGTGGCACCGATTACTAGATCAGAGCACATTAACACCAATCTCTGTGGTTTTCCATCATTTTACAGAGACAAGTTCTACATAAATCAAAATCTTGGAAGTTCCCTGTAAATTAACAGGCCTGAATGCCTTTTCCTGAATAAACAAGCAGTCTTCCCTGCAACAAATATCAAGGTCACTTGGAAGGAATCACATAAACACCCTACAGAGTCTACTGGACAATCCTTATATTTTACTTAATCGTATTTATCACCATCCATCCCGTAGAACAGGCACAAAGTCTTGGTTTTAGCACCCCCTGTTTTTCTCTCCTTTGCTCCCCATATTCAGCCTGCTGCCAAGTCACTTTGTGCTCAGATAGTGAAGGTGAAAATGGGGGTGCAAAGGGGGTTGCAAGAAGGGAGGAGTCTGGGTGGAGTCTGAAAATGAATGAAGGAAAGCACGGGTATGAAAGGATCTGGACAGAGGAGATGGTGGCTTCATAATTGGGCAGAAAATGAAAAGGGTGCTTAAAATTTGCAATGTGTGGCAGGAGAAAGATGCTTGCAAGGGGTGGGAAGGGGTTCATGTGGGTGGAATGGCAGGGGTTGGCAAGCAGAGCGAGCAGCGGCACACCACTAATGAATGCTAAATATTATTATTATACTCAGATGATGCTTGATTGTGAATCCAAGATCTGAGACTCTATACCCAAAGGCTACTGTTCTCAAACACATTTTTCCCTTGCCCACCTTCAGTGCTATAGAGCCCTTTCGGTTCTACGTCAAAAACTATCCTTTTCTATTTGGGGTTGTAAATTTACATTGCAATCTAAAAAAGGTAAAGGGTAAAGGGACCCCTGACAGTTAAGTCCAGTTGTGAATGACTCTGGGGTTGTGGTGCTCATCTCGCTTTACAGGCCGAGGGAGCCGGCGTTTGTCCGCTTCCGCAGACAGTTTTTCTGGGTTATGTGGCCAGCATGACTAAGCCACTTCTGGTGAACCAGAGCAGCGCACAGAAATGCTGTTTACCTTCCTGCCGGAGCGGTACCTATTTATCTACTTCACTTTGACGTGCTTTCAAACTGCTAGGTGGGCAGGAGCTGGGACCGAGCAACGGGAGCTCATCCTGTCACGGGGATTCGAACCGCCGACCTTCCGATCGGCAAGCCCAAGGCTCAGTGGTTTAGACCACAGCGCTACCCACGTCCCTTCAGGGCTCCCCTGGACAATGCTAATACCTCTCTCTTGCTCTCAGTGGCCCTGTTTTAGCCACAATCCTGCTAGCGCTCACCACCTGAGTTCGCTATTAGAAGGAGGATTGTAAAACGTAAGGGGGTAGAAGGATTGCAGAACAGCAATTGCATTATTTCTTTCTTTTTATGGGCAAAATTATTATCTAATTCTGAAGAAGAATTTATTTATCTACTTCACTTTGACGTGCTTTCAAACTGCTAGGTTGGCAGGAGCTGGGACCGAACAATGGGAGCTTACCCCTTCGCAGGGATTCGAACTGCCAACCTTTTGATCGGTTTAAACCACAGCGCCACCCGCGTCCCCACATTGCAATCCAGCCAACAACAAAACCTATTCTCTTCCTTTCCTACTGGTGCTACGCTTTCAGATAAACTGTCCACCCTTCACGATCTCATTCCATTACCCATTCGTTCCTTTGTCTTTCCTCAGTTGCAATCCAGGAGGGTCACAGGCTGAATTTTAGACAGCATTTTGAAAAGGACCTTTTATTTGAGCAGCATCTGCAAATTTTAAATTTAATTGAAAATGCTATTTTTATCTGCCATGTCACAGCCCTGTTGTCTCTGGTGCATCACATCAGTGCTAACAGGCTTGTGGACATGAGAGCGCCAATGAGTGTTTCCCCTGAGGGTTTCACAAAGGACTAAGCTGCAGAGTTTATGCAAAAGAATTGTCTTGTTTATCTGCTGATGTGACAGCAGAGAATGTCTACATCCTTATGAAAAAACAGATAAAAAGAATGTTCTGAATTGCAATTTTAATCTTGCATTTGATTTTTTCTTTTAAGGTACATGTTGAAAATTAATGGTCTGCCATACGTTATATCATCTAGTTTCTAATTAAATTGGATCCTAGAAGTGGGAAAGAAGGACAGATGCATGTACACATCCATGTGTGCAAACAAACAATTTGTTGCACTAGGGATGAACTATTTGGTTCTCCAGATATTTGACCACAGCTAATATTGTGAAAGTCAGAATACAATGCAGCTTGGACGTGCACAGTAAGGTCTAGCGGTTCTACATGTTGAGAGACTGGTGACCTAGCATGGCTCTGGATTCAGGAAGGCTAAATTAGTCTTTCTTCACAGGCATGGAGATATCTGGGCTAGCCATTGCTTGCAGGCAAAGCATAATGACTTTGCAGCCTGTCTGGGGGGTGGCCTCAAACTTCACCTTGCCTGCTGTTTCTGGAACAGAACCAGAATGTCCTGGGATGTGGTGGGTCCTGGGCCCATCCAACTGGAACCTCGCTTTCCAGTCTGAATTCTGGTTGGGGCAGAATTCCTCCAGTCAAGATAAATACGAAGTTTGAACGTTTGTTCCATGCACGGCAAAGGGGATAGGTAGGAAAGGTTGCAGTACAATATTTGCCTCCTCTGTGACCATGTTGTCATCAAGTACAGTGTGTTAAGCATACTGTATAGTTTAAGCATCTTAAATACACTGACATAGAAGTACATTCCATGGAATCCAAAGTGACTAAGGATGTATTTGATTTTTTAATGTCCTTTCCCCCCAATATTAACATTCTTTATTTGGGTTACTGGTGTCAATTGCTTTCTGTTGTATTCTCACCCTGTTTCTTTCCTCTCTACAGAAATGTGATGTACTTTGGGAAGATTTCCACCAAAAGCTTGTCGACGGGTCGTTGTTGACCTTGGACACATATCTGGGACAGTTTCCTGATATAAAGGTACTGTAAGGTCTCAGCGTGGGCTAGTTCACATGGTTGACAATAGCAGTATTATAGTTGAGGAAGGAATGTCTGCAGCTGTGTGCATATCCACCACTACAAATACAACGTAACATGAGCATCAGTCAGATCCCCATATATCTGTATCCACATACATATTTCCTTCCTGTGAGCCTTCCATGTCAAAAAGGGGTGGAAGAAAACACTGTGCATCCAACACATGTACAGTATTCCTACCTTTCTGCCCCTGTGAGCCAGTTCTAAGTAGCTCACAGTTGTTATTCAAGCCATAAAAACTAAAAATTGATCTGGGTCAAAGCTATAGATACCTGGGGTAGTTTTGTTATATTTGTGGCATGCTGTAATCTGGATAACATACAGGCTCATCTTTGGAAGGCTGTTGTGAAAGGTGTAGTGGGGTGCACTAAACATGATTAGCCGCCCCCCCATATCTCTTCAGTTATCTAGGTCTATCAAGCAATGCTTGTTCATTATTTTTATTTTATTTAAGGTAATTTAGGCAGCGCTTTTATAAAGGGTCAAAGCTCACAAGGCAGCGTGGTACAACAAATGCTCATTCTTTATCCAACAAATACTCTTTAAAAAACAGCAACAGGGGCTGTTCTAAACAAATGGGTCTTTTAATCCTATTTAAAGGCCATTTGTTATTCATTTGGAGGAATTTCCACTTGCGAAAGTGTGAGAGATGCAGTCCTTCAGGCCTGCCAACCTAAGTGATCTCACCAGTGGGCCCACGGATGGGGGCTTGGAAATTGATATCAAAGTATGGTGACAGCTTACATATCACTAAAAAAGGACAACCTTTTTCATTAAATTTGAAACTAATTGCTGTAATTTACATGGAAATACATCTCCCTGTAGTAGGGAAGACAGTGAGTGACCAGGTGAGCTATGGGCACGCTCCGTCTGCTCTCCAGGTGCTATTGAGAGGAAATTCAAGGCCTCTGATCTCCTCCCTTCCTTATTTTTAACCAGACTTGGACCAGACAGCCCTTCAAATGGAAAACTCCTCCAAATAAGACTTCAAACATAGCACTGCCCTATGTAGAGTTGTACTCTTGGACACTTCATCTCATAGTGCAGGCAGGACTGGTGTGAAAGTCCCACCTGCGTTAGCAAAATTTTTAGTTCATTTTCAAAGTTTTCCTGAAGGACTTTCATGGAACTAGTTTTGGTACAGTGGTACCTCTGGTTATGAACGCTTCAGGTTGCGACCTCTGCTAACCTGGAAGTAGCTGCTCCTGGTTGCGAACTTTGCCCCAGGATGCGAACGGAAATCGTGCGTCAGAGGCGCGTGCGCAGTGGGAGGCCCCATTAGTGAAAGCGCGTCTCAGGATAAGAATGATTTCAGCTTAAGAACGGACCTCTGGAAAGAATGAAGTTCGTAACCAGAGGTACCACTGTACTAGAAAATACATTTCTCATGTGTTTGACATCTGTGTGACATCAATGTTAGCATTTGCTGTATGGATTGGTGTATGTGGAGTTTTCTTTCACTTGTTGACTGCCTTGTTTTTCGTGTGAAGTCTCCTTATTGAACCCAGGCTGCAAGTTTAGAGAATGTGGAAAACGCTGCAAATTAAAGATCTTTACTCTCTGTTTGCTGACAGTTGAAAACCTGCCTTCCCCCTGCTCCCAACATGGTGCCGGGGCTTATTTTTTTGGAAATTGTTTTCTAATCTCTTCTTCTGCTTATTTCTGTTTTATACTTTTCTGTATTTCTCTCTGTATTTGCTGTATTGATTTTTCTCTCTCTCTGTAGAAAGGGTCCTACTGATAATACCTTATTGTAGCAGGTAATGGCCTATTTGTGGAAAACAGATTCCAGGCAGAATCCTGATCTCTTTAATGAGAGGCCCAACTGGGGCTGATGTCAGGCTACTGTATTAATTAACTAAGCCGCAAACATATGTCAAAATGGGATTTGTTTGTTATTGCTTAGTGCAGAGGAGCCATCTAAATCTATTGACTTTGACAGAATATTCACTTTGCTGATTAATATCCATAGTGCAAGATTAGGCTCAGGGTAGCTCTTTGAAGTTTTAAATAAGTTTTGTGGCAGTATGTTCTAGAATGCCTTTGAGTGAATCTGATGTGGGAATTTAGAAATTCAGCCTTTAAAATGTTGACGAAAGAAAGCTATGCATTTTATTTTACCAGCAGTATCTGAGTTTAAAAACAACAAGAATGTAGGTGAAGCTTAGTTCTTAAGTGATAGGAGAAAAAGATATAAATGTTTTTTGAAAAAGACTGAACGTTTCAAAATTGCAAAAGCTGCATCTTAAACTATGTGGATGCATAAGGAGAACTGCGAGTTTTGATTGGGTATCACTGTTTGTAGAATCGTATTGCAAAGCGGAGCAGAAAGCTAGTGGACTATGACAGTGCAAGACATCATTTGGAAGCCTTGCAGAGTTCAAAGAGAAAAGACGAAGGCAGGATTTCCAAGGTAAGACGTGCCTTTAAATTCTAACCACCAGCAGAATTTCTGTATGAAGTTGCTCCTTGAGAAGTGCTTGCTAAATCTTCTTTCTTTCTCTTTTAATGCCCAAGCTACAAACTCCACAGAACAAAAGGGTAGGCAAAAACAAACAAACATGGGCTTTATCTAGAATGTGCTAGACTGCTGTGGATGGTTGGCATACCATGTAATGACCTAGAGCTAAAACTTTTCCATAGAGCTTTTACCAGCCTAGAGAGACAAGGCTGGCCTTCCCTAGGGCCAGATTGGTGTTCCCAGTGTTGGCTTATGTGCTTTCCCCTTCTCCAGTGCAGTGCAAATGGTTTTATGCACCATGTGGCCCAGAGGGGTAGAAGGGGTTGGGGGATTCTCCTGACCCTTCGCTGGCTATGGGCATAATCTCCTGGAGTGCCACTGGCAACCCTTTCTCGCTATTGAGGTGTCATACTTCTCGATATGTGCCATGTGTGATAAATCCTGCCATCACTTCATTATACGAGTGTGTGAAATTGCCATATATATATATAGGCTTGTGGACATATATATATATATATAGGCTTGTGGACAAAGGCAATAAGGTTTAAACTAGTTAACATCCTTGAAGCAGAAACTCATAATTAGTCAGAGTAGACCCATTGGAAGTAATTGGTCCGTTAATTTCAGTGAGTCTACTTTGTGTAGAACCTTTTGGATACAGCCCATAGGCAAGAGGTATCTTATGCTGGGGACTTGGCAGCAGTCAGGATCAAGTTTGTAGCTGGTGGGACTCAGCAACATTAGGACTGTGAGGAGGTGGAGTTCAGTCATCTTCCACCACCCCCACAGGTGCCCTAAAGCTGGTCTGTGCATTGGGAGAGAAGGTCCCAGTCTCCTATAGTTCGACCATTACTCTCTGTATCTGTATGGCACCTTTCCAATTGAGGCAACTGTTGCCTCCTTTCTGCTGCACTTCACTAGATGGCTATAGTATAAGGCAGTACTGCAGCTGCCATATAAAGGTCAAACATACAAGGGACCAAGAAAGTTCCACCTCATCTGTCAAGCTGTTGATTCTGACCTGATTCCTCAGTTGAAGGCATTTCTTGCCTGCCTGCCTGCCAACTTCCCAGCTGTCCTCAAAAGATTACCAGCCCAGAGGAGAACCCACCCAGAAATTGACTTGTTTGCTTTTTCATCCAGTGCCCTTTTGTTTTTGCACCAATTTGTGCCAATCTGTTTGATTTTCTTTCTAGGCAGAGGAAGAGTTTCAGAAAGCACAGAAAGTGTTTGAAGATTTCAACATTGATTTGCAAGAAGAGCTGCCATCTTTATGGTCAAGGTAGCTATAGCAGATGGTGCTTTGTGTCCTTCAACTTTTCATGGAAGCCCAGAGAACTAAGGCTGTCCTCTCTTTGTAATGCTTTAATGCAGGCATCCCCAACCTTCAGCCTTCCAGATGTTTTGAGACTACAATTCCCATCATCTCTGACCACTGGTCCTGTTAGCTAGGGATCATGGGAGTTGTCGGCCAAAACATCTGGAGGGCTGCAGGTTGGGGGCGTCTGCTTTAATGAGACTTGTGTAGCTTCAGTAAACACAACCAGTTATTGCAGCAGTGGGTTTTTTCCAGTTAGCAGACATGCAGTATGTTTGGTCCAAAAATGAAACTCGTAGACAAAATTGAATGTTTATATGCTCCTCACTTGAACCTAGAGGAAATCCACCGAAGATGCAAATCCACAGCATAGTCAATGCGTCATAGACCTGATTTCCCTCTTTGATCCAGCATACATCTGTTACAAATGGTGCACCTATGGGCAACTTTGGGCTTGCATTTTTCCATCACTGACATTCAGTCCATGGTGTATCGTCACTCTGATGTGGGGTTCACCATTGATAAGTGGTGCTGGGGTTGTATTTAAAGGAGGTTTACCTTAAGTCACATCACACTGGAAATTTGGGGATGGGGGAGATCTGTTGCCATGTATATGTTATATCTAGATGGTCCCTTTTTACATTTCCAAATTGGATACTGTACATACTTTTTCAAAGGCGTAGGAAACTTTCAAAGCCATAGGAGGAAACAGCATTGGACAAAAAATACATTTCATTATTTTTTCTTTCTCTTTACAACCTTTTCATTTTTTACCTTGTCATCTCCTTTTAGACGAGTTGGCTTTTATGTGAACACATTCAAAAATATCTCCAGCCTTGAAGCCAAATTTCACAAAGAAATAGCTTTGGTGAGTAATAATGAATGCGCTGTGGAAGAAAAGCAACAGACACCTTTGAAGTAGGTTAAAAATGCAGGTGCCAAGATGCACACATGTAATCTTTTTCCTGCTTCCTCTTTCCTTTCTGTTACAAAAAAGATTGCTTTTTACTATGATTAACATTAGTGAATGAAACTAGCAGAATGCAGTAATTATTTTTAATGGCTTCCCACTGTCTACTGCTTAAGTTTGCTGTGTTAAGTTGAGAGCCCCCTGATGAACTTGTGGTAATGAAATGACAGAGCTTTTAGAAGCAAGGGTTTAGGAGAATTGGCCCCGGGGTAACCCCAAGACTATTTGCAACACACATCTTCACTATTAAGTGCGAAGCCTTGCACTCTGCGTGTGTTGTGTGTCACTGTGATAATATCCTATTTTTTAAAAAAGGGTGACTAAGCTTAGTCCCATAGTGGAACAAATACGTGATTTTTAGTTTATTCTCCCCACCCTACCTAAAGTAGCTGTTATAAAACGACAACTGTTTTTGTCGCTTCAGCTATGCCACAAACTCTATGAGGTGATGTCAAAGTTGGGAGAGCAACATGCTGACAAGGCCTTCACCATTCTTGGAGCACCCAGGTAAAATATTGTCTATCAAACTACATTGCACATGACCTGAGCCACATTCATCCAATAATACAACCAGTAACTTTTGACAGTACAAAATTAATCAAAGTTTGTGAATAGATAACTTCTTCTTTTTTTCAGTTGAACACGAATGTTTCCCCTGGTTTTGCCTCAACCCCTATTTTATGTTGGAAGCAGACTTTAGTTGCTGGCAGAGCTATGGCTGCAGTCAATTACGTAGTGTTACATCAGAAACAGATCAGGTGTTCACCTATAGTAATGCAACCTTTTTCACCCACCATGTTCCTTGGCTGAAGAGAGCCCTTGTCCTAGTGAGGTATTCGAAGAATGTGTGGGTAACAAACAGCTGTGGCCCTCCAGCTGCTGATAGATGACAACTCCCACCATCCCTGGCCATTGCCCATGCTGGATGGGGTTGGCTGAAGCTGTAGTCGGAGCTTGGCACGACTCCTTGCACTTTATCAGATGAGGGGGGACCTTTTGGTCTCCTCTGTGTCTGCAAGCTTTGTTCCAATGCTCAGTTCTTTGCACATCCCCATATAGTTTCATGCAACCTCTGAACTGTGGCTGTACGAACTTGATAAGTACTTTCTGTATCTACACAGTGCTTGCAAGTTTACCATGATAGTATTAACTGTGGCACAGGCAGCTGCAGATTATTAGAAAATGTTCAAGTTGAGCCAAAATGAGGAGAGAGCATTTCGTAAATATTTTTCACACCGTGAAGAGCAACTCTCCTCTGTTTTTTTTTCAAGGTGTGAAAGGGCGCCTTAGTATTTACAGTGCAGCTGCCTTCAAAGGCTTTCTGCCCTCGTTCTGAACTGGCTTTGTGAAATGGATGTGATATCATGGCACCATCTTCATGAGTCCTGATTGGATGGGATCAAATAGCCAGGAAGAAGGTTGATTAAACAAGATAGATTGTGCCAGAGCAGCAGTTGTGTAGCCAGGGGCATAGGAAGGGGGTGGTCTGCCCTGGGTGCCACTCGGGGTGTGTGTGACAAGATGGCCCCTGCTTCCCCCCAGCAGTAGAGCGGCTGAGGGCATGTGCAGTCCGTACGGGCGTCCATATGGGCTACCTCTTGCACGGCAACCGTACGGGCTGCCACACATGCACACTCCGTACGGTCACCATGCGAGAGGCAGCCCATACAGCCACCGTGCAAGCGGCAGCCTATGCGGTCACTGTGCATGAGCGGCAGCCCGTACAGAGTGCATTTGCAGTATTCCGTACGGACTGCGCTTGTGCGGGATGCCGCACATGCGCACTCCATAAGGGCTGCCCCACCCCGGGTGCCGGAGAGGGTTCCTCCGCCACTGTGTGCAGCAATGTTGAATCATAGCGAAAAGGCATGAATAAATGTAAATTGGAGAGTGGATGAGTAGATTCAGGCAGCTGCACCTGCTTCCAAAAGCCAGCTTTTGCACCAACAATGTTCTCTGGAGAACATTCAGCATAGCCCTACAAAATTGTAGCTTCATTGAAAAACCTGTAGAGAAATAGAATAGAAAGGAAAGAATGTTTTAATATCTCATCCTTTCTTTTTGAAAAAAATATTTCCACAGAAAGAGGTGGTGAGTGAACACTTAAGGTGTCTCGTAGCTTATGAATAATCTGACTTTGATTTAGTATAGAGAACATGATTGAGGCCTGGTCAATCATGTGTTATTTTAGTTTTCCACAGAAGTGCTGAAGCCCATGTGTCAGCTTACTGAGTAGGATGCTTATAGAATGCATTAGCTGTATGCTTCTTCAAAATACAACATTATAGTTTTCACAGATCATAGATCTTAGATGTTAGATTGCACAATGTTTCTTAGATGTTGGGCTCCATAATTTCTGTTCTTTAGCCGCATCAATTTAGACAACAGAACTGTAGTCGCAGAGGATCTGGCTCAATGGTTTAAATAGCTTTTATACTGAAAGATGTCCCTTGTTGAGACATGATGGCATCTGCAGAAGTGACATGAGATCCTGTCCCTCCCTCAACCCTCCCTGTCAGTGAGAAAAGACCCCAACTCCATACAGCCTGGGTCTGAAGGAGACAAGGCCTTGCCAGACTTGCGTGAAGCTTTGACGAAGGGCAGAAACAGTGGAAGAAACACCTGTGTGTTTCCTGTTTCTGTTGTCAGTGCCTCCTGCAAAGGAAACAAGGCAGCCACCTCTACATCCAGTCCTCTCAGGAGCACAGAGGGCCTGGAAAAGATGTGAGGATTTTTTGTCTCTCACTTGTGAAAGGAAAGAAGACCAATTTCTCCCTCTATCTCCTCTCTTAGTTAGCACACCTCTGTGCAAGGCTCTCAGGCCACACCCTTCCATTCCCAAACCCTTCGCTTGCTAGATGAGTGTGGATGGAATTAGTAGTGAGCTTGGTTATAGTTGAAGACATTCAGAAATAACTTTAGTTCTCATTTTCAGATACAGTGTTGGGTCCTAAAGAGAAAACAAATGAGCTGGGAGAACACACACAAAATTCTAACAAATGAGAATTTTCAGAATTCTGGAAAACAGAGATCTTATACATCTCTAGACAAACATAGGATTGGTATCCCAGGATTTAATCACATAAGGAACCAAATGTACACATTGTTGATGGAACCATACAGACTTCATGGGTGTGTCTTGTGGGAGCCAAAAAGCAGTTCAATATGTTGAAATGACAGTATTGTATGTTTTATAAAATATTGGTTTGCATTCTATTAGCGATTCAGGTCCTCTCCGCATTGCAAAAACTCCATCACCGCCTGAAGAGGAGTCCCCTCTGCATAGCCCTGAAGCAAGTCCCAATCATACATTGGCTGCTCCTCCTTCTCCAGCACCAGCACGGCCTAAATCTCCCTCACAGGTAGTAGGAACAGAATTAAGATGAAATACCAAAAGGGGGCAGGGGATAACCCAGCCAAAAGCAATGAAATGAGCCAGTTCTTCTAAAAGCTTGGCGTTAACAACCAGCTAATTTCCATCAGAATTACTAGAACCTAAATATTGGTGTGGAGAGGAGGGTCCAGAGGGAGCCCTTGTCTTATCACTTCCTGAAATGAGAATTAGAAATCTGACTCCCATCACTTACCCGCCTTTGTTCTCCATTTGTCCCCCATCCTCAGCCCCCAACTGGTGGTAGCTATGTTTGTTGACCCTTTGCTCTTCCACTTCCTTTGCTAGTCAGGGAAGAACCTTTTTGATGGGACCAGTGTTCCTAGAGGACCTGATAAGGTTTCTCAAGGACAGCGCCATCTTGAGCAAGGTGCTGGTGTTGCTGCTCCAGAGAAGCCTCATGATGACACCGGCACCATTTTGGGAAAAATTGCCCTGCCCAAACAGGAAGAAAAGGAAGCTGGCATGGTTGCGCTGGCAGCAGTGAGGGATGGTCGAAAGGAGAGGAGATAGTGAGATCTGCCCATCTCTTTCTTATCCCTCCGTACTGCAACGTGCCAAAGGACATCTGGTTACTTTGGGGGGTATTTATTCATTTTTTAGAATCAAAGGAAATCTAAAACGTTTCAATCGCATTACAAAGAAAAGGACTGTTACCCCATTACAATTACTATGGTGAAACGTCTGAAGGCTGCCAACTGCATCTGGCTTCAATCCAAACAGTGGATTTACTATGGCTATTTTTATCCGCCTGGTATAAAAGGAATATAATTTCCTTTCCTGCAGGGTAAATGTGATTTGATTTCTTTTGTCAGTGGCTCTCCGCTACTTTGGAAGAAATGTGTCAGCACAGCATGCTCATTGCAGCTGGAGAGATTCTGGCTTGAGCACGGACAACCAGCTGGAATTTATAATAATGTTCTGACCTGCACAGATCTAGAGAGTATGCAAAATATGCTAGCATTGTTTTCCTCTCCTCGCGTCAAACATTGTCATTGACTTTGATTGGTCATTATTTTACAGTTTAGAGGCTGTCACCCTCAAGCAGTAATATTTTTACGGGATTTTGATGCCTTTAGATATGCTTTAAAGAAGTAAATTGTCATGTCATGTGTTCAGTTACTTGGAGATTAGTGTATTTTTCTACACTGAATGATCATACTGGGTGGCGTGTAGAACAGTGATGAGAATTGGTCCTCCGGATGTTGCTGGACTGGAACTCTCATCATTTCTGACCACTGACCACCTTGGTTAGGGATTTCAACTGCATTTGGAGGGGCCATGGGCAATTCATTCCTGATGTAGAAAATCAGGAAGTGAGATCCAATGGTGGCTTCTTGTCTGTGCAAGGGCCCATTCCATGAATGCAAGGGCCTTCAATTTTGCAGGGCCTTCTGCAAATGGAACGTGGGAGGTGATTTTCATTGATTCTGCCTACGGTTCTACTTCCCAGTGCTGGGCTTGGAACTCTCAAGTTTCAGCAGTGCCCTGTGCAATTCAAAAAGTTGGTGCCCCCTTGCCTACTTGGTTTTAGAATATTTGGTGGTGTCAAAGTCAAAATGATGCAGGGCTGATCGGTCCCAGGCTTGAAACGTTGACAGATTTGTGTTTATTTTATCCCTGCCACAAATTATCTCGATCTTTGCCTTAAAGATTACACTTCCTAATGTGATTGTTTTTTTGTTTAGCTGAGGAAAGGACCCCCAGTTCCACCGCTACCTAAACTCACACCGACAAAAGAAATGCAGCAGGAGAATATCATCAGCTTATTTGATGACAATTTTGTTCCAGAAATAAATGTGACAACTCCTTCACAGGTGAGTCAGGGTCTCAAAAGCTGTTCCTTAACAGCTTCAGGACACCTCTCCCAGTTATAGTCTCTGGGATAGTCCCTGTTTATCCCTACAACAATCCTGAGGCTGTGAGTTAATGAGTTGACCTGTGTATTTCTTGGCTGATGGAGAACCTGTGGCCCTCTAGATGTGATTGGCAGTGGTTGCAGAGTTGATTCCATAGCAGCTGTGTAACAGGAAAGAGAAGTATTGCTTAAAAGTCCTCGAGAACCTCTTCACCTCAGAAAAAGTATTTGGCCTCAGGACTTAGCCACACTTGCTTTTTACTCTGCTTTTTCCAGGCACAAGTCCACGCTTCAAAGCTCTGAGCATGCTATTTGTTGCTCCAGAGCTTTCCCCACAAAAAAATCTGCTCTTTAGTGCTCAACCGGAGCAAACATCAATTCTGTTTTTCCAGAGACTGCTGTTTGCTCCTGTAGAGCACTAAAGAGCAGGTTTTCACAGAGAAAGCTCTGGGGCGAAAATATGGGCCACTTGGACACGGATCTTTAAAGTGTGAAAAGAGCGGAGGAAAGGCAAGTGTGGATCAGCCCACAGTCTAACGTGCTAAGTTCCTTATACTATCAATTTTGTTTTACATAATCTTCATTATTGTGGATACTTTTCATACAAAAGCAGTTTGTAAATGCAAGCAATAAACTTGCATTTGAGGGAGAGGTGGCAATAAAGCATAGTTTGTAAAGAGGTGGTTGAGGGATTGAGGATTGGGTAATCGTTCTGTGGTATTATGGCAGTGGACAAAGCTGAATTGTAACTTTTGAATAAATGTGTTTAAAATTTTAAAAAACTGTAAAGATGTGGTTGTTCAGTGTTTCCCCCCGCCCTAACAGAATGAAGTTCCTGAAGCTAAAAAAGAAGAGTCTTTGTTAGACCTAGACTTCGATCCATTTAAACCTGATGCAGCAGCTACTGTGGTAACCCATTCACCAATGTCTCAGGTAGGTTTTTCGTATGAAATATTTTTTAAAATATGTACAGTTATGAAGCCATCCACCCCATAATCAGGGTTGTGGATGCACCACAGTTCCATGAAGGCACCAAGAAAATGTGGAATTCGGGAAATATGCGACCACGCAATCTGGCCCAAACTTATTGGCAGAGACCGGGTGTGGCATGGGAGCAACAATGATGAGGGAGCAATTGTGCTCCTCTGGATAGCATATAAACTGCGTCTTAGAATGATCTCTAAAGGAATGTGCAAACCGCATGTTCGCAGATCTTGCTGACTGTACTTCATGACAATGTCAATTTGCCATAGCTACTTTGCAGATCTCACAATGAAGAATACCGTGTTTTTCACTCTATAAGACGCACCAGACCATAAGACGCACCTAGTTTTTGGAGGAGGAAAACAAGGGGGAAAAAATTTCTGAATCCCAGAAGCCAGAACAGCAAGAGGGATCGCTGCGCAGTGAAAGCAGCAATCCCTCTTGCTGTTCTGGCTTCTGGGATAGCTGCGCAGCCTGCATTCGCTCCATAAGACGCACACACATTTCCCCTTACTTTTTAGGAGGGAAAAACTGAGTCTTATAGAGCATAATTGAAATGAGTGTTACTACTGTATTTTTCTCTGTCCATGTGGATGGGTCTATATTATTCCTAGTTAAAATGATCCATCTGATTTTCTACAAAACTCTTCTGTATTTAATACTCTTCTGTATTTAAACAGCTTTACAATACCAGAACTTCATATTCCTGAGACAGAATTCTCTCTCCGTTTTTCCTCTATATCCTGCTTGCTATTTTGCCCCTGGTCCCTCCTCCTGACAAAAAAAAATTCTCCTGTTTTCCAGTATATGTCTTTAGTCTTTAGAGTTTGAAGTAAACTCCAGTGCTGATATTCCAGTTCCCCTAATAATCTTGTCTGTTATTAGAGCATTAGAACTCCTCCTCAAACAGTTAGACATTCACAGGAGTTGACAGACAGATATTGATTAAAGTGCATTTGACAGCTGAGTGTTTCATATTTTTCAAACACATTTTCATCCTTATGAAGTGCAGAGGATGGACATGATGGATGATATTTTAATATTTAAAACTCTGCACATGGAGATGGCTTTGGAAAACAGTTATCGAAATTCCTGAAGAACAAATCTGTTATCTGTAGTTTAGACAAAGTCACAAAGAAGACCCCCCCTCTCCTCCATGACAATCACCGTCTCCTCCACTTCCATTGAGAAGAGCCTGCCCTGAAGATCTTAAGGAACAGACAGGCTGAGACAGGAGAAGACTGTCCTTAAGAGATCCTGGGCTCAGGCCATATAGAGGAGCTATTTACATAAGATGCATGAGCAGAGGAGAAGAAATCAAGGCCTTGAACTTGAGAAGCCTGAACAAGTCAAAATTTATTGTACTGTATTGCCCTTTTTTGCACATCAGAAAACTGTTTGACGTGATCCAAGTTGCCGTTTTGCTTGTGAGTCAGTGAAGGACTATTTTAAGAAACTGAAAATCAACTTGGGATGCTTTGCAACAAACTGCAAAGAGAAGCTTCTGTCTGATAGTACAGTTGTGTAGGCAGGCAGGTTTTTAGTACATAAAGAAAATGGAATAGACTATGTCACAATTTATTTGTTTATTTCATAAGGTTTTATACACCTCTTGATTGTAAAAAAAGAGCCCCTCAAAGCAGTTTACAAAAAGATAAAAACAGTAAAATTGGGGGGGGGGGGATTGACAACCCTACTTTAAGAATACAAAAGTTGAAATACTACTAAAAACAGATTAAAATTGCCCCAAATTTTGAAGCAGGCTTGTCTAAACAGGAATGTTTTTAGCAGGCTCCAAAAAGAATACAGTGATGGTACCTGCTTGATCTCAGTAGGCAAAGTGTAGGAGCTGCCACACTAAACAATTGAGGTCTTACAAATGGAGAACGGGTCTTGCGTGGCACCTCTAGTAGTTGGCAATTCTGCCATTCAGTTACAGGATTTGCTTGTGCTTTCCTTGTGCATCTCAACATACCTATGCAGTCCTGCAAATTTGGAAATTATCAAACAATCAATCAATCAGGCCTAAATAATTTGCTGTGGCAATATGGTGTTGCCTGTTGAAATCCTGTTTTTGATCTTTGGGAAGCCCCGTATACTAAGGATTGAGGATCATTTCACACCTTGCACAAATAATAATAATAATAATAATAATAATAATAATAATAATTTATACCCCGCCCATCTGGCTGGGTTTCCCCAGCCACTCTGGGCAGCTCCCAACTGAATATTAAAAACACAATACAGCATTATTGTACAGCTGCCTTGCTGTTGATCATAGCTCCTGGGGTGTGTCTGTGTGATCCAGCATGTGGTAATGGGTGCTAATTGTACTACATTTTTGATCAAAGCTTGAAACATCTTGGTGTATACCTTAAAATGTAATGTTATGAACTGGCACTAAGTTCTGCAGTTGCCCTCTTCAGCCGTGAATATTCCCGTAGGGCTTGAGCAGGTTCCCTTCCCGCAGAATTATGCCTTAAAAAAGTAGAGTCTGAATCTCTTTTTCCTGGTGCTGTGAACTCAGTGAACCAAACAAACAGAATTTTGTGAAATGCCTTATAAACACACTGCCCCCTCCCAGAAGAGAATGCTATGCTGAACTCTATGGAGCACATGAATAACCATGCTACTGTCTAATTATGCTTTGCAGCACATAACAGGGTGTACAAATGAGGTTTTCAACACTGTCCTTCTTTCCCCTGTTCTCAGACGCTTCCCTGGGATTTATGGACGGTAAGTTGGTTTCTTTATCTTTGCATGTTGCCTTTTTATTGTTGTTTATTTCTACGGTGCCATTAGTATGCAAGGTGCTTTATGTATCGACACGAGAAGAAAGGATGGGTTTCAGCCCTGAGGAGTATGTAGTCTAAATTTTGACAGCAGAGGGAGACAGAGAAGGGGAAATAAATTAGTAACAGGATGACTGGGCAAAAATGCACTTATGTGAAATAAAGAATGTTGCTAGATTTGAGGACGAAAGACCAAGGGTGACATCCTGCTCTGGTGTCCTGCTTGAACAATGGACTTTTGCTTGCACAAATAGGACTTGCCTTTCCCCCTCCCCCCTGCTGCCTCCTCCATCCACTTGTTTGCACCCCAAATCTGCTCCAGAGGACTTGGGGGGGCCCTTTGGAGGAGACTGAAGGGCAGGAGGAGGGGAGGAAGGAAGGAAGGGTTCTAATAGACCTGCGGATGTGATGTTGGATCTTCCTGAGAGGTTTTCTGTGCCTGCATTTCTATATACCCAGAAGCTTTGAAATTGTCTTCACATAGTGGGATGAGATATCTGTGATTGGCCTATGGTAGCAGACGTGTAGTATTATTTACTAGGGAAAGGAAAGCATCCCTGCTTTAAAAAAGAAACCATTTCTCCAGAATTGGTTTGGAAAGGTTAATAACTTCCACCTGCACATTAATGATCTTTCCAGAGATGTGAAGGCCCGGGGGGGGACCAAGAGAAAATCCCCCCCTTTTTTCTCATCCCCCCTCCCATTTCCCCCTCTCCCCAATTTTTCAGAAACAAATAGGGGGGAAACCCCAAAAAAACTGAGTGGTGGATGGGAACTGAGGCTCCCCACCATTTTGTGTGTCTTCTCCCCCCCACCCCAGACTTTCTCTTCAGTTGCAGTAAATGCAGCACTTACTTCAGCCATATTAGTGCTGTAGAATCTGAAACTCAGTCTGATTATTTTCTTGGACTTATTAAGTCTTGGCTTTGAACAATTCTGAATGAATCTTCTTTACCAAGAACCCAAGGAAAATTTGTCTTAGTTTGTCTAGTGTTACAAATCACAACCATGTGGACCCATTCAAATTTAGTTGTAGTGCATGGATTTGGCTGTATAAAACTGGTCTCTTTTTATGGTTAGGATGGTAATTACTGGCATGGAATGTGGCATGAAATGTGGTGTAGATCGTGGGAAGTGAAATTTCTCTCTTGAAGCTTCTCGTGAGAAAATCCTTAGAACGATTTCATTTTATCCTCAGAAAAAGTCCTGGGAGGCTGAGAGATAAAAATTGGTTTGGGTTACCCAGTGAGATTTGAGATGGAATGGGGCTTGACTGAAACCAGGTGTCCTATGCTATATTAGGGTTGCCATATTTCAAAAAGTAAAAAACTAGGACACCCCAAAAGGGAACCCCCAAGATTGTTGAGGACCCTGATCACCTACAAATAGGAGCACTGGGTGCGTGGCAGCAGTTCCTATCATTGCTATACCATACGGCAGGGGCTGGCAACCTTTTTGGATTAGTGGGCACGTTTTGAATTTTGAGAGCGTGCTGGGGGTGTCACTCATAAAATGGCTACCATGCAGTGGGCATGGCATAACACAAAATGGCTGCCGTGGGGAGTGTGGCATAACACAGAATCAGAAAGACAGCCACTCAATCCTAGTTTTATTGATTTGGTTTTCTTCTGTACAGACAAGCAATGAACTGGTGCAGCCGGTAAGCAAAACTTCTCCCTTTCACCTGCCAAAGCTTCTCTTTAGATAGATAGCTACTGTCTCCAAATATATGTTTCTCCCACAAACGTTGCAAACTGTGCTTAAATTCCTTAATTTAGCAGTCGCATTTCATTTCTAAGCTAAAGTTGCCGTAGTAAAATACTGAATTTTGTGTTTTCTCATCAAGACCACCTTTATCTTTTTCATCTTGTTTTTTTCTTTGCTTTTCTGTCTGCCTAAAGCCTGATTCTTCAAAAAGTCTTTCCTTGTGTAACCTGGTCATGGAGGAAAACCCACACAATGGGTCAACAGAAGATGTTAACAAACCCCAAACTGATCTAGGCTCGCTCAACTTGGGCCTAGATGGTAGTACAGCCAGTGAGAGCCAGGAAAGAGCTGCAGGTCTTCCTTTGCCTTTCCCTGAGGCAGAGCAAACCTCAACAGCATCATCTGTTGCACTGGCTACTACTACTTGGCCTGCTGTAGGCGAGCAAGAGGATGGTGCGTCTTGGACAGCTTCCGTAGATGAAAACCAAACCACTTTCCCAGAACCGTACTTGGACACTAGTCACGTTGCAGACAGTGGCACAGATCTGGTGGAGACTAACAAGCCTTTAGTGAGCGAAACTTTGGCTGAGAGGCCTACAGTGGGAACTGATAGCTTTTTGGATGGAGACCCGTTTAATGTGGCAAAGTCAGAAGAAGAGAAGCAGGAAACAGAAGAGTCTTTGTGGGCAAATGTGGAGCCATGTGAAAAGGTAGAAACCGGAGATGTTAGCCTCAAGAAACTAGACTACACAGAGGAGTTTGAAGAGAGAGATAAAGGCTACACTGAAATAGGACATCTTGAGGCCTTAGGAGACCATGAAACACTAAAAAGCACTGAGATAGAGTCTATCGGGGATTCAGAGCATAATACTGGGCAAGAAGAGACGACTGCTGGCAGTTACCTTCAGGAATTTGGCCTAGAATTTAATGGGGATGCTCTGCTTTCAGGGACAAGAGAAAGAGATGCTGAGGATGTAGTGAACTTAGGGTTGGGGTGTGAGGTGAGTGACGGTAAATCTGTAGCATATAGTGGGTCTGAACCTGAAAATGGTTTCGGTCCCTGGAATCGGGATCAAGGAAGAGAGTGTGTGGGTGGCCTACCACTTTCTGGGAATACAGCCACCAAATGCACACAGGAAAGAAAAATGGCAGGTATTACGGGATTGGCTGACCTAGATGTCAGAGATAAATCTACCGCAGAGGTTGAAAATCCTGTGTGTGGTGATGAGTTATGTGGTGCTGAAGAGCCCAATAAAGAGATTGAAGACCATAGCAGCAGCAGCAGCAGCCGCCCTCAAAAGAGTAATATGACTGGCGAATGTCAAGCTACCTTGATGCCCTTTGAGAAGGAGATGGTTCTGCAGCCTGGTTCTGCTGACGCAGCTGGTGCAAACCTTGATAATTCTTGGCTAGGTGATGTGGAAGATAAATTTGTAGACAGGGAAGCATTTTGTGTGGCCGAAGAACTTAATAGTAATGTTAGTTGCCCTGAAGCGTTGGAAACTGATCCCTGGCAAGCCAATTGGGATCCAACAGTTAATACTGATTCCTGGGGGTTTTCTAGCGAGACAAATGGGTTTGATGACTGGCCCTTTCCTCCCAAACAAGACACCGTGGATGGAAACGTGGAGATTTCCTGGCCAAGTTTTAATGATAAGTGGTCTACGCAAGATTTGGGAGGTATAGATAACTCCTGGGGAGCTGTGGGTGTGACACCAAGTCATCAGAATCAGGAGGCACCTTTAAAGCAAGGAACATCTGGGGAACAGGCAAATGTTAGCAGCTGTGGAACAAGCAAGGAGATAGGTAGGCCTATGGTCCTGTTCCAAATGGGAAATTCCAGAAATGCTAGCACCGAGAGCTCAACTAGTCCCAAAGACAATGAGACCAACAGCTCAGATTTATCTGAAGATGAAATTGCTAACCGGAGATATGGATTGTTGTACCAGGAAATAGAGGCTGATAAAGAAGAGGTACCTACCCCAGTGTGTAGCATAGTCTAGAAATGAGAGTTCCTTAGGTCATATATACATATATATAACCTTGTGTTTTATGGACAGTCCTTCTTTTATGTTCTCCCCCCTTGCCCTCTTTTGCTAACTTAATGGTCATATGAACATGCCAAATTTGGCAGAGTTCAACCACATAGTTCTACTGGCTGACCAGAAAGAGGTTGGCTGTTGAACACACCATCTGATTTTACCATGTCTCGTTATTTTTGAATTTTGTGTTTTCTAATATGATACATGAACCTCCAGTCTTTTCAAACTCTTTAATGTGAATCACTGTTCTTTTCTTTTTCTTATTTTTTTAGCCATTTAACATAGCTTCATACTGCTTGTCAGAAGTGTCACTCTTTCCCTTCACTTTTTATATTTTTGATTTTTTTTAATTGTGCTTTTTGTAATGTGCAAGCAAGAGTTTGTAAAAACATTATTTACTCCTTTTTTTATCTGAATGCCAGACTAACAACCATTTTGTTCTGATTTCCAATTCTGCTCAGGCATCCAGCAGCGCCTTTAATGGATTCACACAGGTAAGACGTCACATTGTTTAAAAGAGAGCATGTCCTCTTGAGACCAGAAAGAGGACTGGAATTTGGGAGCAATGGGATGAAAGATGTATAATGCACTTTTCAGGTTAGCAATATCATGCTCAATGGCATAAAGCTAATGCAAATGTAGATTGTAAATAGGTTGGTCATGGACTGGCTGAATGCTAAGGGGTGGTGGGAGGCATCAGTTGGGGAGCCCCCGAGGGAAGAAGGCTCAGAGCCAGGGATTGGTGGTGGGACGACGAGGAGGAGTCAGAGGGAGAAGAGAGAGCAGACTGGGAGGAGGAGGTGTCAGAAGCTGAAGAGGCAACAGGGGTGAGTGAGCAGGAAGAGGCTGTGGCAGAGAGCAGTGCAGAAGCAGAGACTGGAGAGGAGGGGCGGCAAGAGGCAGAGTTGAGACAGGCTGCTGAAGAAGCCAGGGAGTCTCCCCCTCCTGCTGTGACCAGCTCCCTTTCCCATTGGTCTTCCAGGGCCAGGAGAAATAGGAAGAGGGTGGAGCAGAGACAGACAAGGTGATGATGTCTCAGATTGCTTGGGAAGGACCTGGTAGAGGAGGAGACGTGGGGAAATGTGGGAAGACCTTTGGTCCCCACAACTGCCTCATTAGGGAATATCTACCAAGAGCTGCTGTGCTCACTAGGCCTGGCCCTCCTGAGCTGTTTTCATTCCTGAATAAAGAGTTAACTTCACTGATACCATCTGAGTTATTATTGACCTGCTGTCTGGCAGTGGGCTTGGGTATTTGTTTGAAAATGTGTTTGGCTAGGAGCTTCCTTTCCAACTTGCTTCCGCCTGGCATGTGGCCTGCTTCAGAGCTTTGTTGGTTCTGTGCTGTTTGTATGGAGCTTGTTGTTTTACTGTACTGCATTCAGCATGAATAATTTTTATTTAAGCCTCTAATACAATGCCCTGGAATCCATTTTTCTGAACAGCAATCTAGAAATCTAGTAATTACTTGATTAAATCACATTCAAAAGGCAGGTATTTAACATTTTCATCAGTTTTCCCACACCTTCTTTGCTGTATGAATGTTAATTAGCATGGCTGTGATCATAAAACTGCTCACAAAAGAAAAGCGGTTTGAAGTTTGCCATCTCGCATCAAATCTTCTAAATTACAGAGTCTCATTTTTTACCAGCTAGTAAAGTTTTATAGCCTACCTTTCGATCACACCATCTTCAAAGAGGATTGCAACAGGTGAAACATAAGGCCAGGCTAGCTTTCTTCTTGCTATGATGTCGTTGTGTGTTTTCATATCAGAACTTGTCTGTGAATGAAGCTATTGGTGACTGAACTTACAGATATGCATCAAAGATGAGTGCAATAACAGAAGTGAAATATACTCCTTGCATTCATATAAGGAAGTAGCTATTGAAGAAAACCCTGATACCCAGAAGTAATATAAAATCTTCAGCAGCATTTAGTATTGTCTCAGTATTAATTGAAGTTGATAACAAACAAAACTTGATTAAATCCAGCCAAGGACGATACATGGCTTTATGGAAATCAATAGCAATTGTCACGTGGGATCCTATAATGGTGGATTTTTGACAGGGAAATAGTTTCACAAACACCCTGCAAAATGAAAAAGCAACTTGCAAATGAATAAAGTGCTCAAGGGTTGCTATGCTAATAAACAAAATATAATCTATTTTATATGGCATGCATAAAATGAAACCCATCAGGTTAATAATATAAATGTTCTGGATAGAAACAATTTTTAATGGAGTCTAATAATTTGCAAGTCCTAGAATGATACATTTGATCGTAAAAACCCACTTGATTTTATATAGACTGATGAAGCAAAGGTTTTGCATATTACAGTCCCAATTCAATCTTAGAAAGGACACTTGATCCCAAAGCTGTTTTGACTTCCGTCTTAAACAATGGCCATCTTACAACATGCAACATGGGGGGGGGGGGAAATCAAGTGGACTTCTAAAATTCAGTCTGAGGACTGTGGAGTGGAAAAAATTAAAAAAACAAATAGGCAAAACTGTGTGCTGCTTTGGGGACCTTTGGATAAAAGAGTGGGATATTAAGCAGGTATAAACCAACAAATTAATGATCATTATGTCATACATAATTGGATTCTGGGACAATTTACAAGCTTATCCTTAATTTTTCTGTGTACCCTTTTCCTAACCCTATATCCTTAGGATACTTCCCTATTCTCAATGCAAGCAAGCCAGAATGTGATGGACAACTTGGTAAGTTGCTGTTTTTGTGCCGTTTGTTAAAATGGGCGTTTCAGTCCTTTCTGTTCTCCTCTGTTATTTGTGAGGCCTTCTGCTCCATTGACTTGCATTCTCTGGTTGTATGGAGTATGGAACATGAAGAACATGGGCTAACCAAGCAGACTTGGTTGCATGGCTTGCGGAAAGAGTCTTGGCAGGTCCTGCTTTCGGAAGAAGCACATGGTGTGCTGGACTCTATGTGCCCAAACCAATATACTTAAAATGTGCAACAACAAATTATGAGCCAGCAGGGTTAGTAGCCATGGACAGCCTTTCCCTCCACAAACTTGTCAAATCCTCTTTTAAAGCTTGTCTCTCTGCTCAACCAGTGTGGGGAAAGAACAGGTGAACAGTTAGTGTGCTTCTCCTCCTGCCTTTGGAAGAGAGCCAGTGTGGTGTAGTGGTTAAGAGCGGTAGACTTGTAATCTGGTGAACCGGATTCGCGTCTCCGCTCCTCCGCATGCAGCTGCTGGGTGACCTTGGGCTAGTCACACTTCTCTGAAGTCTCTCAGCCTCACTCACCTCACAGAGTGTTTGTTGTGGGAGAGGAAGGGAAAGGAGAGTGTTAGCCGCTTTGAGACTCCTTCGGGTAGTGATAAAGTGGGATATCAAATCCAAACTCCTCTTCTTCTTCATGGGGAAATGAAGCGCAAGCTATTCCTTCCCGTTCTTTCTCAGACTTTTGGGGACATCATACCGTAACGAGGATTTCTAGTACTGTACAGTGGACGCTTGGGTTGCGAACATGATCCATGCGGGAGGCACGTTCACAACCCGCAGCGCCACGTCTGCACACGCATGAGTCACGATTTGGTGCTTCTGCGCATGTGCCAAGCGCCGAAACCCGGAAATAACCCGTTCCAGTCCTTCCGGATTCGGCGCAGTGCGCAACCCGAAAACGTGCAACCCAAAGTGTCTGTAACTGTATGACAGTACTGATCCTGGTCCCACAATGCCCGGCATTCTTTAATGCGTGCCATTTGTTATCTACCTTTCAAAAAACAAAACTCCCCATCACATCCTGAATTCAATAACTGAAGGCTGAGACGGAAGAAGCTCCACCTTTAGAGCCCCAAGCAGAGGAAGCCCCAGGTGCCCCAGAGGTGGCTGACGCTGCTCCCGAGGCAGAAGCCCAGCCTGCAGAGGCTGCTGAGCCAGCGGCTGACGCTGTGGTGAGTGACTGGTGCTTCAGGTGCCCTCACACTCGCCCAAAGAGCCTTGCCATGTGCGTACGCATCACATTTCATCCCGCTTTCTCCATTTTCACCTTTCTTGGGCTTTAGAGCTGGGTAATGCAAGAGTCCAGGTTCAACAGAACGGGCAGTTTCCACCGGGGCCCTGGACTCGGGGAGACCAGAGTTCAAATTCCATCCTCAGTTTGGGCTCTCAGTGGACCTCCTCTTGGACAAATTACTTGTAAAATGGGTGACTTGAATCTGAGAGGGTTGTATGTGGCTAGGGGTCCCAGAGAAAGGATGCACTTTCATACAATAGATAGGTGTTGTATATATTGTTTGCATTTTGCATTTAAAACAATGCTCAAGGCGGCTTACAATATGGAAAGATTGACTTAGTTACAAACATAGCAAAGTATTCATAAAAATAAATAAAACACAACAAAGACTACATAACCAAACTGAACAATTTCCATGTAAAAATAAAGATACAAAAACTTAATATCAATAACAGCAAAAACTCCCAACAAACCTTCCCCCAAAATACCCTAGTCCTTGCTGGGCAGCAGCAGCAGCAGTTATGAAGCCCATCAGGCCCTGCCCTGGGCCAGGTGGAGAGAGGCAGGAACGGGCCCCTCAGGTGTCAGGATTGATGGCGTTGGATGCCTTTGGTCGGGTATGTGTCACTGTGGAGATCCAGATGCTTGTCTGCATCCCCATCTGTACATCTTAGGCAGTGGCTAATATGGAGACCATACATATGATTTGAACCATTGCATATCATGAGATTTCAGGTGTTGCATCAACCATCTGAGCACTGCAGCATGGACATTTGGGGACATTTCATATGGGGGCTGCAATGCCTCCACTTGACCTTGCTGCAAGAGGAAACCACTGCTGTGAGGATGAATTTATGCTAGAAAGCCCCATGCGATTGTTTTTTCTTGGCATTCTCTCACAACACAACTTTCGTATGGGTGCTGCTCACACACAGGGCTGGTGCACGCATAAAGGTTCATGATGTAATCATTGCATCATCAGAGATGGCACACTCCCACACATAGAACAGAAAGAAAATGCATAATCAGCTGATAAAGTTTTGCGGTTTTGACAGCTTCTGTGTTCACCTGTGGATCACACAGTGACTGAAATATAAGTGATATATATTCATTTAGCACCATCTATGTGCATGGGATGCAGGTGGTGCTGTGGTCTAAACCACTGAGCCTAGGGCTTGCCAATTTGAATGTTGGCAGTTCGAATCCCCGTTACGGGGTGAGCTCCCGTTGTTCGGTCCCTGCTCCTGCCAACCTAGCAGTTCGAAAGCACGTCAAGGTGCAAGTAGATAAATAGTTACTGCTCTGGCGGGAAGGTAAACGGTGTTTCCGTGCGCTGCTCTGGTTTCGCCAGAAGCGGATTACTCATGCTGGCCACATGACCCAGAAAAACTGTCTGTGGACAAACGTCAGCTCCCTCGGCCTATAGAACGAGATGAGCACCACAACCCCAGAGTCGTTTGTGACTGGACTTAACGGTCAGGGGTCCCTTTACCTTTACCTTTTTTTGTGCATTGCACTTTTCAGAAAACAGAGATACTCAGTGCTTACTCCAAGGTAGACAAAATCTAAGATAGACCCAGAGAAACAGCAGAGAAAGGGGAGAAATAGAGACATGGGCAGGCAGGGGAAGAATATGTGATTATTTCAACCCCACAAACTTTGATACCCTCTAAATGTAAGTTTTCGTGTGTGCGCCCCCCTAAAATGTGAACAGTCTAAACCTCTGGGTCAGTGGAAGCTTTTTAGGGCACCTCTGGACCAGAACTCCACAGTGTCCATCTGGGGTGTTTCATTATATCCCATTGCCCCTATGGCGCTCTTTGTGTTTCCAGAAAACTAGCGCTTTCTCTCTCTGGAAAACAAAAATCCAGCCTAAACCTGCCAGCCTTCAAGTGCTCATTTGGTATAGCTGTTAATATCAGGGAGTAGTTTTAGTAGGTTAGAAAATGAGTACACTGTTGAAATACAGCAGTTGTACTTGTTGCTAAGTCTTAAGGCTATTCGTGTGTCTCCAGAAGTTTTAAATAAGAGAACCTGAAAGGTCTCTTTGCAGGGATAGTTCAGGCTTTGATAAAATTTGGTATTTATAGAGACCACATGGTGTCCTTCAAAAGCAGCGTCCCTGTGCCCTTTCCTTTCTCCTCCAGGAATGTTAGTACGGCTGATGGTGTGGTGTTGCTGTACTGCTTAATTTCCCACCCTGCACAAGCAGCGCCAAACACAGTAGGACCTGGATGGGGAAGCTCCCTGCATGGTGATGCATCCTATTTTGTATGGGTTAATTTCGAAGAGGAAGATGAGTTCCGGGGTTGGTGCTTTCTGTGGCAGCCACGTGTGGGTTAATGGGAAGTTGCCTTTGTTCCAAGCCAGACTAGTGGTCCATCTACCCCAGTATTGTCTGCACTGACCACCAGCAGCTTTCCAGGAACCAGTGCAATTTTTCTAGAAAAAAGAGGAGCTGGAACTCACTGTGAACACCTCCCTTGTTCTCTTAGAATGGCAATGGTACCCACCTGAGAGGTGCCGGAATGGAGTTATATCCATTTCTCTCGGTTGCTGCTATGACACCTAATTCCAGTCTTAGAAAGATGCTTTTCTGTTATTCATAGAAAATAAGGGCTTCCTTGACCTGCTTACTGTAGACCATTATTCAAATATATGTGCTCATAAATACATGCGATGTTGCCACTTGTACAAGAAAGCTTTTCACAGATACATTTGTGCAACTAAGTCACACTTGGAAAGCAAATAAGGATAGTCCAACCTCAGCTGCAGCAGCTCCAAAAGAATTAATTATATGAAAAAGGGGGTTATATAACACTAAAATTTTAACAGGATAATGCTGTGAGAGGTTTCCATAGCAACGAATGCAGCTTTCAGCCACTGATTCGTCCTGGCATCTGGACATGTTTGGAGTTTGTGAAGCAACTACAAGCAATGCTAGAAATTTTTTTGTTTTTTGAAATTATAAAGACTAGATAGAATATTCTGGATAGAATATGAAATCCTTTATGAGAAAATTAGCTTGTTAGCTTTAACTGAAGTCTACAAAGCCTCATTTCCAAGGTGTAGTTAGAGATTTGGAATAACACGATCCAGGTTTAGATTTTGATAGGTGCTACAATTCATAAGCCATGCAATATATTTGCCATTCACTTTCACAGGCTCTTGTACAGCTGTACTTCAAGAGCACTGTAAATGTTTGCTGACCAGCTATTTTAAGAGTTCTTCTAAAATCCACAGTTCAACCAAAATACAGTCTATTTTAAGCCCCATTATTTCAGTGGGGAAGTTAAAATATATACCTGACACTCTCTAGTTCAATAAATAAGCAAATGACTCACTCCATTGATTACGGGATTTAATGATCATCTTCAAAGAAGCCAAGGGCTTTTCTCAGGGCTAGAAAAATACTTTGGATTCTGAATGGCTAGGGTTGGTTCTAAAGAGCCAGGGTTTTAGCGTTTTGGAGGGCTGAAATTCAGATTTCTTGACACATTTTATGATGGACAATCAAGGCCTTGGGAGTTTTCATTCTAGAATCACGGTGCTTTGCCTTCCACTGGAGTCCAGGGGGAAGCCCTAACAGTTCTCAGCATGTTAATATATTGATAACAACTCTGAGAATATTGTGAAAAAGCAGTGGCTTGGATCTTCCTTGCATCACCATTCTCATCATTACAAGGCTGAAATCCATGCTTCTCCTTCATCACCTGCCCCCAACCTCCATTCCTCTACTTACTGCCTGATCTTCCAAACATGCTTGCACAACATCCTACCACTCGGTACCATTGCCTAATGCTATAAATGCTTCGGATGCACCCCACTCCATTTTCATGCAGTGCGCAATGCTAATATTTCTGACATTGGTGCTATAAACATGTCTCTGGTTTTATGAAGGCTGCTGTGGAGGAAGGGACAAAGGAGGCACCAGAACTTGCTGAGAAAGAGTGTGAGGTATGTATGAACAGCAGAAAGAATGGGTGGTTGTTTCTGGATAAAGGATAGATGTTGTCCATTTACAGCACTATCCAGCCAAAGGGAAGCTGGACAAGACTTGGACAGTTGATCACATGCTTTTCCTTTCTGTTGAGAAGAGGGCTTCACTTTGGCTGGCTGCACCCTTTGGTTATATCTAATCACGTTGCTTTGTGTTGGTGTCTAAATATTTTGTATCCGTATGTGATTTTATGGCCAGTGGGTGTTTGGGCTGTCATCAGTCCAAACCAGAAGAATTGTCAGGTCTGGGTTAACATCCTGTCGCTTGCTGCAGGGACCTACTGCAACTTTACAAACCATATTGTGTAGATGTTACAGGAGATCTGTAGGAATAATCTTTGGATTTCTTTGCTCCTGTTGTAGTTACAGATGGATTCTGTAATACAAGGTCCTGATGGAGCTGAGGGTGTTGCTGTTGCTCCTGGAACTGAGGCTGGCGAAGTTGCTGCTCCTGCTGAAGGGGGAGTTGGGGAAAGTGACATAGCTGGCACTGAAGGAAAAGCAGGCGAATCTCAGGTAGTCACCAACATACAAGTGCTTCTCTCCTCGGCTTCTTTTTGTGTGGTTTTAGTAATTCCATCATCCTGCCTACATTCCAAAACTCTAACCGATTTCATACTACTTCAATGGACACAGGTTGCTTCAAATAATTCTGACAATCATAACTGTGATGGAGAGAATTCTTTTCAAGATCCCTCACCACCCTTCCTCCATAATGCCCAGGGTTTCCTGGGACGGCGTGTCAATTACACAGATTTAAATCTGGAATATGATTCTTTGCACTGTAATTATACATTTGGTTTGAGAGCAGTTCTAAAACTACTCTTGTAACCATTCTTGTAAATAGTTTGAGACGATGCAGATTTTTATAAATATATTATTTTTAATTTCTCTGATTTATTTCTAATTTGTCTAATTTCTAAATTGTGTATTTTGATTCTATAAGCCTTTGGCAAGCCTGCTAAAACTCTCCCCCCCAATATGGGTTATATGTTGAACTCAAATTGTAAAGGGGGTATTTTTGCAACATTAGATGTCTAATTGCACAAGCTTTTAGTTCTCATAATTGTGGAAGAAATATTAGGCAACAAGGGCACGTTTGTTAAGATTCAGAAATAAGAGGTGGTGCCTATTTTTCTAGGGTCATGAACCAGAAAGCTTTAATGTTATTGTCATGCTTCTATATTTTTTTATATCACCTTTTTAAATAAAGTTCAATGCAGAATATGAAAAGATGAGCAAATACTGTCTGTTCACATGTCCTATATAGCACATTTCCCTGGTACCTCACTCCTCTCTTACTTTTTGGCCTTTTAGACTATGTCAAAGGCCTTCCTCAGTTACTCATCAAAAGTAAACATTGCCAATTATGGGCACAATCCAGCCCAAGCGAAAGCTTTGCTTAAGTGGAAAAGAGAAAGCCATGTTACCTTTTATCGTATTTTGCTGGAGTTTTCCAGGTGCAGTTCTTTAGCAAACTACCAAAGCCCTCTGAAACTGGCACGAGCCGTTGGTTTTTGCCATCTTTAGCATACTAAGCTTTATATCTCCTTGAAAGCACAGGATTTGCAAATGAATTATTGTGTTTTGTTTTAATCATTCTAGCAGTTTTGTAAAAGAAAGAAAAAGAAAAGGACCATTTGCCCCCACCCTATAGAGCTGGAATAATTTTTAGTGCAGATGATGTTGTTCAAACTGTTCTCCCTGGCACCTTTCCCCTCTAAGGAAAACCTCAGCAGCATCCCCTCAGTAGTAATAGAACCCGCATCAAACAATGAAGCCGATGGAGAAGATCACGAGGTTCTAGTGAACGAAGCTAAAGATGCTGCGGAAGATGTTGGCGCTCAGAGTGCTGAAGGCCCAGCTAGTGAAACTTCAGAGGCTGCAAGTGAGCCCAAAACCACCCAGTCCACATCTTCTGAGGAACAGCCTGTATCAGCAGATGACAGCATGCCACCGGGCTTCCGCTTTAAGGTTTAATTGAGCGCTTATTTATTCCAGTTTCCTTTGACACTGCATGATGACTCGATTGTGGACCAAGATATGCAGGGGCCATTTGAACCTTCCTTATATGCAGAGGACATTAAAAAATACAGTTATATCCAGACCCCTTTGTGGAAGTTTGACTTTCACATTCTACTAATAGGTGAGCAGGCCCACACCAAGTAGTTATGTTCCCAAGAGCATGTGGACCAGCTAGCCCTAACCATTGCACAATCAGGTTTCCCAATCATGTGAAAACCTGTGTCCTGTAGTTTTCAGTGGCAGGCCAAATCATGTGTCATAGCCTCCATGCAGTTTGTGATTAGGAGGCTACGATACTGATTTTCCCATGTATAAGGTGGCCCTAATCCTAGGCTTATCCAGGGGTGCAGTACTAGAAATATCTAACAAACTTTACCACTTGCTTTCAGAAGAAAATATTTTCAGAATATGCCCTAACCTCCACCATATCTCTCCTTTTTCTGCTCTACAGGTTGAAACCCTGCATGATTTTGAGGCAGCCAATAGTGATGAGCTGAACTTGCTCCGGGGAGATATTGTATTAGTAATTCAATCTGTGGCAGAAGCTGATCAGGTAACAGCAAAGGGACTTTGATTCTCTGCATTTTAAAATATCATTTTTTAAAAAAATAATATGGCCAAATAGAAGTGTTCATTGTTTGGAAATGGAAATGCTCTAAGAAATAAAATCAAAGGGGGTCACTTAGGTTGCTTCCAGATTGCCTGTTTATTGAGCGTACATCTTGGTGTACATTTATTTAATTTGTTTGTGGGCATGTTTTATGATGTTGTGTCTAGTAATAATAATTTGATTTATTTGCATTAGCATACAGCCATAGCAAAATAAGACAATACAAAAATGTTGGGGACAAGCAACCAAGCAAAATTCAAAGCGATATTGCTGGCGTAATGACATTTAAAACACCCTAAGACAATAATACAGAGATTTGGTTGCCAGCGCCAAAAAACTAGTATGCGGATATAAATAAAGCATAAAATGGCCCCAAAATAGGCTCAGCACATTGAGTTAAAAAGGTAATAAAAGAATTAAACAGGTCCAGGACTAGGGCACACTACCCTGTCAGAGTAGCCCTGAGTTTCAGAGCCTGCACTGTGAAGATTGCCACCCCACGTGAAATTTGGGGATTTGCGTCCACAAGAAGTGCTTTCAGACAGTCTTCCTTAGATGAAATGGAGGACGGGATCAAGAGGAGGAGCTTAGGTCTTATTGGGTCATAAATAGGGCAGTAGAAAAAGAAATGTATGAAGTCCTCTACTTCATTCATTGTGCATGGACATAGACGCTGAGTAATAGGGGTCTTAGAGTAGGTCCCCTGCAGGAAGGCCGTGGGTATAGAATGAAAACGGGCCATTGTAAACGCTCTTCTCAAATTGGGCTCCGTCAGGTCTATCAAGTAGTTGGCAAGTGATCTTACCACTTTCACTTTAGGGAGCCACATGGAGAGGCGAGCTGAGGTGGACTGTGCCCGGTCCATGGCCTCATCTCTTATAAGAATCCAGGCCCGGATTTTATGTTGGTCCCAAGATGACAACGTGTCGAATTCTGGGAGGGAGTAGCGTACAGTAATAGTCTCCATGGCCTTGGACCATTTGTTGGAGTGAGAACAAGTTAAAAAGGCTTGCCTGGCTAGTAGGGAACCTGGGGCATTGATTAATTTGCAATAAAAACTAATAATTCTAATGTGGGCTCTCGCAACAATGGAGGGAGGCCCAGTTCTGTTCTTAACTGAGCAGCAACCGAGCCCTTGGGGAGACCCAGTATCTTTCGTGCAAAAGAGTTTTGTAGAATCTCCAGCCGTTGTAGTGTTTTTAAATTCCACCCCCAGATTTCAACCCCATACAGTAACATCGGGAGGACTTTGCTAATAAATGCTTTTCTGATTGGTGGAACCAACTGGCCGCCTTTTGCATAGAAGAATTTCTCCAAGGCTTTGATGGTTCTACGGGCAGCCAGGATGGTCATATTTAGGTGAGCTGACCAGCTAAGCCCATGCTGAAAAGTGATTCCCAAATACTTGAAAGCTGAGCAATATTCAATAGAGTGGCCCTCAAAGTTCCAGAATGACTTCCGAGTTTTCGTGCCAAAAGTAAGAATTTTGGTTTTGGCGAAATTGATTTTGAGGGAATTGGTATCACAATATGTCATGAGCCCTCTGAGCATGTTGTTTAAGCCCTGCTTGGTTAAAGACAGTATCACCATGTCGTCCGCATAGAGTAATATGGGGATCTTGAGCTGTTGTAGAGAGGGGGCAGATTGATTTAGGGCCTGCATAGTTGTAACGATGTCGTTGATATAGAAATTGAATAGAAAAGGGGCCAAGAGGCAGCCCTGTTTGACCCCTTTATTCAGAGGGAAAGAATCAGAAAGAGCTCCCAGGGGGCCAGATTTTACTCTGGCCGATATGTCATTATGAATTTCCATAAGAAGAAGGAGGAGTCTCTTATCTATGTTGGTGTAACTAAGCTTCTGCCATAGCCTATCTCTGGGAATGGAGTCAAAAGCGGAGGTCAGGTCCACAAAAGCCGCGTGTAGTTTGCAGTTAAACCTGTTTAGGTATTTATCAATCAGGGTAAATAGAACAAGACATTGGCCAGATGTACTGTGACCTTTACGGAAGCCAGCCTGTTCCGAGTGGAATAGCTTTGTTTCTTCTGCCCACTCGATTAATTTCTCTAGCAAGAATCTAGAGTAAACCTTGTATGATATGTCTAGCAGGCTGATGGGTCGATAGTTACGCGGATCTTGTGGGTCCCCCTTTTTATGTATTGGGATGACTATGCTCTGTTTCCAATTTGGCGGGATCTTAAGAGTGGCATTAATAGTGGTAAAGAGAGATGCAAAAATAGGGGCCCACCACATCTGGTTCAATAAGAATACCTCGGGTGGAATCATATCCTCCCCGGGATTTATCCCCTGATAACATGCTAATTAGTTGTACACATCTCTCTGGGGAGACTGGCTCCCAGGTGGGCAAGGGAGATGCAGGAAGAGTGGAAACTGCGTTTACGTCGGAATCTGGGGCGGAATACAGCTGAGCAAAGTGAGAGTGCCAACTGGCTGCTGTGATGTTATTAACGATGAATGAGGGGGGTCTTAAACCTGCATTAATTAAATTCCAGAATTTCTTGTCGTCACGGGTTTTAATGGCCACTGACAATGCCGTCCAGCGTTCTTTCGCAAAGATCAATTTCTTATGTTGGAGCAACTTCTTGTAGTAAGAACGGAATTGGGCTAACTCCCTGATTTTGCTCTGGGTGCTGTCTGATTTCATATCAGACTGAAGAAATCTAAGCCTACTTCTGCACTGTTTGCATTCTTGGTCGAACCAAGTTTGATTCTTCCAGGTTAGACTCGCACGGGAGGGTTTCGTAAGTGTTGGGAGCAAGTAGGCTAGAATTTGTTGGAAACTTGAGAAATGATTCACATTCATTGTTACCAGCTGAGCTTTCAGGGCTAGGATCTCAGGGGAATTTAGGAGGACTTTTATGTCTTGCTCCAGATAGATATCCCACTTCTTACGACCGGGGGCTAAGGTCAGTGAATCCTGGAGGAGGAGTGAGCTGGGAAGCCCCAGCTGTGTGTGGTGGAAGGAGATGGCAATAGGAAGGTGGTCACTTTCGGTTCTGTTGAACACATTGAAACAATATGCCTTATCATTAAGTGCCGAGGAGGACCAGATATAATCTATAACGCTTGCCCCTCTAGATCCTAGAAAAGTATAGCATCCCCCGGACCAGTCTTTGGGTGTACCATGCAAGCTGTGCAGCCCGCAGTTAATGGTAAACTCCAGCAGTATGATGCCAGCCCTATTAATGGTCTTGTCATGTGAATTCCACGTAGGAAACCACTCCTCTTCTATGAATAGTTGCGACTTATCGGTGAATGAGCTTATATCTGCTCCGATTCTGGCATTAAAGTCCCCCATTATGAGGATCTCTGACTTTGGGAATTCAGCCACAGATTTATCAAGGATAAATCTTAGATCCTCCCAAAACCGATTTGTATGGGAAGAGGAGTAGGTAGATGGATTGTACAAGTTAACACATATGAAGTCCCCAACCGGGCTGTTAGTGATGTGCAAAGTTTGAATACAATTACTCTCTAACCAAAGGAGAGGAGAGATATTAAGATGAAGCTCCTGCGAAACAAATGTTACCAGGCCTCCACTAGGGCGCCCATACAAATGTGTTTTGGTCGCAGGAATCACAAAAGCATCATAGCCCAGTAGGGAAGGGGGGGGTGACGATTCTAAGCACCAGGTCTCTTGTATACCCATAATCTGGAATTTCGCTAAAAACTCTATCATATCCCCGCCATCCTGTTTGGACGTCCATCCCGCCACGTTCCAGGATAGCACATTGAAGCAGTTTGGGGAGGGACTATGTGCTAGTCAGATACTCTGGTTGCTGGTGGAAGAAGCATTGCCAAGGGTCTGAGACCGCGCCAGGCGTGATACAGCCGAAGGTATCGAAGGGGTGGTAATTTGATTGATGTGGCCAGCAGGGTCTTCAATAAAGCCTGAGCTGTCTCTTTGCACAGTGGCTTCCTTAACGTTTATATATTGGCTTGAAGAGGTTACGGATACAAGAGGTTCTACCAAACGAGGTTGAGTGACAAAGGACGAGGATATACAGTCATCTGCCTGGACCGCACTGAATGAGGACTCCAGGTCAGGCATGGAAGAATAGGACATTGACAGATTACCTGGATGAATGGTGTTTGGCATATTGCTCTTTAAGGCGAGGGACGAGGTAGTTGATTGCAAATCTATTAGTAGAGGTGAAGAGGGTCTGCGTTGCGACGGTGTATGAGGAGCTTCCGCCAGGCTAGTTGTGTCTAGTGTTATCCCACACTTATCAGTGCATGTTCCCATCATTTTCCCTATAACCAAAAATCGGGGGCGGGGGGGGTTGTTTTGTTCTGCAACAGCACCAAATCAACTTTAATTCAACTTCCTGAATTTGCTGGTATATGATTGAGCCCCACCTGAAAAGAGTGGTTGTCTGGAAGCGCCTTTACAGTGAATGATAGCCGCTTAAACTGATTGGAGATCTACCATAAATAATTTGCTTATTTGGCTCAGAAATAATGTGACTAGACTTTTTAAGTCTGCCTTTCAAATGTTGGACTTCTCTCTGCCAGGCAAAGCTTTTTGATGTGTTTAAGCAATACATATAAATGTGACTTTTATAATAGAGGCATTTGAAAACTGGAAATGTTTCTCTCTCTCCTTACAGGAAGCAGGATGGTTAACAGGGATTAAGGAATCTGATTGGCTTCAATACAAGGATGTAGCTACTTATAAAGGACTCTTCCCTGAAAACTTCACCCGTTGTTTGAAGTAGTTCTCAGCTCAGGCATAATATACGTGGTAGGAAGCTCGGTCCTTGCATTCTGAATTTCTCCAATACACAGGAGCCCACCTTTATAGTCGAGCTGTCATGGTTTACAGACTGGTGCCAGACAAAAACTTGGTGACACATATCAAATGAGCATGACTGCAAGAAGTTAAAGCTAGCATATTCTGAAACAGTATGTGGAAAAAAATGTCCTTATTTGTTCACTTTTACGTGGCAACAGGTTTGTTTGTACGTTGTCAGAGCTATGGTGATCCTGTAACCTGATCCTTTCCCATGCAAATCTTGATTAGCCTCCTCAATACCAGAACCTTAACTTCTCTGCACTAATTGTATTGTATTGAGTTGCTGCACTGCAGAAGACTTGATTAGTAAGTAATCCTGTAGTACTGAGGTCAAGCTATTTTAATTTGAGTGTGTTTTTTTAAAAAAAAACCTGCAAAGTTTTTCAATGTTATTTTCAAACATGCATACATACAGACAGACACATGAAGATGCATTGTATGTGTATATAGAGCATAAGAATCATAGGTGGCCAACTAGAAGCATATGTGCCAGAGTGACATTGACAGCAGGAAGGAATTGAGGTAAAGCTGGACAGGAATTGGAGGATGCACACATCTGGTTATGACAGTAAGGCTACGCACGCCTGCTTGCTGCCTAGGTTAGACTAGAAGGAAATGCCACAATGGGTATGAGTTGCTTATGTACTATAATGTGCCCTAAAGCAATACTATCATACTTTGGCCTTGATTTATGGCATGCTCCCCAAAAGGTTGACCACCACTGATTACATGCATTTCCACATATCTTACCCAACATTGTAGTTCCTTGATGTAGTATTTGTTCATACAGGCATTTGCTCCGATTGTCTGGCATTACAGTAAAAAATATATGTTCCAACTGGAAACTAGCTGCTCCATTGCCAAAATATTAAGACAATAATATCTGCATTTGTAATGCAAAATCATCATTCCAAAATGACAAAAATGTTATCAAACTCAAACCTGCTAAAACACCAGGGAAGGCATGGCTCAGTCGCCTATATATTACCACCTGCTATACCTAGGGATAAGATAATTATGATAAAGGGTGTTATAATGCTAATTTTCTTACTTTAAAAATTGAATGGGTTGTATGACTAAATAAGATGCTAATCTAAGGAAAAGATGAACACAATATATTTTCACTATATGTATTTATGCAGCACACCTTCAACAATCCCTTGAAAGTTTAAAAAATGTATTCTGTATCAATAAGTCATATGTAACTATGTTTTCCAGTGTTGTGTCATTCAAAATAAACCTTTGATCAGCTCCAGAAGCAGCTCAGTTGCTTCTCATCACTTGTACTTTTTCATTTGCTTGTGTGTATTAAATATCCTCCCAGTGTCATCATTATGCATCTTGATGAAAACCAAGCAAGTGGCTACACAACTAGTACTTGCTCTGCAGACAAAAATCTATAATCAGAGGCACAGGGAATGTGGCATGAAGCCTTTGAATGTGAGGTTAGTAAGCAGGAATGACCAAGTCACTGTCCCATATTCATTTGGCACAACCATGACTGTCCTTGCAGCCTTGTGATTTATCAAATCTCACTTCTGCAAGAGTTCTGCTTCATGGCATCTACACACTTAACATGTAATGGCTACCTTTAGCTTAATTCCTACCTTATCTGAATGCCATGGGTGTTGCTCTGCTATAGTTGTATTCTGGGCTACTTCCAGAACATGGGGTAAGAAAATCACAAGAGCAGCTCCTACTGAAAATTAAACAGACTTTGGCAATACATTCCCCCCTTAGCTTCTTTAATCTACAAGCTCTAGGCAAGATGATGAATCCCACACCAACCAAGCAGAGACACCATATCCCATTGTCTGCTCTAACTAGAGTCTTTTGTACTGAACAATGTACACAGCCATTCATGTGACCCACTGTTTCAAATAATCAGCCCTACTTAGAAAACATATTGATAAAGTTTTACCACAAGTCTCTAATTTTCAGAATGTTAACTGCATCAGCTGGTATTTACATTTTTAAAAACAAGGCCAAAGCAATCCATATGGCTTAGCAAGCACTAAGCCTGCTGTTTCCATTTTATCAGTAGGCACAAGAGATCAAAACCTTACATTAACATAATAGTTTATAGTTCTGTTTAAGAGGAGGCAAGGCTTTCTCTCACATGTTGAGAATGTACACCACACAAACACATCTTATTAATGTGTTCCTTTAATTTACAAGGAGCGCTTATCTCCATCTTTTTTAAAAAAGAGTTAAAAAATAAAAAGTAAAATGGACGACATTAACAATTTTGTGAATCCAATTCTTCATTAGACGAGACTTTCATCATAAAGTATTACTTCATATACTATTACATCTATAGGTTAGATTCACAAGTACGCCATTCTCCAGTGGCTTCCTGGTCATTAGAAAATGGGCATCATCAAGCATCATTGATACATTACACACAAGCACTTTTTCCTATTAGGCATGATTCAGTCATTCTCTCATATGATATACAGAATTGGTGAGGTATTAACAGAGCCCAGGGATAGTTTCCCTTGATAAATAAATAAATAAATGTTTCTGCTATGAGTTCCAATAATAAGTGAAACATAGTCATCATTCATTACAGTTCCAAGAGTAGCAAATTCTGAGTAATTCCACATTCTGGTTTTCACTCTGAAATAGAAAGCCAAATATTCAAATGCAAGACAGCCAGCAAAACTGAAACACCCCCACACTTAGAAACTGGAGTTAAGGAGCAGGGAACCTTTTCCCAGCCACACCTGTTTTCTCTGCACAGGGGCTTGCTGGATAGAGGAACATTCAACCACTGGCTGAAACTGTACAGTCAAGAGCAGGTTTATGTGCTGCTTAATTATGTAGTTACATGATACCCAACTGTATCTTGTACCTAACCTCACGACCTGTATCTATGTCTTCAATATAAGACAAATTTATTTTCTTACTCAACAGGGCAAGTAAAGCGCACAGAAACAAAATGCTACAGTGAAAATTGGTTCTGTAGTAGTATTTGGGGTTTAGCAATCTATAGTCTAATCTTCCAGCCAATTGTATAAATAATACAGCATGGGGCAGGAGAACATGCAGGTTACAGCTGCTAAATTGTGGACAAACTGTTGACCCAGTACTTCAAATGTAAGAACTTACCTATTATTTTTTTGTCATATTTGCTATACAACAGGTTTTTCACTGTCCTGTTTTTCTTCAGATTCTTCATCAGATCCTTAAAAACCCAAATAAAAAGTTATAATGCAAAATGAAGCTCATAATGATAATTTTTTACATTATATATCAATCAACATGGGGAAATACCGTACTGGCCTGAATATAAGCCGCACCTTTAAAATTCAAGAGGAAAAAAGAAAAAAAAAGACCGCAGGCACTCACACCCGTACATGGCAAATGTAGAAGAAAATCCTACGGGTACCATTCCCCCACACTCCCGGGCTACTATCTGGGGAGGGGGAGCCGCGCCGCTTTGCTGGCGGCCTCCCCTCCCCCCTCCCTTACGGAATGTGCACAACAAAGAAAAATAACGTATTAATGAGATACTGCAGAAGCCCACTACAGCAAAAACCATGGTATGGGGTTAAGGATTCTTTCCTTATCCCTACACCAAACACTGAAAGTGCACACCACTATGATTGGTTTGAAAGCAAATCTCTGGTTCTTTGAAAAACCCATCTGAATGCATAAACAGCAGCTCTCTGGAAACATTACTGGCACAAACTTTATGAAGCCTCAAAAATATATCCTGGCACCAGCCTCTCATTTGAAACCAACACACAATTCTCATGAAATATATGGTGAAATAAAAAAGCCAGAGAGTTGGACTGATATATATTGTACCTGCAGCACCCTAAATCAAAAGCTGGCCTTGCAGTAGCATAACTAATTTACAAATGCAAAAGTTTAGATTTTTATAAGGCAGGTCATGTGAGTATTTGGGTTTCTTGGAATTATGAACATATAAATTAAGATGGACATGGTAAAAGCATTCTAGTTTCTGGAATAGGGCAAACATGGTTTTTTTAAAAAATATCCCTAATATACTGAATGATTTTTCTACTAGTGGATGAGGAAAGGACATAGCTCAGCAGTATAATAAATGTTTTACATGCCGACTACTGACATCTACAGTAAAAGAGTAACAGGATCTCAGCTTGAGACCTTGCAGAGTCACTGACATTCATGAGATAGATGGACCAATGGCTAAACTCAGTACAAGGCAGAATACTGAACTGACTATATGTTCAGAATGAAAATAGGGATCCACTTCCAGCCCCCAAGAATGGAACAATGATCTCTCTTGCGGGAGAGTGGTTAAGTAATTCCCTTAAAATCTACGCAAGCATCAAGTTATGTATCTGCAATAATTTTATTGTCTTACAGAGAAAATCAGCTTCAGTCCTTCTGTATACCAAATAGCGTTTAGAAAAAGTATTGTTTCTTCAAAGTCAGAATGACAGTTACAAAATAATGATCTTTGATTTGTTTCAGCATAACTGCGTCCCCTACCCCTGCAGTAACTGAAGCTCCCAAGAGCCTAATGCTCATCACTTTCTTTGCTCACCACTAGATGGGGCTAAAAGAAAATTAATTCCAATTTTATTTCCTCACAATTCCTCAAAACAATCCAAACTTCACTGTATTACTGACAGTCATATAGCCAATACCGCCCATTTAACAAACATACATATTCATGACAGAACACAGAGGTAGCAGACTGCTTTGCAAACCTTTTAAAACTTGTTTAGACTTGCACCCTGTTAACTTTCTTCTCGCACTTTTCTCTCGGACATCAAGATGGGAGGTCATCTTTAACCTATTCTCTAAGACAGGGGTGTCCAACTTCCAAGAGACTGAAATCTACTCCCAATATAAATAAACTGGCAGTGATCTACCCATTGGATTGACCAGAGTTATTGAGCTTTTTGGGGGGAGGCTTCATCAAACTTTGTTTTTGTTTGGTTGATTGCTGAAGATCATGCGATCAACCAGGATTGATCAGGAGGAGCCTGCAATCGACCAGTAGATCACGATCGGCCAGTTGGACAGGCCTGCTCTAAGAGAACAAAGGAGCAAGCATGGCTGCCTTGTTCTTCCCTAGACTAGTTAGACTAGAACCAGAAACTGTTTGATGCAACAATAAACAACTGTATTATTTTCTTACCTACAAGTATCTCTGTGTGTGTGTGTGTGTGTGTGTGTGCGTGCACGCGCGCACGCAACCTCCCAACAAGTAAAATCTACTCTCTAACCAAGATGCACTAGCTAAATGCTGCTCATTCTGCATACTAAAGGATTTGAAAACATAACTGACAGTGTTATTCCAAAACCTATCTAGTCCGCATCTTGTTTACCATAGCAACAAATCAGGTGGCTATAGGAAACCCATGAGCAAGGCATGATTCTTTCTTGCTCTTGTTCAGAGGCATGCTGCTCTTCATGCTGAAAGTAAAATATACAGTGGTACCTTGGTTTACAACCATAATCCATTCCAGAGGTCCGTTTGTAAACCAAAACAGGTTGTAACCCAAGAAAAAAAAAATGTTCGTAATCCAAAACAAAGGGGTTGTAATACAAAAAAAGGTTGCAAACCGGGACACGCACTTCCGGGTTTGATGTGTTTGTAATCCAAAACGTATGCAAACCAAGATGTATGGCAAACCAAGGTACCACTATATAGCCACCCTGACTGCTGCCCATGCCCACGTCACCACTGGCTGCTGACGCTCGCTGCTCCTGCCTGGGCACACGACGGCCTAACCGAAAGGACAGGCCAGGACTGCTCCCTCCACCCCAGCCCTGTTTTGCTCAGGTTGGTGCCACGACCTCCTGGCACATGAGGGTAATGGATTCCCCAAGAATTAATATACCACAACTTCCAAAATACCATTTTTACATGTGGTGTCCTCCCCTTCTTTCATTTCACGGAGCCACAGGAACCTTTGCGGCCTACCTGTCTTAGGAGCTATGAGACAGGAAAATAAAAGCAGAGGAAGAGGATACAGATAGGAAATGTTCGGGAATCCCAAAGTCTAAACTCAGAGACCCTGGCTTATGTCTCGCAGCAGGACTCAGGATACACCCTGGACCTCAACCTTCCTCTGTTCCCTCCCTGTGTCAAATTAAAGATTGTAAGCCCCCTCGGGGCAGGAACCTCTTTCTCAAGGGTCACACGCAGCGATGGTGCAAAGAAATAACACAAAATAAATCTTGCTACACTCCTGCCCTGTGCAAGCTGAAGTCCACTAGAGGCCTTTCCCTTAAAACCAAAGCTGTGTACACACCATCCATAAGGGCTAAGTCCGCAGAGCTGCATTGCTGACAGGCAGGGGCTTGGACCTTAGAAATGCAATTGGCAGAGAGGGCTCTGTGTGAAGTCCTTTTCCCTGCTCTCCTGGAGAGAAAGGAGCATGGTGCACTTTATGTTCCCCCCTCTTCCTTGGACCCATGTTGGATGCAGACATGCCTCTTCCGCATGTGCCTGGCCTTGGTTATGTAAATGTCAGTTTTGTTACAAAAGTTGGGTGCTGCCAAACAAAACTGACATTTACATAACCAACGCCAGGGGGGTCCAGGCACTCACCCAGGGTCCATGTTCCTTGGGAGACCGGAGAAACAGAGACGGTCGGAGCTCCAAGAAATATGCTTTATTCTCCTATTGCCACTTTCCGTCTGCATGAGGGAATCTATATCTGACAGCAGGGTCTTGTCAAGAGGGGCTTGTTCTCCACAGCAGGGCAGCCCTGGAGTCCAAGGCCTCTCTCCCTGGCTCTCCGATGGGCCATCAACCCCTTTTGGCATGTTTCTGTCTCTATCCCAAGTGAGGCCCTGGCTTGGAAAGAAATTGGAGCCTGCTCTTTCTCACTGACCTCCAATCTTCCCTTCAATACTTCAAATCCTTAAAATTCTACCATTTATTAATCTCCAGGTTTCAGGGTGTCCCCTGCAAATCCAGAACAGTATTTTGCCTGCAGTTTTTACCGCTACTGTTGCTGTGAATCAATGCATGATAATAAAACATGGCGTATTTTTAAACTTCTCAGCTTGCTGCCTGATTCTTTCTGAAGTGAACTTGCTCCAAACAAGGTTTCGCAGCCTAACTCCTTGGTTTTGCTGCTAAAGAGGGGATTTTAAAACTCTGTTCAGCTCACATTTGTGGGTGTCTGGAGGAATAAATTTCAATTAATGTATAATCTCCTTCCTGTTGAAACCCATTCCACACAGGGGCAAGATCCTGAAACTTTGGGAAATTCTCTTTAAAAAGATCTAGAACGTGTTTAGGATCAATGAGTGTGTATGTTGCCATTTTAATGGAACGACCCTGTGATTTCAAGATGTGATGTGAACACAGCCTTAGAGTAAAGAAAATAAAGGCATGGAAAGGCCATATGGTTCAACCTTGTAAGCAACCAGATATTCACAACAGAAAATATAATCTGGGGGGACCACAGCTGAGGACCTGCCAAGCTTTCAACATCTGTGGACAAGTCAAGCCAGGGAGCCAAGCCACATGCACCAGTGATGCATAATAATAATAATAATAATAATAATAATAATAATAATATTTCTATGGCACTCATCTCCTCTGGGTCTCAGAGCTGCTCCTACCTTCAGAGTTCCTTCTCATGGTCACTGATAGGCACACTTGATCCTACTACTGATGCTGAAGAGCTGCCCAGCCCAGCTTCATGTCCCCCACCAACTGCCCCCCTTCTAGAACCCACTGCTCTCAACCGACTCTCAACAACCTCCCCCCCGCCCAACATTCCTCTCCCTTTCTAAGCCTCCTCCAACCTTCTGTCTCCACCAGAATTCCACTCTCTCTCTTCCCCCCTCCCTCCCTGCTTGACATTCACTTGGAAATTCTAACAGAATCACTTTAATTACCCTATTGCAAAAAGGGAGGAAGAGGATACAGATAGGAAATGTCCGGGAATCCCAAAGTCTAAACTCACAGACCCTGGCTTATGTCTCGCAGCAGGACTCAGGATACATCCTAGACCTCAACCTTCCTCTGTTCCCTCCCTGTGTCAAATTAAAGATTGTAAGCCCTTCGGAGCAGGAAAAGAGATGGAAAGGCCTGGAAAAAAACCGGAAAAATGGGGGGGGGGGGACACCAGGTTTTCCCCCATTTTTTCCAAAGCCATTTTTTTCCAGAAAAATAGAAAAAAATAGATATACTTTGAATATTCCACACACTATTCCCCCCCCCCCATTTTTCCTTAAAAAATGGCTGGGGGGGAACGGGGAAAACCTTCCCCCACCCTCAATTTTTTCTGTTTTTTTCCAGGCCTTCCAGCACCCACACTTTGGAGCTCCCTGCCAACTGACACCAGGCAGGTGCTCTTACTGTACTCTTCCCGGCAACTGCTCAAAACATTTTCGTTAGTGCCAGCCCATCTGAACACGTAGAAGCTGCATGCGATTTACTTCCTTTTAACCACTGTTGACTTTAATCATCTTTTGAATACTCTTAAATACTTGCTTTTAACTGTGTTTTATCAATCATTTTAATGTTGTGTTGTATATTTTTGTAAACTGTTTAGAAAGCTCTCTTACCATCATGTGGTTTATAACATATTAATAACAAATTCAATTTTAAAAACACACACACTCCTTTTCCTTTCAGAGTTGGAGCCTTAGTGCAACATACTATTCAGTAACTGGATGTTGGTTCCTTCCGGGCCTGACATGCAAAAAAATTGCCTTACGCTGTGCCCCGGCTGTCCTCAAGTAGAGATGGGAAGGCCTAGAAAACCCCCCAGAAAAAGCAGGTTTTTCCTGTTTTTTCCCAAAGCTGTTTTTTTTAGAAGTCCATGAGAAAAATAACAAAGAGGAAGAGGAAGAAGAAATGGAAAACGATAGTAGTTCAGAAAATGAGAGAGAATAAACTGCATGTATATGTTTTGTCTTCTGTTTGGTTTTTTTAAAGCACTACTCAAAAGGTAGAGCTTCTATGGAGCTTAAATACTGATAATCTGATTATTATTTATGTTGATGGTTTCTTGCTTTTCTGTTGCTTTTGAGGGAAAGGAGGGTGGTTACCTGTTTTAATGCAAGCATAGTACTTTTATATACACTGTGTTTCACACAATTTGTAAAACTACTCCACACTGAACTCCCCCCCCCCAAAAAAAAATTTTTTTCTGGGGGGAAACGGGGACGACATTTTTTTCTCATGGCTTCAAAATTTCCAGAAATGTTACATCTCTACTTGGAGCCATACTTTCCCTCACTAAATCTGTCTTTAATTCCCTTTTAAATCCATCATTACATTCTGTGCCTGCAAATAGTCAGTTTAACTATGCATTTTGTGCAAAAGTACTTGAATCCAGTATTAGCACTTGATCCCAGTAGACGTCAGATAATTTTTCTAGACCTTACAGATTTTGCTTTAATCATTACTGACTCTAGTTCAGTATTTTATTATGGTTGTGGATTTTTGGATATTTGGATATTTTATTGAACTAGTATTGTAATGGCTGGTTGAAATGCAGGATACTGTACAAATATCATAAATAAATGCAGGTGCCAACTTTTAAATTAACTTATTCTGACTGCAGGCCTTCAAGTTTTTTTGACTACAATATTTAATATTTATACAGTGGAACCTTGGTTTAAGAACAGCTTAGTTTATGAACAACTTGGATTAAGAACGCTGCAAACCCGGAAGTAGGTGTTTTGGTTTGTGAACTCTGCCTTGGAATAAGAACATGGTTCGCTTCCTGCAGAGTGTGTTCTATTTGTAAACTGAGTCCCCCGCTGCTATAGGAAAGCACGCCTTGGTTTAAGAACGTTTGGTTTAAGAACGGACTTCCGGAACAGATTAAGTTCGTAAACCAAGGTACCACTGTAATCAAAAAGAATGAGACAATTGAAATCTGAATAAAATCAATCCCTAAAGTGCCATGCATTATCTTGATCTGATGAAAAACCTCAGTACCTGCTTCAGATTCAGGTGGGGAATAGAACTGTCCATCAGAGGGGAGTCCCGAGTGAATAAGAGCAGCTCGTTCAGAGGCATCCTGTACCAACAGTAGTCCTAAAAGGAAATGAAAGCATTCCATGACTACAGTATCTTTCAAAGGAAGTGTCCAGCTTTTAAAATCTAGGGCTGTGCACAGTCCCCCAATTTCTCTGCGGCTCCAATGGGGGGGGGGAATCAGGCCAACCCACCCCGAGATACGGGTCCCAAATTAGTTTGGGGACATGGCAATGTTTATTTGGGGCTTTGGTTATTTTAATGGGGGATCAATTCTACAGGGTGGCCCTTTGCAAGCAGCTTCTGATTCCAAAGAAGCACACAGGAAAGATGCTTCAATCCTGTGAGGTGCAGCTTTGCAAGTTATTTATCTGCAGGGAAGCCACCCTGCAAAGGAACACCCTGCACTGCTCAAGATTGTTCCTGCCGCACAAAAGCTGTTGAGTGGAGGCATCAATCCCTTCAGGGTAGGGTGTACGGCAGGAAGGAGAGTCAGGTGGCATCAGGCTCCTACCTTCTCCTGGGAAGACACAATTGGAGGTCAGGTAGATCTCAGCCTTTTCATGGAAAATGCCATGCCTTGTCTCTTATTTATGCCTGATACCCTGACAGCGCTGGATCCCTAAGTCAACAAATCTGACTCACAGTGATATGTGGCTATCTCAACCCAACTCATCCAAGGCCTGAATCCCTTTGGTTTGGGATTTGGGTCTCATCTGAATTCAGTGTACAGCCCTTAAAAAGAGCAGTAACAGCAATAATCTTTAAATGTCTTTCTTGTATGAATGTATTTCAGGGAAAGTCATTATAACAATTTTACTCTGTGGATACCACTCTCCCTCAAGCCCTATGTAAGAATATTGTGTACTTGAAGTTCCTTCTGTTTATAAAGTAAAGACGCTTCCTGGGGCAACTGCTAACTGCACTGTAAAGAAACTTACTGTTTCCTTCTTCTGCTTCTTGTGGTAAAACTTTGAAGTCTAGGAACCAGGTTTCAATCCAGGCAAGAATGAAAGATATGATGGGCAATACATAGCCAAAAGCCCCTTGAGTTAATAGCTTAAAGGGGATACATGAAGAGGAGAGAGAACAAGTTATGTCAAAACATCTCACAACAAAACAGTTACATGATATAAATTAGAATTCACTGTTATAATCCATACCTTGGACAGAATTACTTTTGCTAATAAAAAGGCACTGGTTACTGCTGTTGTAAACTGAAATAAATATTAAGAGTTATGAAAGCAACAAATTACTTTTGCAATCCATAGCACGACACCATAACAGTTAACCACATAACTACAATTGTCCTCATTAAGCTCTAAGCAATACTCAGCAATCTCACTGTTTGCTAATGTTATGGCCACAGGGTGTTTAATAAATGGGCAGAGCAATCCTACTAAGTATAGGAAGCTGGTAGAATTTACTCTGACTTAAATTCAGACGGTTTAAATTACCCCTACTACAAGCTCCATTCAGGGGCAGGACTACTGCCAGCTGAGCCAGCCTAAGCCTGGCAGAAGAGAAATGGGCCTTTAAAATAGTTTGAATTATAACATCATTTTTGCCAGTGATAAGTTCCACCAAGTTGCTATGTCAAACGACTGAGCTGAAAGTTTTAGAAAAGTCTCTCCTCATTGCACCCGCAGTGTCACGTTTTTGCAGCTTCCTTCAGCTTAAGTTCTAACAGCTGAGCCCCAGCTGAGTTGGGATGCGGGAATTTAAGTAAGCATAGCCCCAACGGAGTCCCAGCTCAGCGCAAGAGCTTCCTACTCTAAACTTGCTCATTCTGGAAGATCTTGTGTTTGGATTGTGTCCTAAATGGTATTGGCCAAAGATTAAAAAATACTTTCCATACTTCTGAGTTTCCCAACAGAGAAATTTGCATCCACAGGACACCCACAGAACTTTGCTCACCATTTGAAAGCATGTGTAATTTGCAATATACTATATGCATTCCCACCTTGTGAAAGTAAATGCAACCAATCTAAGCATACAATTTCTCTTCAAATTCCTCAGAAAACAAATCTTTAACACAAAGAGTTGGGCAAAGTTGATGCCTATCTTGCACATAACTGGTAGTCATGGCTAACTAAGTCCCTTCTCCACTGACATGAATTTGCACATTGTAAGAGTTATGCAAGAGGAAATCTTTTTGTTAGCTAGTGCAAATGCAAGTAGAACACGAGAGCTACATCTCACACACCGTATCATCTAAATACCCTTTTTCAAAATCTTCCAACTTTTAAATTTAATTTGAAGTCTACTACTTACAGCTATTGCCCACCAGTGTTGAAGTCTACACAATGCATATGCAAGTATCAAAATCATAAACCGAAAGACTGCCAGGAGCTAGAGAGGAAGGAGGAGGGAGAGAAAAAGGCATTAAGGACATTTTTTAAAGGAACAAAATAATAATAATCAGAAACTAAAATTATACACAGTGGTACCTCGGGTTACATACGCTTCAGGTTACATACGCTTCAGCTTACAGACTCCGCTAACCCAGAAATAGTACCTCAGGTTAAGAACTTTGCTTCAGGATGAGAACAGAAATTGTGCTCCGGCGGCGCGGCAGCAGCAGAAGGCCCCATTAGCTAAAGTGGTGCTTCAGGTTAAGAACAGTTTCAGGTTAAGAACGGACCTTCGGAACGAATTAAGTACTTAACCCGAGGTACTACTGTAAGTGATTTCTGCACAATCTAGACAACAACAATTTTCTGTGTGACACACTGATTTTACAGTTCTCCTCCTTTCGTTTTCATGAAGTCACTGGAACTGCATTTGAGCAATACTGCTGAGCAGTGTTTCTTCTTCAAGTGGATAGAAACTTCATTAAGAATAAGAAAATTCTGAGAGTGTAATTGACAAATATCCTGTCCACTCTTAGAAACAATTTTAGGTATCCACTTCAGGCAAATTTCACAAGACTACTTTACATTATAATTACTAATACAGTGGTACCTCAGGTTAAGAACTTAATTCGTTCCAGAGGTCTGTTCTTAACCAGAAACTGTTCTTAACCTGAAGCACCACTTTAGCTAATGGGGCCTCCCACTGCCGCCGCACCGCCAAAGCACGATTTCTGTTCTCATCCTGAAGCAAAGTTCTTAACCTGAGGTACTATTTCTGGGTTAGCGGAGTCTGTAACCTGAAGCGTATGTAACCTGAAGCATATGTAAAGGTACCACTGTAAAACAGAATTAAGACACAGGAAGCAAATACTTACGAAGATATCAAAGTACGAAGAATGGTAGTCATACTGGAGGACTTCTTTTTCTAATGTTTTCTCAATGCCTCCATTTACCTACAGAAAACAGAATTGATCAAGCTATTAACATAATTAATTTTCAATTTTTGAAAGCACTTCAGCAGAGTTCTGTGGTTCTCCTTTTCAAAAACCAAAACCACATGGTACAAAGCAATTCAAAACATACATACAATAAATCACTTGGGTCCTAACAATATAGCAGAACCAAGTTGAGAATAAAACCAAAGAGACTCGTGCAAGCAGTCTACTCCATAGCTGTCAAGTGTCCCTTATTTGAAGGGACAGTCCCTTATTCCAGCGCCATGTCCGGCTGCTGTCCCTTATTGATGGATGTCCCTTAAATGATGTCCCTTAAATTTCAAAGGAAGCAGCTCCTCTCCCTCCCTCCCTGCCGGCCAGGGAGGAGGGAGGCTCCAACTGTGTTGCTTGGCTGTGTTGCTCACCCAATAAGAAGTCTAAGAACGACTGGGGGGTGGAGCTTGCATGCCTTGTGTGTGGCTAGTTAATGCAAACTGAGGGGGTTTTTGAATGCTGGATGCCATTTTGTTGCACGTGCTGCTGCAAACTTTGCAGTGCAAAGCCAGGCCAGGGAGCCATCTTAAGTTGAGGCTGCATAGGCCTTGTGGTGCATGTGATTCAGATTCTATTCAGTTGAACCTCTGGTTACAAAGTTGGTTGGACAGTGTTCTTGAAGCTACCAGAATGAGTTTGACCAGACTGCAGGAGGACAGGAAGACTGAAGTGCCTGGAACAGGTGAGGCTGCAGGTCCCTTATTTTGGCGGCTGGTCCCTTATTTTCAAGGCTGCTGGTCCCTTATTTTCAAATCTGTAAGTTGACAGCTATGGTCTACTCACAGGAGCGATGTAAGATGGGAGCCACAAACACATGAGTCACAGCTCCATTTCCATGCAAAGAAAAACTGCAACAAGATTTTTACTTCCATGGAATAAGAGCTGCAAATGTGAATACAAGTTCACAGTTCCATTACCCTTTTTGATCAAGCAGACTACTGTATAAGCAGCACAAATCACCCCCGGAATACGCCCACCCTGGCATTTTAACTTCAATCATACTAGAGATCCAAGGCTGAATCTCATATGAAAGGGTCACAAATATTAGTGCTTTGCTTATCAGAAAGAAGGAAAGGCCTGCCATGTATACACACAATTCACCACTTTCAACACCATTCTCTTAATTATGGCAATTTACAGCCATGCAAGTGAACACAGACTTGTTGTGTAACCAGATGCATTAACAAAGCAGTTCAAGACTTCTACCAAAAATCAACTACTGTGAACAGAAACTTATCACAATGTAAAATAAAGATCACTTGCCAGCTACCACTGGAACATGCAATTAGAAGTCATTAACAGGAAATGGACCTAAGGGTTTTTAACTTTGTATCTGTCAAATTTATTCCAATTTTAGCAGAAAAGTGTTTTGTCTTTAATAATTTATGAATTAGGTGAAAAGTAAAGTTTAAAGGAAGCAATACCATTTTCCAATTTGTAAAAAAAAGAGGGGGGGAATTACAATGCAATTATACACGCTGAAGCAGCCCACCAAGATATATCCAGTCCTCTGAGCCAGTGTCATACAGTGCTAACCATGCAAGCAGAAGTCCACATTCCAATTTCCCCTCAGCCAGCAACTCAGGAGGTGGCTTTAGGTGAACCACTTTCTCAGCCTTAGCTACTTCTACCAAACAATGATAACACCATAGCCCTGTCAGTTTGGTTGTTATTAAGATGACAGAGAATGTATAAGATGTACTCTAAAACACTACAGAAATGCCAAGTAAGATTACTAGCTGGGAAATGCATTCCTGGAACTTTATATACAGTATAAATACTTTGCTAAACTGTTTTAATCCAGAACCAAATGTTAGATGAGATGCTGGAGTTCTATGATCAGAATTTATGAGAGTGGAAGGTGGGGGTATCAGATATCATTCATTCTTTTAACATTTCCCCTGCTTTTTGCTCCATTAGAGAAAATGTCTGTGCGCCCAAAGAAGGAGAAAGGAGAGCATTTTTAATCAGGAAAACAGCACAGAGGGGAAAACCGAACTCCCCACCCTGCAATGCATTCCTACTTCAGAGTGCCCCAAACCCACAGATTGGCCCCCGTTTAGATTTAATAACAAAGTATGAATTGGTTTAATTGCTGCTGGTTACAGACAGATTATACAAACTATGTAGAAAGATTCAATGCTCCCTTAGTATATTTGCTTTAATACATGTACAGGTATAGCAAGCTAACTGGCTGAAAGTTCTCATATAAAAAAAATCCTAGTGTTGTTCGCAGACAAAATCAAACTTCTTCCACACCTCTTTCTTACCTAGGTAAATAAATAAAGAGCCTTTTCCAATACTCCTTGCATATTTTTATCAAATGAGTAGGCTGGTTATGGGACGCGGGTGGCGCTGTGGGTTAAACCACAGAGCCTAGGACTTGCTGATCAGAAGGTCGGCGGTTCGAATCCCTGTGACGGGGTAAGCTCCCGTTGCTCGATCCCTGCTCCTGCCAACCTAGCAGTTCGAAAGCACATCAAAGTGCAAGTAGATAAATAGGTACCACTCGGGCGGGAAGGTAAACGGTGTTTCTGTGCGCTGCTCTGGTTCGCCAGAAGCGGCTTAGTCATGCTGGCCACATGACCCGGAAGCTGTACGCCGGCTCCCTCGGCCAGTAAAGCGAGATGAGCGCCGCAACCCCAGAGTCAGCCATGACTGGACCTAATGGTCAGGGGTCCCTTTACCTTTAGGCTGGTTATGAAGCCAAATTTTCAATTATTCACAAACACACCATGCTCTTGTATGAGCAGTTGGCCTACTGCGTACCCAACATTTAAATTACTAGGCTCTTACAAAGCAGCACTGGTTATAAAGGCTACAGATTTATAGCCAACTAATCCAAGAGAAATAAATAAATAAAAATTAAAAATTGGCCAGCAGCACCTTAGAGACCAACTAAGTTTGTTCTGGGTATAAACTTTCATGTGCATGCACACTTCTTCAGATGCACACAAAAGCTTATACCCAGAACAAACTTAGTTGGTCTCTAAGGTGCTACTGGACAATTTTTTAATTTTTTAAATTTATTTCGACTGTGTCAGAACAACACGGCTACCTACCTGAATCTATAATCCAAGAGAGTTTACAGAACAGAAATTCATAAAATTCTGGCATCATGGTGGCTCCCTGATGAAAACTCTGATATGTAGGAACATGGTGGAGTACCAGCCTACTTGAGCACTTATACTGAAGGTAGTAATGCAGGTTGTACCCAAACGGAACCTAGCACAAACTGAAGCCATCTCTGCTTACATAGGTGATCTGTAGCTGCAATTCATGCCAACCTCCTCCTCCGTATCTAATCTGTTCACTCTTTTCCCATAAGTCCCTCTAACCTTCCAGCCTCACTTTTCAGGGGCAGAGTGCAAAAGCCTTTTTCTGCTCACAATTTGTTGGATCCAGGCCATTCTGTCAACATCAAAGGCTGTTGGAAAATGTTTATTCTACAGTTTAGACAAGCCTTCCCCAACCTGTTACCCCCAGCTGTTTGGGACTACAATTCCCATCAGTCCCAGTCACCACACAAATCCCCAATCCTTCAATTGGCTAGAATAGAATACTTTGTTCAAGCATAATTTCAGGGGAAGGATCCTGTGGTTGCCAGAGAAGACCTCTTTGGGCACAACAAGTGCTTTTTTCTGGGGGGGGGGGGCGTGCTGGGTATGCATACCACTAAACATTTTGTGAATCTAAGTTTGGCCTCATTGAGGGGGAGTATTTCAATATGGGTACGAAAATGAGAGTACCCCTAAACTTTTTTTTAGAAAAAAAGCACTGGGCACAACACTGGTAAGCCATGATGTAATCTGCATCTTAACATTACTGTTTCAATTATATTTCACAGTCGAATGCAAAATGTTCTTATTTATTATTCTGGACATTCTTACTCATCTGAACTGAGAGTGAAATACCTTCCAGAAATGGTTGAAAAATTCAGTGCAATCTTACACTGCTGAACTGGTTCATTTTGTTTGTTACAACTCATAAATAAAATTCAGTTTCAAGATACTAATTTAGCAAAGACTAGAGAAGCTCACTATTCTGGATCCAACCTTTTGTCAGAAGTACAGTTTGAAAGACACTCACATTTAACTCTATTATCCACAGCAAGGTTATAAACAAGAGGTCAAAGGTGACAAACAAACAGAAAGTCCTTCGGACATCAGAAATGCCTTTTTTCTCTCTGCTTTCATAAGACTCAATTCTTGCCATTAGCTGTGCTGGGTTGATGGAATGAACATCCCGTAAAGAAGGATGAGAGCTCAGACTGCTGCCATGGGCATTTTCTTGATCGTCTAACAGCCGACTCATCCTGTCTTTGGTTACAGCAGCTTTTTTCCAGTTTCAACATCACTATCAGGCTTATCCATATACGAGATTTCTCTAGAAAAGAAAATCCACAATTAGTCATGTCAACATGACCATTATTAATAAAGAAGCCCTACTTCATCATGTAAACACATCACAACTTAATAAAAGTGAGCTCAAATGAGTGACATGTTGCCAGGCAAATATAAGGTGGGGAGGAAGTTCTGCATTCTTGGGGGACAACCTAAATATGAAGAAGCCTGTAAGACTGCAGATTAGGAAAAAAAAATTATGCTGGAAAAATGGCACCATGAACTTCTACAACCTACAGAACACTGGAGAGCACAGAAGAAAATGCTAAAGTAATTTATTATCCGGAGAAGTAACTTCTTGATCCAAACTGAGCAGTTTTGCCTCCTCCAGGATAGAATTATCGCTGCCTAGAGAAATCAAGGATTCTAGTGTAGCTGTGGTTGTACATCACTGTGTTCACATTCCCCCTCACACACACCAAAAGGTAGCAACCATTTCTAACTCAATTTTTATTTAATCTCCCAAAATAATTACTAAGAGTTTTAAAACGTTTTTAAAATGCCACTTCAATACCATTAATATTATACTCATAGTGCAGGCTGGGGAAACTTGACTATGAAAGAGGGACTGACAACAGTCCAATGTACAGTGGAACCTCGAGTTGAAGACGTAATCCGTCCCAGAGGCATGCCTGCAACTCGAAGCGTTCACATTCAGAAGTGCTGCGTCTGTGCGTGTGGCACAATTTAGCACTTCTGCGCGGGTGGCGAAACCCGGAAGTAACTGTTCCAGTACTTCTGGGTTGCCACAGGGCGCAACTTGAAAAGACGTAACCTGAAGCCGACGCAACTTGAGGTATGACTGTAGTGCACTGTTTTATTGCAGATAAGAGGTGGATCAAAAAACTATTTGAAAAGCAACAAAGAAGGGAAAGCATATTTTTTTAGTCCCTATACCAGTTCACAGTATCCTGTAAGTATGCACTAGTAACAGAAAACTGTACACCAAAAGATTTTTTGAAAAAAACAAAACACTCCCAGGTTCAGGGTTGGCAGCTGAAACAGCACTCCTGTTAGGAGCTGGGAGTGCACTGCAACATTTTGTTACAGGACAACTTGGTATTCTTCTATTCCTACATTTATTGAACAAAGTATTATTTTTATGCTTTTCTCCCCAGTGTGATCATTACAACTTCAGGGAAACAATGTTTAATTTTTCATACATAGTGTAAGAACAGACAAAATAACTGCACCTCTGACATAACTGCTCAATGACATTGTTTCTCATATCCAGCCTGTATAATACTGGAAGTCTATTTTTTAAATATATTTTCCAGTTGAAGATAGAACCTTCTGTTAATCTGGACCTTGCCAGGCCTCCAGAACCAGAAACTACAGCAATCTGAAAGCACTTGGTGGAGCAGCCATAATAGATCACAATAGGCGGAACGTACAACTTTGTGTCATTTTAGTGCAAACTTGTGGGAACTTTGTGTAAGATTTTGCTGCCTGCAATGTGGAATCTTGGCATCCTGATGGATAAGAATAAAGGTGGAAGAAACAGCAATGAAGCCAAAACAAGAGGAAAACAATAGCATGTTTTGGCAAGCCAGTGCTAGAGTATTTTGATGTGCTGTGCATGGAGAAAGGCAGGTAAAGGACGGGCCTCAGGTATACAATTTCCTATTCAAGGAAGGACTATTCAATATTTTGCACTAACTTCCTCATTCATCTGGACATACCAATATAGTGCAGGTGATAAATATTAAAAGACAGCAGAGTTAACAAGTGGGTAGCTAAGCCTCATTGCCTAGATTCATGACGTACCATAGCTACTGGGATGTGTCTTGATACTCAGCTGCATACCTTTCCTGGTGTCTCACTTGCAGCTAGGTGAGATAGGAGAGTAACATTTTTCCAGTTCATTATGTATTTTCACATTTGAAAATGAGTGGAGATTAATTCATTCTTGAAGTTCAATATTAATTTATGTTTATTGTATTAATGCAACCATTATATATAAACAGACCTGAGGGAACCAAAAATTAATTATTTCCTTCTTATTCAAAGAGACTCAAACACCACTAATAAAAAGACTACAGAAGAAACACTACTTTCCACATGCCACTACATTTGTCAAGTTACATATTAACTGTCTGAAAAAAATGCAGCCATGTGGGTTTTCTCACTAATTTATATTTTAAAAATTCAGTTAGCATTGGGAAATTTTCAGATGCACTAGAGAGTGATCTAATTTAGCATGTTTATTTCCCTGGTATTTATAAACAGAGCTAAAACCATTGAATACCAACCATGCCTATTATTGTATTTGCAGTTGCCATCCATTCATTGTTATTAAATAACTAGCAAATAGAAAACTTTCCACACAAAAATAAAGCACTGGAAAATTAATTGTCCAAAGCTTGATACCTAAGCATGATACCTAAATAAGGTGACAGTATTTTAATTTCTTATTGCTTATTATGAAAATGGATACATAGAGAAGGAAGAAAATCTTACCAGTAGTTACCGTCAAGTCACTAGATAAATTTTACTATATACCAGACTAGAAAAAATTCAGGTGCCTTATTCTCTAAATATCTAAGGGTTTTCTGCAATTTAAAAATAAAACAGAGTGAAGCAAGAGAGGGGTGGTAATAGGCTAGAGTGTTAATGAATTAAAGAGAATGCATCCAATGAAGTAAATGGAGAGAGAAGTAAACTATAGGTCAGGATGTGGAATCAGAAACATTTTTATACACAAACATTTTTACTAAACAGGCAACTATTTAGCTGCATATCTCATTATGTAAGTAAAAACAACAAAAATACATACCATTATTAAAGATATACTCCTCTCCAAATTGGTATACATTGGAAAAGATGGAAGATACAACTAATCTCTATTATCAAGAATGCTTACAGCATCATCAAGTCAAATGTGTAATAAAGTATGCTGTTTACATTATAAGCAGAGAGTACATTTGCACTGTCAACTCATCACTAATCCCAAATGTAAAGAAAAGAACTTCAAGTATTTAGGAATCTTCTAAAATACTGAAATGTTGTGCCTATATTTTGCTTGCTGACATGATTTATTTATTTTAAGCCTTCTTTATGTCACTAACATTAATATCCAAACTCACTCATAATCTTACTGGGCATGCCATTTATCTCAGTCTGTTTTCCACATATATAATGGAAATTAGTGGCCTATCTTTGTTTCTACCAAGTATGACAAAGGTGGAGGAGTGATTTGCATGTTTACTCAAATTCAAAGTAAATCCTGACACTTACCCTCAAGAAAATGTGCATAGGATTGTCGCTGTAACCTATCAAGATACTTTTTCTACCACCTTCTGCCAATTCTCTATTCAGCCCTTAAACTGGAATTCAGTAGCTGAATACCTACATGGCACCACCTCTCTTCCTTCAAATGCCTTTTCAAAACCTGCTTTGGCATAAATGACAGCTTTCCAACTACAGTGGTACCTCGGTTCTCAAACTTAATCCGTCCCATGAGTCCGTTCGACTCCTGAAACTGTTCGAAAACCAAGGGACAGCTTCCGATTGGCTGCAGGAGCTTCTTCAACTCAAAAGCCACGTCAGATGTTTGGCTTTTGAAAAACGTTCACAAACCAGAACATTTACTTCTGGGTTTGCGGCGTTCAGGAGCCGATCTGTTCGACAAAGAAGCCATTCAGGAACCAAGAAACCATTGTAGTACTCATAATAAAATATCCCTATTTCCTCCTTCAGTTTTAAAAAAAAAATCTATTTGTGATTATCAAAAAGGTTTACAAGTTGAGTAAGATAATATATCATCTATAAAACACCACATTCAACCAAATAAAAGCACAGCACGCTAATACACACACATAACAGGGTTTTTGAAAAACAATTTTCTCCTGAAGTCTCCCATATAAAACTTACAGCATTTTTCGCTCTATAAGACACACTTTTTCCCTCCTAAATGGGGCGAATGCAAGCTGAACAGCTATCCCAGAAGCCAGAACAGCTGCGCAGCGCTCCCTCTTGCTGTTCTGGCTTCTGGGATAGCTCCTCAGTCCCTTCCCCCACCTCCCGGAAAAGCCCCCAAGAGCCGCACGGAGTGTGTGTGCGGCTCATGGGGGCTTTTCCCCGAGGAGGGAGAAGGGCAGCCCGTCAGTGACGAGTTGCCCTTCTCCCTCCTCAGGGAAAAGCCTGCAAGCGCCACACACACGCTCCACGCGGCTCTTTAAAGGGAGCGCTGAGCAGAGCCTGGGATGCATACAGGCTCTGCTCAGCGCTCCCTTTAAAGAATTCCCCCCCCCCTGCATTCCCTCTCTAAAAACTAGGTGAGTCTTATGGTCAGGTGCGTCTTATGGAGCGAAACGTATGGTATCATGTTCTGAGGTCAACATTTATGACCCTGCACTCTGTTCTGCAACCATTAAATGTTCCGCGATCAGTACAAAATGTTTGGCAAGTGTTCTTCAGCAGTCTAAAGAACAACCTCTTGGGAAGAACAGTCTAGCATTATAACTGGCTCATTTCCACAGGGCCATCAAGAGTCATCTATTTAGAGTGTCTGTTTAGACAAACTACAAACAGTAGAAAATGTTTGTCCTTGGCTTACCCACATCATTTGTTTGCCGGGGGCAGGGGAAGTAAGTCACAAGTCCAGGTTTGCACATAAATGACAAACCAAGCACTTCAGTTTGCTGCTCTCAGTACACAAAAGGGAAGGAGCAAAGTGGGGACTTTCAGTGGATAGTGCTAATTCATGTTAAACTATAGTTAACCATTAAATATGGGTTAACATTATGCAGACCAGGATACTGAGGCTGTGCTATAAAATTCAGTCATATGTAATTTGGTACATAGTTTTACAATGAAGAATGTTAAAAGCCTGTACTTTTTCAGCATCAGATTCTGCTCCACTCTCCTCCCAACTTTAGCTAGGTATTGGTCTCCTCCCAATTTAACTAGTCTCAGAAAACACCTGCTGCCCCATCACCATATTGCATAAGTATCACATGCTACTGCAACAATTCTTCCATTCAAATAAGTAACAGTCCATCACCATGAAGTAATTGCACATCTCTATCCATCTCTCAAATACAAGTCTGACAGACAGACTGCAACCTCAGAACATCATACTTTAGACATGATCTTATCTATTTATAAATATGTGGAATTTTTTCAGATTCATTGACCTACTTATTTCACTAAGCAGATATACATGTTTACATACACTACTGAGGACAGATGAGTCATGGACTATTAGGGTTGGGAGTGCCTTGAAAGATAAAAGCATTGTCTAATACATCTTTCATGCCCTTAAGCAACAGAATAATTTACTGTGCAATTTTACTTTTGACACTACTTGGAAGCAACTCTTATCCTTACTCCTCTGGGGATCAAAAAAAGATAAAATTAGGCAGACTGACAGAACAGTTCTAAACCCTAATTCTTGCTATTGGTGGGGGTTATGATGGAGGTGACGTCATAATTGACCTCTGTCAATTTCTGCTGTCCTCTGCCCTAGCAGGGGGGTAAAGGGCACCACTGCAGAAGCCCCCAGTGTGCAGGAAGCTACTACCAGTGGTTCTCCCACTGATGGTAGCCTGAGGAAAGCCTCAAAATGTGGTATTTTGGTGTGGGGCACCAGTGGCATTGGATCCTTGGGGGCCCTCAACTGCAGCAGCCTGGGGCTAGCATAGCACAATGTAAAATAAATCCAGTCCCCACTTTCTGCCATGGTTGGTGCAAGTGATGCATGGGCTTCAGATGCACAGGTCAATCTCCTATTTCACCACGCACCTTCCTAGCTGGGGATCAGGATGGCTCTGTAAAGTATGAAGTGCAACCTCATTTGTAAGACTTCATGCAATTATATTTTAAGACATACAGTGGTACCTCAGATTACAGATGCTTCAGGTTACAGACTCCACTAACCCAGAAATGGTACATCAGGTTAAGAACTTTGCTTCAGGATGAGAACAGAAATCGCACGGCGCAGCGGGAGGCCCCATTAGCTAAAGGTTAAGAACAGTTTCAGGTTGAGAATGGACCTCCAGAACGAATTAAGTTCTTAACCCGAGGTACCACTGTAATCCAAAAACACAAAGTATGAGCACATCAAACTCATGTTTCATACAGGAATCCTCATCAGTGATCTGCACTAGGTTGGTGGTTTCTACACTCCATTCAATGTGTCAAACAGCCCTTAGAAAAGATCCAAATCATCAAGATAATCACGTTTGGATGATACAAAGTTTTAAAATACAGTGGTGCCTCGCAAGACGAAATTAATCCGTTCCGCGAGTGTCTTCGTGTAGCGGTTTTTTCGTCTTGCGAAGCAACCCTATTAGCGGCTTAGCGGATTAGCGCTATTAGCGGTTTAGCGGCTATTAAAGGCTTAGCGGCTTAGCTGCTAAAAGGCTATTAGCGGCTTAGAAAAAGGGGGGGGAGCAAAAAAAAAATCTCAAGACTCACAAGACATTTTCAGCTTGTGAAGCAAGCCCATAGGGAAATTCGTCCTGCGAAGCAACTCAAAAACGGAAAACCCTTTCGTCTAGCGGGTTTTCCGTCTTGCGAGGCATTCGTCTTGCGGGGCACCACTGTAGGCAGTTAAAAACCATCATCCGGAGAGCAGCCTACTTGAAGACAACGCAAGCAAAACATCTCTCAGCCAAGTTACAAATGACTAATTTCCGCAGCGTCTGCTGGCTGAATTCAAGACACAGAGGCAATTCTGCTATTATTCCCTCAACCCCATTAATTGCGACAACTCACAAAACCCAGATTCTTAAAGCAGTGGGATGCTGGGAATTTAACGACACATTCTGTATTTTGTGTGTTTGCATTTCCAGTGCTTTGTTATTTCGAAGGGTTCCTGTTATCTGCTTTGGGCACAAGCCCCATGTACAGCGGAGTACAAGTCCAGCCCATCGGTCCATCCAAGCCCCTTCCCACGCGGGGGAAGGGGAGACAAGGGGGGAAGGGGGGGCGGCGGGAGGCAAGAGGCCGAGCCACACCGGGAGAGGTTAAACATGGGGCGGGGGCGGTGGGTCCACTGGCGACAGGAAAGAGGAAGGGAAACCGAAACAGGGAGAAGGGACGTGACCCGTGAAATTTAACTTTTGCTATCGCGGGGTGAGGGGGGGGGTGAGGCAAGGGCACTAAAGCGACCGCGAAGGCCGGGCGGGGCGAAGGGGCCTTCTCGCCGGCGCCTGGAGGCGGTGAGGGGACTCGGGCGTCGCGCAGGACGCGGGGCTGAGGGCTCCTTACCGGGACGCGCCGCTCTCGCTCCTGGCCGTGGTGGGGAGGGAGGGTCAGGCTGGCGGAGGAAGCCCCGCCTCGGGCGGCTCCTCCCGCCCCGCCCCGGCCGCTCCAGAGGGCGGGCAGAGGCGAGGCGACGAGCGGCCGCCTCCCTTAGCAACGGCGAAGCGGGCCTGGATTCTGAGGCGGAGAGGGGCAGGTGCGCGCGCAGCGGCGGATTTACCTCAGCCCGAGCAGCCGAGGGGAGTGGGCGGGGCTCGCGCCTCTGTTCCGCCCTGCGAGTCAGGGGGCGGGGCCTTGGCGGAGCAGGTGCATGCAGCCAACGGTCGCTCTCAGCGGATGGGTGCGAGACGGTTGGTTGGCAGCAGCCGGGGGTGGGCGGGGCCTACAAGGGCCTGTGTGACGCAGGCGGCGCCTGTCTTCGGAAAAACGCAGCCTCAGGGCGGGGCCGCCTGAGGGCTCCGAATGTTGACAGACTCCCAGCATGCCCTGCGCGTGGACTTGGCCGGCGGGGGCTGATAGAATCATAGAGTTGGAAGAGACCCCAAGGGCCATCGAGTCCAACCCCCTGCCAAGCAGGAAACACCATCAGAGCACTCCTGACATATGGTTGTCAAGCCTCTGCTTAAAGACCTCCAAAGAAGGAGACTCCACCACACTCCTTGGCAGCAAATTCCACTGTCAAACAGCTCTTACTGTCAGGATGTTCTTCCTGATGTTGAGGTGGAATCTTCTTTCTTGTAGTTTGGATCCATTGCTCCATGTCCGCTTCTCTGGAGCAGCAGAAAACAACCTTTCTCCCTCCTCTATGTGACATCCTTTTATATATTTGAACATGGCTATCATATCACCCCTTAACCTCCTCTTCTCCAGGCTAAACATGCCCAGCTCCCTTAGCCGTTCCTCATAAGGCATCGTTTCCAGGCCTTTGACCATTTTGGTTGCCCTCCTCTGGACACGTTCCAGTGTGTCAGTGTCCTTCTTGAACTGTGGTGCCCAGAACTGGACACAGTACTCCAGGTGAGGTCTGACCAGAGCAGAATACAGTGGCACTATTACTTCCCTTGATCTAGATGCTATACTCCTATTGATGCAGCCCAGAATTGCATTGGCTTTTTTAGCTGCCGCGTCACACTGTTGGCTCATGTCAAGTTTGTGGTCAACCAAGACTCCTAGATCCTTTTCACATGTACTGCTCTCAAGCCAGGTGTCACCCATCTTGTATTTGTGCCTCTCATTTTTTGCCCAAGTGCAATACTTTACATTTCTCCCTGTTAAAATTCATCTTGTTTGTTTTGGCCCAGTTCTCTAATCTGTCAAGGTCGTTTTGAAGTGTGATCCTGTCCTCTGGGGTGTTAGCCACCCCTCCCAGTTTGGTGTCATCTGCAAATTTGATCAGGATGCCCTTGAGTCCATCATCCAAGTCGTTGATAAAGATGTTGAATAAGACCGGGCCCAAGACAGAACCCTGTGGCACCCCACTAGTCACTCTTCTCCAGGATGAAGAGGAACCATTGATGGGTTCGGTCAGTCAGCCAGTTACAAATCCACTGAGTGGTAGCATAGTCAAGACCGCAACAGCATCTGGAGGAAGGCCGCAGGCTTTCTCCACCAGCACTTTTGGCATCATCGACCGTGTCTGTATTGGATGGTCAACTGGTTGCCTTGTCATTTATTTTTGAATTTGTATACCACCCTTCATAGGAGGATCTTAGGGCTCACGGCATAAAAGTACATAATAAAGAATGCAGAACAGGAACAGAAACGAAACCCCTAACTGGTAGCCAATGCTGCAAAAGACAGAATCAGGATTCAACATGACCTTAATAGATTGGAGAACTCGGCCCAAACTAATACAGTAGAATGAAATTCATTTTTTCCCCAATTTTTTAAATTAATTTTCCAACATTTTTTAGAGAAGCAAACATATATCAACTGTACTTAACCCAATCTTAGTAACATTGTGACTTCCTAACAGTGACTTCCTCGGATCCCCCTGGCTGAGTTTCAGTGTATATCATTGTAACAGTTTTCCAAAACCAATTTTCTCATAAAATTAACTTAATCACTTAACACCTTTCTTTCTTTCCATTTTAACTTTAAACATATTATTCTCTAACATTACATATTTAAATCCTAAGCCTATCTGGTATTTGCAAGTTTTTCCAATTAGGTTATCTTAACATATTTAACTAAATAGTCTTTGAATTTTATCCATTCCTCCTGGTACTCCTCCTCCTTCTGGTCGCGGACTCTTCCAGTCAGGTCAGCTAGCTCCGAAAAGTCCATCGTCTTCATCTGCCATTCCTCAGTAGAATGAAATTCAGTGGGGACAAGGTTCTGAACTTAGGCAAGGGGAACCACCTGCACAAATATAAGACGGTTTGCCAATAGCACATGTGAAAAGGATCTTGGGGTCTTAGTGGACCACAACTTAACATGTGGTCAAACCACACCTGGAATACTTTGGACACCACAATTTAAGGATATTGACAAGCTGGAAGGTGTGCAGAGGAAGGCAGGGAGGAGTTTTGAGCACCCTTCTAACGAGCTGGTTTTCATAATTTCATAATTATAATCAGTCAAAAAATACAGCACGTAAAACTGTGTGAACTAGGTCCATTAAACACCAATGAATGACCCTTTTGATTAATTTCCATTGTTCCAATTATGCATTGGGTGTAAGGGATATCCATTTTTCCTCTTGTAGATGGGCACGATTGTTATTTTCTAATCATATTTTTTATCATGATTACAGGCACCAAAAGATTCATATGTATACACAATACAATATTTACATGTAAGTTTGTTTTAAGGAAAAACTACAATTCAAAAAGCATCAGGCATTGGGGAACATCTTTTTTCTGGGTTTTAAGGAGTTTATGGTAAAGTAGGCATAGGCTATAGGGAAGAATTTTTTAATCCAAACAGAATATATTTGGGCAGTAAGGAAATTTGTTTTGTTAAGCATGACTATTAGGGAAAAAACCTATAAAATTATGAGGTCATATATTGATATCTATATAGTTTTAACTATTTTAAGTTAAAGAACTTGAGATTTCTGTCATCTGTAGTGGACTTGCCTTCTCACAAAAGAAAGGAAGAAAATAAGCAGATAATGAAAATATGGAATATCTAATAATAACTCAGTATTTTTTTCATTAACATTCACAACGGATGCAATTAAAAAAGAACATGCAGAACTAGCCCACTATATGTGGTAACAGCTGCCCATTTATCAAATGCCAAATACTAGAAACAATAACAAGTACCAAAGTTAATGAATTGGTTATTATAGGATTATGTGGTAGTAGCAAAATTTACAAAAAAGACTAAGATAAATGTCAGAAATTAGACCTCTTTGTCTAATTATATTGGGGAAAACAAGTAGCTCAGGTAGAGGACATTTAATTTATTCCTTAAAAAGACGTCATTTGGGTGGCAGGAAGACTGGGATACTCTTTCTGTAAAAGACACTGCTTTATATATATATAAAAGAGAGGCAGCGGGGAGATCAAAATGTTGCCTAAGAACACACACTTTCTCAGAAACATTGCATTTTGGAATTTTCAAATGTGGATATATTGAAATTTAAATACTTTATTGTCACTTGTACAGCTTGTATACAGTGAGATTACATGAGCACCCCTCACTCATCTCTCTTAGTCTTAATTCCCCTCGTTTACTGACGCACACCCACCAAACCCGAAAGTCAGTTGCCTTGTTGTTATCTTTTCATTCAGCAGCCTAACAGCCCACGGATAGAAGCTGTACTTTACCCTGTGGGTGCGACTAATCATGCTTCTATACCTTCTGCCTGAGGGCAGGAGATCAAGAAAGTGCCGGCCAGGGTGTGAATCATCCCTGAGAATTTTCCTTACTTTCCTGAGGCAACGTTCTTCCGCAATGTCATCCGGCGGATTCACGGGACAGCCCATAATACCTTGTGCTGTATTCACCACCCTCTGTAGGCACTTCCTATCCATTGATGTCAAACCAGCATAGCACACCGTGATGCAGTGTGAAAGGACACTTTCTATTGTGGACCGGTACAAGGAGATACAGTGGTGCCTCGCAAGACGAAAAGAATTCGTTCCGCGAGTCTTTTCGTCTTGCAATGTTTTTCGTCTTGCGAAGCACGGTCCATCGCAACTGTGCCTCTTCAAGCAGCTTTTTTAAAAAAGCGCAAGACGTTTTTGTCTTGCGAAGCAAGCCCATAGGGAAATTCGTCTAGCGAAGCAACGCAAAACCGAAAAACCCTTTCGTCTAGCGAGTTTTTCGTCTTGCGAGGCATTCGTCTTGCGGGGCACCACTGTAATCAAATGTTGATTGACATCGTTCTTTCTCAATACTCTGAGGACATGGAGTCCCTGTTGGGCTTTTTTAACCACCTGGGTTGTATTTATTTTCCAAGTAAATATATAAATATATATATATAATATTTATATTATATTATATAATACACACACAAACACACACTTCTATCAGTTTTATACCAGTTTAACTGCCATGACTTTCCAGTTTTGGAAGTTTTGTCAGGGGTGCAACGAAGCATCCAATGGAAATTTGCCAGGCTTCCATAGGCAGAGTAAATTACATGTCAACCCTGTTTAAGTTAGTCCACAGCATAGATATTTAATTTCCTTCTCTATATACACTCATTTCAGTTCACCAAATGACAACTACCTCTTTTTGACTTGTTTAAATTTAGCCCTTTCACTTTTCTGTGAACCTTGAACATAAAGCTTCCCACTTCCTCTTTCCTCCTCTTTGGTCGCATAGTCATGAAATGAGGAACCAGACCTCTGTGTAGCAACACCCCAACTGAACAGTCCTACCGGGAGTTTCATCTTCAGCACAAGCCTGTGCTGACCTCACATATGATTTCATAGTGATAGTTTGTGATGTCACAATGCAAAGCTGTGACAAGAGGCTGCTTTGTCCTGAGTCATGTCTGTATTACAGGATGAAATATGGCCGGCTTCTGGTACAAATCCTATGTCCTGGCACTGATGCTGATACAGGACAGACAAGCTGTTTTGTGTTTTGTTTTGTTTTTGAGCTGAGCAGTGGCTTATCTCTTCAACAGCATTGAAAACAGTAAAGGTCCACTTGCGCTTTCTGTTCCTTCTCAAATGTACATATTCCTCCCTGGCCATAGACAACTTTCAGCTCAGTCTATATAATTGTGTATTTGAAGTCTGATTCTCTCTGTATAGTCTTACTCTCAAATAGGTGTGTTTAGGATTGTGAATCAATGGGAGCACCTTACATAATGTGAGAGAGTCATGATTAGAATCTCTCATATGTTAAGATGCATCTGAATTAATGTCGGCAGGCAAGTGGAAATTGCTTGCTTTGAATGCTAATTGACATTTTCACTGGTGCCCAGAGGTTATAAAATATCTAGGGATTTTGTTTCCTACAGATATTTCTCAGATGATTAAATTAACTTTAAATAATTTAACAGAAATCTTCATTGATGTGGAAAGGTTGACACTACTTAAACTTAGTACTTGGGGTAAGGTTTACAAACTTCAGGTGAATGTACTGCCACAAATAATGTGGGCGGCACTGGGATCTAGGTATGTAAAACAGAACGAAAGAAAGGATCAATGCCACCTTCAGTTACAGCAACTAGAGGGACATGTTACTCAGCTATATAGCTGCAAATAAAATGTTTTTAATGTGTTGTAAAGTGCAATATACGAATGTGAAACTAGCTGGCGACAGTGAGCTATGCAAAATTCAATGAATTTTTCAAAACGTTTTAAAAAGCATTTTCACACCTTTTTTATCTGTGTGTAGATTCCACCTAGGTGTATATTGGCTTGTCAGCTGTAATTTGATCCATATTCTCATGATAAATTGACTTTTGGGGTAACCCTGATTTGAAGATAGTGAGGCAATCCTTTTTATGAAAGAAGTGGGCAAACTGCGGAGTTTATATATCAGATTAGCTGATATATATGAACAAATGGATAATTTTTACAGTTTTTTAATTGAGGGTAATATATCATTTACCAATGAATTCTGAATGGCATATTTTCAAGTACAACACCTGCTGGTGTGCATTTATAGTCCATTTACTTTGTGTGCTTCAGCATCTGCAAAATCCCTGGAAGGAATAATTGGGCCTTCACAAAACATCAAAGTGATCACTATTGATCATACATGTTTACTGGAAACTTGTAAAGTACATGGTCAGCAACGTAGGTTAGAATGGAAAAGGGAATTAGAAAGTACCATACAACCTAAACCATGAAAAATTGCTTTAAAATATATATAGAACGTTTCTTTAGATTTAAAATTGAAATTGATTCATCAGAAATTGATGTTTCATGCATATTGGACTCCACAATGTTTCAACAGGAAAGTGTTGTCTATCTTATTGAGGCATATGACGTGTCCAGTGATATCTTCTTTTTGATCTGAAGTTGCTGTCCATATTAACCTTATACTGGCAAAATCCTTTATATTTGTGGGTGTTGATGTGCTTTTAAATTATTTCTCTGTAATATAGGAACTATCAGCAAGACAACAATAATGGATTTTATGAGCCCTTATGATCACTAAGCAACTTATAATTTGAGTCTAGAAGGATAAATACTCAGCAACTATTAGGCCATGGGTTGAAACAGGGGGCCAGTTTGGGATCCACCAAAGGGGCACATTTTAATGGATTTGCAGCCTATAGTTCCATGCTTTTCTTTGCCACATGTTTTGTGGTGTTAAATGTCTGCTTGGGTTCTCTCACCAAAGAATACTTGCCAAAAACTTGGGTCTTAGCTTCCAGGAATTCCAGCACACTGTCATCTGAGCAGTGGCATGAGGGTTAGCCTCTGGCCGCATCTCCAGGATCAAGTTGCGGAGGACAGGGTCAGCTCCTGGATCCTTGCTGGCACTGCAACCATGTTGTGGCAGATCTGGTGGACGATCTGGTAGACTGGCCAAGGACAGAAACCATGTCTCCATCAAAAGTGCCCTGGACACACTACATGGTTGCCTCCACTGCCCACAACAGTGTCAACACCTCCCCAAAACAACAATGTAGGGTATGCATTCTGCCAGAAACATACTGCTTCCACACAACCCCAACCCCACCATCACATGAGGGTGGGTCTGAATAGGACGTGGTCCTTAGGCGCTCAGCTGGATGAGTTCCTCAGCCCCATACTCATCCTTCTGGTCCTCTCCCTGCTGACCTTGGGTGAATAGGTCTGGCACTTTCTGCAGGAATGGCTGGGTGGCATTGTCTGGGTTGCCTCCTAAACATGTGAACTATAAACTGACACAATGTCAGAGATCTGGCAAAGGTATATCTTACTCTAGGAGTTGTTGCAGCAATATTATTTTATGAGCTCTCAGTACACAGGTTAAATTACTAATGGGAACAAAGTCCAGGCAGCTTGTGTGAGCTGGCAAATAGGCAAAACTAACATTTTGTTGTAACAAGTGAACCTAGCCTTGGGGGAAGCCAAGCTCTGGCACTGTTTCAAGTTGGAGTTGCTTGTTAAGATTTCCTGCAATAGCACAGAAAAAGAGAAGAAAATGGGAGCGGAGGAGAAAATGTGATTCTATGCCAGCCCAAGTCGCAGTGCAGCTGGAGACGCATCAACACCTCCCCAAACAATTTTATGTTGGAATACAGGGTGGGGTTTCTGTGGTGTGAAGTTACAAAAACAAAAGACCAACTATAGGGTTGTTGCAGGAGGAAGGACAGGTAAAAGGAAACCATTTCCCTTTCCCACAGTGCAGTGCGTACATGCACAGACAGCAATAAAATACATAATCTGTGGCTGGCATTTAGCTCCTAAACCTGAGCCCTCGGGCCTTGAGAGAGGAGAGGGGAGGGGATGTGTTTACTTCCTGCGCCCACTCCTGACACCTCCCCAAGGGCCTGAAAAGCACTGCAAAATCTCTGCCTAAGGAGGGATAGATGTCAGGGCTGGCCCAAGACATTTTGGCACCTGAGGCGAACCACAAAATGGTGCTCCCCTTCCCACTAAGGAAGAAGGGTTGAGTGAAAATCTATATCAGGAACAAAGGGGGAATAAAGATCTACATCGGGCTTTGCTGCCCATGTGGATCCTGCTGCCTGAGGCAGTCGCTTTGCCTTGACTCATAGATGGGCTGGCCCTGATGAGTGTGCTGTGTGTGTTATGTACTGTAGTTCTCACCCTGGGCCAGCAGGGGGAATACTGTAGATAGTTTTCACTCAGGTCCACATATGCAAATAAGGAATTGAAAGTGACGTTCAGTGATTGGATAGTTACAGAAAGTTGTTACTGTTGCGTTGTAGTGGAGCTCTATATAAGCAGGCTGGCTGAACCCTTCAGTTCAGTTCTGTTCTGGCCTGTGAATAAACAAGAGCTGTTTGAAGAATCACTGTGTCGTCTGATATGTTCACCCACAACTTAACAGTGTGTGTACTCAGGCACAATCCCTCTGGATATCAGCTGTTGATGGACTACAGTGAGGGATGGCCATGGCTCATGGTTTTCTATCTCAGGGGCAATGTGCCAATCTGAACTTTTTCTGTGGTTTATTACTGTAGATCATGGCATGAGCTGGCCTAACTTAACATGAAAAGAGATCCCCATTATGAACTTTTCTTGACCCTGGTACCAGTCTTATGTCAAATGTGTCCTGGAAGGCATCGGGAGATATCCTGCACTTGTGATGCTTTGTGTAAAGATCAGCACATGTAATTGCCAGTAGAATCTAATCAACACCTTTGAAAGAACGGTTGCCACACAGACAAATAGTAAGATAACTTTAAAACAGGAAACAAGGATAACTAGTTTAGTCATTGCTCATTAGGGTTATGTTCTGTCAGTGTCCAATTAAGCAGAGTAAACAAAATGGGAAATAGGCAGGAAATTCTAGGAAGAGACAATAGAACAATAGAAATATTGGAAATATAAGAACTGCTCATCCACCTCTCTTCATTGGAATGTAGTGGCTCAAAACAGGACAAACCATGGATTTTCAATGGTTGGTTAGTTCTCAAAGCTCCAGCATGGACCCCTTTTCACTCTATGCTCTCAAGGACCAATTTGACACCATGCTTCACTTCAGGACAAGTAAACCTTTCTGCTTCCATTTCTTGCATTGCTATTAGTGTGGGTTCTGTGGCAAAATTGCCTTGCTCACTTTCTGTAGGCTTTTGAGAATAGTTAGGGATTTATTTCACTTTTTAGATCTAGATGCATATGTACTGTAGGATTTGCTGCCTGATTAAATTTGTAATTTTGCTGTCTGAAGCAGAATTTTTATATTCTGTCACATTTCATGTAATAAACCTTTTGTCTGAGAACTTCTTGCGGACATAAGGTTAAGGGTAAAGACATATTCGTAATGAACACACATCGTAACTCTAGCAAAATATCACAAGCCTGATAGCGTGTTTACGAATACACATGAATGCTGGACACACATGTGGGCTCAGACACATCCCCTAATGAGTGTAAACACGAGGTAAACAAAAATGCAGAGATTTAAGAATGCTTTAAGGATTTATGCAATACTCTTGTAATGTACCTATGACAAAATCCTGAAAATTCTATTTTGATTTTTGTATCTGAAACAAGCACAGGGATATGCAAGGATGCATGAACCAACTACAAAAGAATATAGGATTAATGTTCTTGTCAAAGCCCTGGAGAAGCCTGTAGTAAAAAGAAAAGAAAAATAGTATTTGTATCTTGCACCACCTAATGGAAGTAACTGAGGGGGGAAGAAGAAAAATGAGTAGAACATAATATATGTAGCAGTTCTTCATTCTAAAACAAGCAAACTGAATATCTTGAGACATTTTAGAAACCTATTTAATTGGTTTAAAGGAGCAGGAGTATTTTCAGCTGTACGCTTAAATTATTTTAAGCATACATTTTAAAATGTAGTATGAGAATCAGCCGATGTTTTCAATCACAGCTCAGAGAAACATTCTTTTGCCAAGAGGGGTAAGGAGAAGGGAAAAACTCCTTGACCACTGTACATAAATGTCTTGTCAGCAACACTCAGAGCATTTCACCACACTGGAAGACACCCAAGGAACATCTCTGGCATCAAAATAGCAGAACAAGTTCACCCAAAGTACAGTACATATGAAGCTGCTGCTAAACATCTTCCCTTGTGTAGGATATTCAGACTAGACCAAATCTCAGAAGACACTGAGCATCATATGCATCCTACTTTGTCCTCATGAAATTGTGTTTTTATTTTGTTAGTACACTGCTCTGCCTCCAAGGAACTCTAAACAACTTCATATATGGACCCCTTTTAGGTATCTCATGAATCAAAACCTACCTACCTTCAGCAGTAAAACTCAAGTCTTAAGACTGGTTTATGGCTGATTCCATGGCCAGAGGCAAGACAGTCACCAGAACTGGGAGTGCCCAGTTTCAAGATAAAATAAATGTCACAGCTTAGATCTGTGTGGGAACACAGCTGTCTGATCTGGAAGCTCTTTCCCCATATGTGTCAACTCACTGTTCAGCCTTGAGAACTAGTCAGGGTTAAGGACACTGTGGCTAACAGCCAGAATTGGTTCATAGGTTACCGAAGGTAGCCAAGGCAACAAAGCAGGTCACAAACAGACAAGGCTTAGGGTTGTCTAATACCGAAACACCAAAAGATGGCGAATGCAAATTAGTCATGGGTCTTCTTTCTGACCTTCAGAACATGTGTCTGCTTTGTAGAAGATGTGTGGCAAAATATGCACATCACTCTTGCAGCCTCGGTTTTTTTGTTTGTTTTATTGTTCCACATGCTGAGCATAGCTCTCAGATCATCAGGAGTCAAATATCAGAAGTGGACCAACACTAGCCAGTGCCTTAAATAACAGTGAGCCTGGCCAAGTCTTGTTGGCACCACTACTTCCTCTGTGCTGCTGTTGAACGTCCAAGGCCTGAGCAGCTGCTTACTGAACTGGCATCTTGGAAGCATATCTGGTCAGTTGGCAGTGGGGAAGCCCTGGTTCTGGATGGCTGAGGTTATGGTGCATGGAGAGTATCGAGGAGAAGGAGTTGTCTTCTTTGAGGAGGAAAAAAGGTGGTGTATTTAAGACTACAAGGTGGTGAAAATCGTGTTGGGTGCTAACCTTGCCAAATGGATAGAAAAAGCACACATCTTGGCCTAGCCAAGCATGTTGCATTTACATTGAGTATTAGAGGAGTGATGGACACAGATGCTCCTTTCAGCTCCCTCCCCCAATAAATGTTAGGTGAATAGACAGCTTTTTCTTGGACATATTCCTGGACCTCCTCAAAATCACTGAGCTCTGCCTCAGCTTACCCAGCTGAAGCCATTTCAGAATCCATTCCCAGGCACCAGATTTTCTTTTTCTTTCAAGAGCCTGACCACCCTCTAAATGGTATTAGAGATTCTCCTGCCAGAAAATCTTTGGATCTCTGCAGTCGGCTTCCGATGACAAAGAGCACTCAGGATGCTTGTGATCCGATACTGTAATGATGAGCTTCTGTTGCCAGAGGGGTCTTTGCCTTGTGCCAATCAAGAATGTGCAGCCAACAATTGGCTCCTAATAATATTATCAACATAACTGCTAGGAGGATCTTTTAAAAAATGTACACAGTGCCAGCTGCTTTCCTTATTAGGAAAAGGTCGGTGCAGTCAGGAGTCTGCCCCAGTTGGGAAAGCCGGGGGGGGCATTATCGGAACAACAAAATAGCCTGCCAGGAAAAAATCTTAAGCTCCCTCCTGCTTGAAACACCTTAAGGAAGCTACCCAGACCCCTCCACCCTTACATTTGCCTGCATTTACCTTTTGTATTAAAACACACACACACCAACATTAGGAATGCTGGATGATGGCAGTGGACTACACTGCGGGGCTCCTGTAGGCCACTCGTGCTCTCAGGCACAGTCCACACAAACCTGCCTCCACCCTGTGTGATTGGGGAGCAATAATAATGGATGACATTGACCCTGCCTAGTTAATTTCTGTGTGCTTAGAAATTAAAACAAAAAACAAAAAAACAACCAAACCCATCATAATGATGTCCCTTGGCAAAATAAAGGCTGAAGTACCCACAGAAGGGACACTTATTGATCATGCTTCCTGGTGGGCTTCGTGGGATGCACACACTGCTGCTGCTGCTGAGTCCCAGATGTGCTACTACCTTTCCGTTCCTCCTTCTTATGGAGGTGCTACCAGACCGCCCTTGCCCCTCTGCTTCTTCCCCGCCAGTGAGTCTCCTGCCATGGTGTCATTGCTTAGCATCCTTCCCCTTCTTCTCTGGCAACTCTGCTCTCCTTGCTCTCTCCCCAAACTTGCCTAGGATCACCAGGAACGGATGTTGCTGGCATCCATCCATAGGCGCCAGGTCCCAGGGGCCCTGGGTGCCGTGGCAACCACAACATTTTAAATGAGGGGGCCCAGGGGGGGGTGTCATGATGACATCACATGCACCACAGTGATGTTGAATGGCCTCAGGCACCTGCAGTTGCAGGGACAAGCCAGCGCTGCTGCAATCCTTGTGTCACTGGAGACAAGAGAAGTGTGTACCTTTGCTGGTGAAGTCAAACCGTTGGAGAGTTACAGCGTCTGCTGTGGCTGTAGAGACCAATACGGGAGAGACATGCTTTATTGGAGCCTGGTTTCACTGCTGCATGTGCCCAGTGGTGTTTCTTCTCTCTGAGCTGCTGTCTCCTGCAGAATTAGAACCCGTTCCCTTCCTGGTGCCACCCAGGAGCTGGGGAGGGCAAGAGGGAGGTAAATGCTTAAACTACCGTATTTTTCGTTCTATAGGACGCACATTTCCCCCTCCAAAAATTAAGGGGAAATGTGTGTGTGTCCTATAGAGCAAATGCAGGCTGCGCCGCTAAGCCCAAAGCCAGAACAGGAAGACGGAGCACTGCGGAGCGCTCCGTCTCGCTGCTCTAGCTTGGGGACGGCTGCGCGCAAACCTCTGCAGGGCAGCGGGGTGCCTTCACCCCGCTGTCCTGCAGAAGCTAGCAAGGCTGTTCCCAAGCCAGAACAGCGAGACGGAGGGCTCCGTCCCGCTGCTCTAGCTTGGGGACGGCTGCACGCAAACCTCTGCAGGGCAGCGGGGCGCTGCGCTCCAAAGGCTTCAGGGATCTTTGAGGCTGGCGGTGGGGGAAAGCAGCGCTTCCCCCCACTGCCAGCTCCACAAGCTCTGGTGAATTTACCTTGAACGCACCTTGTTTTAGAGGGGGAGAACAAGAAAAAAAAATTTTCCCCTGTTCTCCCCCTCCTATGATCCAGTGCGTCCTATGGTCCGGTGCGTCCAATGGAGCGAAAAATACGGTAGTTGCATGTTGCTGCTCAGCAAACCCCTTGCAACTGTTGTTTTGTTTTTCAATAAGAAAAATGAACCCTGGCCAACCACTCAAGATGCAACTTGGTAAGTTGGGAAAAATGGAGAAAAAAGAGTAGAAGTTCTGGGGCAGCTCTGCTGTGTCCTGCTGACCACTTAACCAGGCAACCTCCAGAAGGTACGTGCTTCATCATTCTTCTTCTAGCAGGTCCATGGTAGCAGGCTTGTCACAGTGAAGCACTTTAACAAAAGCAGAATGGATGCTGCTACCTGTCTCACACAATTGTTTGAGTTGCCCCTAGACTTCTGCTCAGAAGTCCGTTGGTAATGGTGCCGCTGGGTGGCTTATGGGCAGCATGCTCCCAGTTGAAAAGAGGGGAAATTGTATTTAGTTTGATCACACAGCCAATCAACTCCAAAATGGCATACTGAAATGAGGCAAACTCGTCCATTTTTCTCTAAAGAATCTGCACAGTACATTCCTGCAGTGAAAGCAATGTTTAGGTGCCAGGCAAAACCTTCCCTCTATAGCCAGGCCTTTGGCACATAAGATCTTTATAATATATTAACCCTCCCCCCCTTGCAGTGTTTAATGTATCTATGGGTTGTTGTTTTTATTTGTTTGTTTGGTTGGTTGGTTGGTTGGTTGGAAGTTGCTCTGGGTTGCCTTGGGCAAGAGAAAGCAAGCAACACATTTAATAAGTAATAAATAATAGTAGTTAACAATTCATGCAGATGGCACCAAAAACATGGACACAAAGATCCCACCTGAGTGGATTTGCTATAAATTTGAGCTACAGTTTAAGGAAAACTATAGTCCATTCATTATCATCAAAGCAGTTATTAATAATGATGCACCTAGCGAAGTACTGTGTTTGGCTAACCCACCTCCAAGCTTTGACCTTTGAGTCCTGATTCTCACAAGCTGCAGTAAAGGAATCGAAGACACCAGATTGCTGCTGACTCTGCTGTGTTGAGAAAGATGGGAATAGTTTGCTCATCTGCTTTTTTCTTCTTTTTCCCCCTTCTTTTTTTAAAAAGCCTGCTCTGCTAATTGGTATCACCACAGACTAAGGAAGTGAAAAGTGGTCAGAGAAGTCAAAGGCAGTCATATGCGATTCTGGCCACATCACTCCCTTGTGGTGGTGTAGCACTGGGCTACAAAAAAGCTCTCAGTTCTGCTTGTGGTCAGGACAGTTCTTCAGTGCATTTCGTTTCAGTTGCTCCAGCTTAAAAACAGAAGGTAGTGAAAAGCAGCACATGATTCCCATGTTAGCTCAAAACCTCTATAAACAGAGCTTTGGCCTCAGAAGTACACACATCATATCATTTGCATCTCAGAGTCAGTAACTGTACCAACCGTTTTGATAGGCAGTTGCGCATATTTAGGACAGCCAAGTTTCCAATAGTTTTGCTTCTCTAGCCACCTAATAGGTGATAATTTGAGAGTAGAGTTTTCACACATGCAACGGAAACTGTGTAGGAAGCACAGCCCTGGAAATTTTTGTTGCAACAGATAGTAGATTTATATTACAAACTTATAGCAGTTTTCTACCCGTGTGATTGTTGTGTCTGCCGCTGGGAAATCCTTGTGACTGTAGACTGCTGGCAGGGTTGAGACTTCTGGTTGAAACAGGTAGAAAGCGCAGCAAAATGTTGCTGTATACAGCATTCCTGTTCTTTTGTCCACCAGCTAGCCACCATTGCTACCAAAGAACAGGATATTCTGTTCTGTTCTGTTCCATTTCACCAACACCCACTTTCCCATTTCCCCCCTTTTAATAGTTAGTTAATCAACATTCCATGGGGCTGTTTTTGGAACACCATTCAGTTCCCCCCACAAACTGTTGAAAAAGACCAAACTTCGGCAAACATTGGGATTCCATTGAACCTGCTGATACCTCCCTCTTGTTGGTGATGCTATTTTGTTTTTGTTTTTAATAATATTTTTTATTAATTTTACATTTTTACAATTCCAAATAAACATTTTACAAACTTTAAAATATCCAATGATTTCCCTTCTCTTCCTATAGTTCATTTTACATATCATACATCCCTGGATATTTTACTATAACCGTTCAAACCAGTTCCCCACTTTTACATCCATCAAAAATTATTTACTCTGTTGAATTTGTCTTAATGCTGTGCCAGCGTTTTCAGGTGTATACAGTTATTTTCCATATATTCAATAAATGTTTCCCAGTCTTCTTTAGAAGTATGTTCTTCTTGCTCCCTTATTCTATTACTTAAATCTGCAAGTTGTGCATATTCAGTCAACTCAATTGCCAATCTTCTTTAGTTGGGACCTCGTTCGCTTTCCATTTTGGGGCTAACAAAACATGGGCCACAGTTGTTGTATAC